GATTTTTTTTACATCGAAAAGGTTTTTTATATATTGAATTTGGAATGTCAAGAATTTTTCGTTTTTAGTTTTGAAATATAATTGATCAATTTGGACAACTTTGAACTTTTTTTTTTGGATTTTAAAAAATGTCATCAACTTTGATATTTTTTCAATGATGATATCACGATTTAATTAGGTTTTTTTGTTGTTGTTGATGATTTCAATATGATGAAATATTGCAATATAAAACACTAAAAATATTTATCTAATCATTTTGTACTCAATCATCGAGTTATGTGTGTGTTGACAATTACAATATGATGAAATCAATTATTACAATGATGAGTAATCTATGTGTTTTTATCATCATTATTTTATGCTTTATATCTTCAATCAATTGTCAACAAAAATCATCAAATACAACAACTATTAGCCAACAAGGACTAAAAGGTGGTTATCCATTTCATCATCATAAACAATCCTCAAATATGGGACGAAATCGTATTCCGATTACATCGAGATTAATATCAAACCAATATCCTCCACCAGTTTGTCCATATACTTTCCAACCATATACTTTTCAACCATATACTTTTGGACCATATACTCTACCACCATATACTTTCCGGCCATATACTTTACCATCATCACCAACAACGAAAAGTGATGTACCGATCGAATCAACAACGTCCACATCATCGGTAACGAATCGAACAATAACAATCCAAAAAGATAATTCAAACACAATAGTGATTAATGTAATTAACATTATCAATAGCAATGATAGAACATCATCTCAATTTCAATCATCAACAAATGGATACCTCCCTCCGGTTATAAAAACGGAAATAACTAAACAAGCGGAAACAACTACAGAAAAAAATCCATGGATACCATCGAAAACCATTGATTAATAGAATTCCATGTATCAAATGATCTATGTTTAAAATAAATGGCTTCATAGCTGATCATTATTTTTGTGAGTGACTACCCAAATAAAAAATTTTTTGTTTCTCATTGAATAATGTCCAGCTATTGTATGCGTGTGTGTTTGAGTGTGTGTGTGTGTGTGTGTGTAGGCATATCAAGAAATTGGACACCATTTCGTTTTGTAAATTGTCAAATTGAATGGAAAAATCATTTTTTATTCTAGATAAATGAAAGAGAATGATAAGTTTGTTGTTGTTGCTGTTGTTGGAATTTCTGGACAGATTGATTCATGGACTACAAACACACACACACACACATGTATGACAAATGGTAGAAATATATGGATGGATGACGCACAAAAAAAAATAAATCCAAAAGTAGCCATCATCATCATCAGTAAGTAAAAAATGAAAGAAAAAAAAATCTCACCTTTCATCGCCATTTAGTTCATCATCATAGTATATACTATAGTGTACGAATGATTATAGCAGCTAATAGTAGTCATTAATCTTGTATTATCAACATACATTACACACAAGTCATATCAAATTTTTTTTGACATTAAAATCATATCATATCATATCGATAGCAACAGAAGCAGCAGCAGCTTTGAAAAAAAACACGCGCAATGTAATAAATATAAATATATGGCCAAATTGGAGCAACATTCAACCGTAGACAAGGAGATTAGATTAGATTGATAAATGTTAATAAAAAATAAAAATCATTCCATTACTTGTTATTAATGTTGTTGGTGGTGTCCCTATTTTATAATTAATATAATAAACATACATCATGAATATTCATATTCATGGCAAATTTTACAAACGATTGATTTAAAAGTTATGTCGTTTGTCCATTTTTTCATATATTTGTCTGACCGAAATTCAAAATTAGAGAAAAACAGGTGCTGTAAATATTGCAGTGTCGAATCAAAAGGGCATTGCATCAAACGACACGAAATGAAACGGAAAAAATTGATATTGAAATCGAAAATTTGTATTCATCAATTGCATTTCAAACACACTCTTTTACTCTCCATATTATTAACGCCAGCATCTCAATTAATTAATTGGCTCTCCAGGAATGCGTTTGTGTTTTTCGTTTCGTTCTATAGATTAGTTTTTTTTTTTTTTTGGCAATAAATTTACAGCATTATATAGAATGTCAAATTGAAATGGTGATATATAATTTTGGGGAATATTCTAATCATCAGTACTATAGATAAAAATGATGATGATATCTAATTCGACCACCACCAAATAGAGAAATTTTCCATACAAACTATTGTGAAGTGCAAAGAAGGAACAAGGTTGATTTTAATGATTGAAAAAAAACTAGAAAATCCTGCTGCTATTGCTATCTATTAAATTGTTGTCCATGTCCTTGGTGTTCTCGTGTGTGTGTGTGTGTGTGTGTGTGTGTGTAAAGACTGGATAGATGGATGACCAAATAAAGATCCCAGAGAGATAAGGAAAAAAGCTTGTCATCATCATCATCATCATCATTTGAACTGTAACTTAATCCTTCATTTTTCATCATTTCTAAAAAAATTCATGTTTCAACATTATTATCATCATCATCGTTATATACAGATATCAATGAGAAAAAAACGGTACAAACCAAGAAAAACAACAACAACAACAACAACATTTATATAGGAGGTTTAAATTAATTAATCTTTCTCTAAATAACATTCAAAAGAACAACAACAACCTGGTTTAGTTTGTCAATTCCACCTTGGTTATTATTATTCTATCTATCCAAATGACATTTATCATTAGATAGTAAAACTTTTGGATAAATGTCATCTCTGTGTTAATTGAACGAGAAGGCATTTTTTTTGTTGGATAATTTTAAAGGTTGTCTCTCCTTTTTTTTTAAAAACCTAGCACGTAGTACACACACACACACACACACCGAGACACTTTGCCACCGGATTTTATCATAATCATAGACTTTTTTCAATTTCGGCATAGACAACAACAACAGGGAAAAAAATTCAATTTGAATAATGGTTTATTATAAAGAAGTAACAAAAAAAATTTCATTTCATGTCATGACATGTCATTTTAAGTAGTAATGATGATGATGATGATGATGATCGAGTACAAGTACAGAAGCCACTTGTTGTTATTGTTGTTGTTGTTGTTGTTGTCTGTATATTTGTTACATTTGGGTGATATAGAGACAAGTTGTACATCCTATTGTAATCATCAACAACAACAACAACAATAGTAATGAAAAAAAAGAAAACTTTATCCATATGGATTTAAACCATACAATCAGACGACGAACTAATATCATTCAAGATCGTGACTTTTTCTCAATCATCATCATCATCATCATCAGGCTGTGGTTTACGATCAATTTCTATGATGATGATGATGATGATGGGTTTGGATAGCCACAGTAATCATCATCATCGACCTCTAACCTCTAATCATCGACAATGGTAAAGAGGCTCGTGTGTGCATATTGTTGTTGTTGTTGTACGTGGATGATTATTATGATTAAGGCTGTATGAAATCAAGAAAAAAAATATGGGTAGCTTGTGTGAGAATTATACAAAGCTATCATTTTTTCTCACCAATAACACTTGTAATATTCGTACAAAATGAGAAAATTCGATAATTTCTTACAAAATACGAAAAAATAAGGTGTCGATTCTTGAATCATCAGAAATGGACGAAACAATTGTATATTTGAAATCTGGATATATGGAAAAATCGAGCAAACAGCAAGAAATTAAAACATATCGAATACACAAAACAAAATTGATTTGTTGTTGTTGTTGTTGTTATTGTAAAGTTTCGTTATTTGGTTGGTTCTCGATAACCAACATTGATTTGATTACTAGCGGATATATGTTTGGATTGATTTAATCAGTAAACTCAATATGATTTTAGGCCAAGCTAATCTGAAAGTTGTTCAATAACAATCGATATATCATTATTATTATTATTGTGGAAATTGGACTACCAATAAAAACCAAATGAACGAAAAAAAAATAAGTTTGCTTTTTCTTTTGATCAATAACAAAATCAACGATATTGGCCAGTCGGTATACATACACACACACACACACACACACAAGCAAAGAAAAAACCTTCGGTCCATCAAAAACTTTTTCAAAACAAAAATCTGATAAAGAAAAAAATGAGCAAAAAAGTGAATTGATTTTTTTTCCACTGTGGAAACAAAAATTCGTTCTGCTTTCCATTGCATTGCGGTTGTTCATATATCATCATCAAACGACGGACCCATAGAAAAAGGTAATTTTCTAATCAGGCAAAGTAAACGGCAATTATTGTTGATGGACAGATCAGAAAGAAAGAAAAAAAATACACACTGACCACAGAGAAAAAAACCTCCACACACATTCATTGGTAAAAGTAAACTATAATAATTAACTTTCGTGGCATGAAAAGATAGACACGAATTTTTGAACCAACGAAAAAAAACAATTTGCAAAAAAAAAAAAAAAAAAAATACAGATAAAAGAAGGAAAACTTATTATTTTTTTGTCTGTTCGTTTGGACCACGAACGAATCACTGAAATTCGATGGCCAGTCAAACTATTAAAATATATGGGACCGAATAATGTGATCAATCAGAGGTTACTCTCGATTACAGACAGCCAAAAAAACGAAAATTCAAAACAAAAGAAACCTAAAAAAAATGTTAATTTCACAGATATATTCTCATTTTGGTTTGGATATTATGGTTTTTTGTGCGCTGACCATTGAAATATGATGTTACATTAAACATTGGGTTTCAAACATGAATCATCGTCAAGAATCAAACATGATGATCAAATGTGACTTATGTGTGTGTGTGTGCAACAAAAAAAAAAAACAAAAACACATCAGCACGTGTTGTCATAATTCTAATTCTAATAATTAATAATTGATTCGTGATTCATGTGTCGTAATAATACTACAAATATGGCAGCAGCTTGTTGTTGTTGTTGTTGAATCGATAAAATTACATTTTGCGGTAGTATGCATACATAGAAATAGAAATTATATTATGCTAAGCTAAGCAATAAAGAATGATAGAATTTTTTTTTTCTAGTTGTAACTTACCCATAAAGAAGAGCAGCACCGGCAATAGCGCCAGTACAATGGGCCAAAATGTACATAAATGCTCTTAATGGTGAAATACGTTTGGTGAATAGAAAAGAAATTGTAACGGCCGGATTAATATGACCACCACTAATATGACCAAAACATTGTATCAATGTAGCCATTGTGAAACCGGAACACAGTGCAATTATAAGCCAATTTGGTGTACTTGAACCGAATATAAAATTCGATCCAGTCCATGTAAGATGTGTGGCACACAATAGGAATACATATAAAAATGATGCTAAACATTCAGCAATGATTGATCGCCATAAATCAAATGTTCGTAATTCATAACGCATTGTTGCCAATGATATTGGTTCATGACGTCCAAAACGTTTACGACGAGCTTGTTGTGCACGTTGCCTAGCTACATCTAAACGTGATAATAGATGTAATAACATTGATTCGGTCGTATGTAATTGACCACCAATCTTATGTGATGTTGATGCTGCCATTATGACTGCTGTTTTTGTTTATGATTTTATAATCACAGTGATGATGATGATGATGAAGATGATGATGATCACTATCACACCAAACACACTAAAACAAACACAAGATTAAAATTTGAGATCCTGTTCCAGGATCATAAGCAAAACCAATAAATAAAGAAAAAGCACGATAAACACAAATACAGACACACACACACACACACAAACAATACACGAAATTCAAATGAAAGAGGCCAATGGACTTTGTTGTTTGTTGAGGGTTTTAGTGTTGAATTGAGATTGAGTTGAAATTCTAGTGGATAAAATTAATTTAACATTCTTATTTCGTTGATATTCTGATCACTGAGAGAATTCATTTGACGATCGAAGAGGGTGAAAAGATTGTAAAGAGAGAAAAATATGCTCGAGGATGAAATATTGGCTATTTTCGTTGCAACACATCACCAATTCTTTTTTTCGAAACAGAATAAAAAAAAGGAATGCATGAATTTTGGGAAACAAATAACAACAGCGACGACAACAGATCTATACAATAGGCGATAATTTAATTTCGGTTCGTTTATTTTGATACCAATCGGGCATGATGATGATGATGATGATGATGATCCGTTGCGAAAATCCGGCAAATTATGAATCCTGAAACTGTTGTATAAAAAAAAAAGAAATTCAAACCGAAACTACATATGACCAGATGGTAGTTTTGAATCGGATAGAAAACAAAAAGTTTTCAAAATGAATCCAATCAAAATCGGCGGACAACAATCCTATGGGAACCTGGAAAAAAAAGAGAAAATTATTAGACAACATAGCCCCGATGGAAAATAAAGTTTCATTTGCAAGCATCATCAAAAAAAACAACAAGCAATAATTTGCCGTCTATACATTCAAAATGGAACATATTGACCAACAAACGAATAAACCTTAAGCAATTTGCATCATCATCATCATCATTAAGCAGAAAAAAAATTGACCGACAATGATGATAATTTTTTTTCCAGAAAAAAAATCTTAATAATAATAATAATTTGACCAAGATATTCTCGTTATAATATTGTGATTGAAAACAAGAATGTTTATATATGCATAGAATATATCGAGAATTCCCAAAACATCAAAAAAAAAAAATTTCCACGTTGGTTGTGTGTGTGTGTGCGTGTGTAGGCTGTATGATTCGTCATACAAACTTTTTTGAATTTTGTCTTTAAAACATCGATAAAGTAATCAAATTGAATGGAAATCAAAATCACATCTTCATTTCAAAAAAAAGTGAACTTTATTTTTGCCATCCTCCTACTTATTATTATGATGATGATGATGATGATATAAAACTAAGTAAAATTTCGTGTTCAATTCGGGCTACTTAAATAAAGCGAAACACATGTGATGATATATGATATTATTATGATTGAGAGATTTTTATAAAAAAAGAAAATATTCGATTCTATTGAATTAGAATGCGAATTTGATTTTTTTCCACTGGTGGTGGTAGTGATGATGATGATAGAAACAAAAAAAAAATTGAGTTCACCAAAGCATTGGGAAAAACTGTTTTTCTTTTTTTTCATCAATTTTAAGGTAAACAACATTTGCATCAACTACGATAACTGACCAAAGCTACTCTGCTGAGCATTTTTTCACACACACACACACAAAAAATTTTTTCAATTACTTAGGGCCACCAACCAATCAACCAACCAGTGAGCACACATAAATTTTAGCATCATCATCAATATGGTCTAATCATTTCATTTTACTTGTCATTTGTTGATGTCTTTATTCAATCAGGTAATATATGATTATATGACCCTGATGACTATTGTGTCTGGCATTGTTCAGGGAATATAATACATACATATATACGATATAAGATTCATGATCAATTCTTTTGGATAGAGTTATCGAAATAAAGTTCTCATATATTTTTTTCTGGCAACATGGGGTCTCTCTGGATAAAAATGATGATGATGATGATGATTTTTTTCTTTCAATTCTATCTATGGTTATGATATGATATGAATGAATGAATACATGGCAAGCATCATTACCATTACATATACATTGGTATATGATTATTACAATAATCATCATTGCTAGGGTTAATACTTCAAGGACATTTTGGACATTAAAAGAATTAAATGAAAAACAAAAAACAAAAACTCAGTTGATTGTGACAATAAATTAGCCAGGCATACGAATATGAATGAATGTGAATAGTAAGAAAGAAATAACTAAAATATTGTCCGACAAGTTAATTATTATTTGCCCAGAAAAAAAATATGTGATATACACCCAAACAAAATTACCAAACAGCCAGCTAGCTAGTCAGCTAGTCAGCCAGCCAGCCATAACCTTTTGGTTATGATGATGATGACTTTATTTTTTTTTATATTTCATCATATGCTAAAAACATGGACATCATACCTACATTTTTACCTCACAAGATGAGGTAATTTTTGTTGTTGTTTTTCTATATAGAAAAGAATCATCATTTGATTTAATTCTTTCCAGAAATAAAAAAACAACAATTGGAACGTAAATTCTTTTGAATATAACAAACTGGTATGAGTCATACCACACAAGTTGATTGGTATGTGTGTATGTGTCAATCAAAAATAGGAAAAAAATTGGTTGACATTTTAAGTATGTTTGACACATACAAACATTGACTTGTCACACACACACACACACATTGTGGTCACGAGAATCGTCGAGTGTCGTTAATACGGGAGGTCGTCGTCATCATCATAGCCTGATTGGATCTTGTTTATTCAAAATAATGTCAAATGTAGAGATCATTGAAACAATGTCGGAAACAAAAAAAAAACACACAATGACCACAATAGTAAATGAGAAAAAAATATTATTTGACTCTCTCTTGTTTATTCATTATTATGGATCAGATGGAAATTTAGTTTTGTCACATCCATCAAATCAAATCGAATCGAATTGAATTGAATGATCAATCATAATCCAAAATCAAAATCATTGAATATTAAGCCATTGAGATAAGAAATTGGGCTCAAATCTGTCAATCAAAAATGAATGATTCATTCTCATCACCAACATCACATGAACCACAAAAAATTGACAAAAGAATTGTGAATTGGCAGAAAGAAAAAAATTTTTGGTCTCAGTTTCAAAAAAAAAAAAAAAAAAAAAATATTGAAAATATCGACACGAATTTAGATTCTCCAAAATCAAACCTGTCCAATGGATTGGTTTTTTTTTTTTATTTGAATTTGAATATGCTAAAATATGCAATATAATTCCATGTAGCAGCCAATTTGAGAGTTTTATCGACATTCGTTCCAGATGTTGACTCATTTCTCTACTACCAGCAAATAATTTTGGATCAAACAAAAACAAAAATCCATATCCAATACAAGTTTGGCGTGTGTGTGGGGTACGTAATCCTCCAACATGATATGAATTCATTTTTTTTTTGCTTTTGTTTGCCAATAAAGTGTGATATTGATATATAAACTAAATCTCAAGCTGCTACTGCTGATATTGGTGTTTTTGAAAATTAGCTTTTTTTTAAAAAAAACCACCGTTATTATTATATGGAAATTTGAGACTTGAACTTAGCACATATTATTAATGTATTGTAAATTGAAAACAAAAACAAAAACAAAAACAGAAAAAAAACCCATAAGATTGATTCTAAATCATTACCTCGGTTGTATTTACCATTATAAAATAGGCAAACCAATAAAGATTTTCAGCTTGTTTACTGAAAATTGTTGTTGTTGTCATTATGGTAATTTTCATGTATTATCATATATGAATGGGGAAAACAGCTCAATGTAGATGATGAGAGAGATCACCACTACTACCATCATCATTATCATTAGTTTGATATCATTCTCAATCATCGAGAGAGAGAGAGAAAGCGGATCATTCTAGTCACTTTCATTATCAATTTTTTTTCCTAATACAAATGTCATCAACTAAAGTGAATCGAATTCGATGGTGATGCATACAATTCAAGAATCGCTAAGCTTTTATACTATTACACAATAACTAACTCTAACAACCAATTCAATTCAATTGGATGCATAGCTCGAGAAAAAAAAACAACGATCAAAAAAAAACGGAAAACAACAACAACAACAACAACAACAACGACAACAACGAAACGATGAGATTTAAATTGAATTAAATCCGACATACAGACAGGCGAATTGATAAAATAAATCGAATTATCTTGTTGTTCATTGCTTATGCTGAACAAGGCAAAAAAAAAATATTCAAGTTTTAGTTTCAAATAGCAGCTATTTGCTACATGAAAAAAAAATTCAGTACGATGACCAATCAAGATTATCAACATTCTCATGAATGAATTGAGGGAATTCAAATAAACCAATGTGGGGATAGATTATGAAATAGGAATTTGAACATTTGTAATTCACAAAATGAAACGTACCACACACACACACACACACACACAGACGATTCCAAAATAAATATCATCAACATTCAAAACTCGAAAAGAATCAATTCGATTAGTAAAAGAAGAGGGCCAATTGTAATCTATTGAGGATGGCATCTCTTCATCCGTTAGGCAATGGGGTTACAATATAACTTATTCAATTGGATACATAAAATTATATATATAATTCAAACATTGAACTCATCATTTTGAAACAGTAAATTCGATTAACCCTAACGATCCTAAATGCAATAGCCATTATGATCATTATCATCATGATGATCATGATGGTGAATAAATCTGCTCATCATCATCATAAGTAGCAAGAAAGTCACATTTGGCAAATTGTCGTTTGTTGTGTGTCAACAAACCAAAATATCACAAATGCAAAGCAGAAATCCATTCAAATTGATAGTAATGATGATGATGGCCCTATTATCATAATGAAATATCATCATTTCATCCGGGTTATGACGATGATGGCTGGTGAAAAAAAAAAAATAAAAATAAATAAATAAAAATCTGCCACACTGATCCGGACACATTCATAATTCTCGACACATTGTGAAATTATTTTTATGGAAATTTTTTTCTTTTTCTTTTCTTTTAACTGAAACATGAGATTTATTTATTTTTTTTTTGACAGTTGTCCACATAAATTGAAAATGAATGATGCTGTTTATTTATGTTCCATTTGAAACACACAAACATATACACACATTAATTTGAATACCGCATAACTCAACACACCTTTTTTTTCCTTCATACACCTGTATACCACATTTTTTCAGTTTTTTTTAGCAGTAGTGATGATCGCTATATGGTGTTAATTTGGTAGAACTTTTACCTCTTATCAGATTTGCATTTGTCACAGACACTACACATTGGATTCTATATTTGTGAACTGATAGGATCTGATGGCTTTTAACACTTGGTAAGATTAAAAATCAAAATGGAACAAAAGTAAAAAAAAAAAAAATGCCAGCCATTCAAGAAAAAGGTAAAACGAATCGGCAAAAACAAATGGACATAAAAACTGACCATTTAATTAATTAATTCAATTGAAAAAAGTGTCGTCTTAATAGAACCAGTTCAAATTATCAGATAAATCTAGTCAATGCAAATCGAATAGAAAATGGCTTTCATCATCATAAGACTAGAGCATTTTTTTTTTCATTTGAAGATTCAAATGTTGTTTGATGTCTAATAGCAGTGATCAATGAAATTCATATAATAAAGATCAATATAGAATGGTGATTCTTACTTGTTTTGTTGTGTGGTATGATTTACGGACCGATGACCTTTTTTTTTTTTTTTTTTTTTTGATTTTGTTGGATATTGCTGCTGCACCTGCATCACATACACACACACACACAAACAAATTCATTCAGTTTTGCATTGCTGTTTAAGCAAACAAACAAACAATCAAACAAACAAAACGATAAAAAACTTTAACATTGAACATAGAATCGCTATGTGTGTGTCAACCCTTCAGGGGTAATGGATTCAATTCACGACACACACACAAAAAAAGAATGGTTTTGGATGAAATTTGCATATTACACATAGCTATATCGATTGATGGTTTTTTTTTCAAAATTATTTTCACTTTGTTCAGAATGTGAAAGTATAGTCAATATTCATACATACACAAACACAAAATGATGATACTGATCCATAGAACAAACAAACAAAACACACACACATTGAGATCGAATCTTTGTTGTGAATCGATAATTGGAAAAAAGAAATGTTGTGAAAAGCAACAGCTAAGAATAAAACACACAAACAGGACATGAACATACCATCCATCAACATTGATATCCAATGAAAGACTGACTATCTCTTGCCATTATGCTTGTGCGCTGTGAATTTAGAACCTCCTCTTCCAATGTTTTTTTTAATACGCCAGAAATAACGAAAGCCACAACCACGTTTGTAGTAGTAGTAGTAGTGGTCTGATCAATAGTTAAGTCATCAATTTCATGTAACTATTATTCAAGCTACTAGTTATGCGATGCATTCATAAAGTTTGTATTATTTGTATTATTATTGCATTTTTAATTTTTAATTTTAAAAACTAAAAATAAAAATTTATTCAAAAATATTCTGTAGATTCAAAAACAATTCTGCACGTTTTTTTCCATTTTCTGGCAGGTTGATTACCATCATCATCACCATCATCATCAAGAATGGCAAAACCGAAATTCCGATCACGAATTTGAAGAGTTAAATTTGAATAAATTCGAATCAAGAGAATTTTTTCGTTGTTGTTGTTGTTGTTGTTTTTTTCATTCAAAATGGGATTTGAAGATTGTTATCATTTCTAGTGAAGGCTATCAAATTTCGTATTTATCCTCTCAATTGGATTGTGGTTTGCCAATCGCACATATCGGATCACCAAGAAATCCAGTATAGTAGCAGTTACCATCAAATAAACGACGATACTTGAGAATAAGGTCAAAGAACAATGTTGAACACAAAAAAAAGAGACACAGCCCACAATAAGACTAAACATTATGACAAATGTCATCAAATTTGATCATCATCATTCATTTTAGTTTTCGTCGTCGTCACCGTTTCTGAAATGAGGCCTAACCAAATCATCATCATTGTTAAACGAGCCTTATTCGCGAATCAAAAGAAAACCAGTAAGGACCAAGAAAAGAGAAGAAAAAAAACAATGATCACGCCACCCGAACTAAATGAAATGAATAAATGAATGAATGGATCGATCGATCGGTCGAACAAACTAACAAAGTTTGTTGGCCAAAAACAACAACCGAAAAAAAACTTTCATTTCATCTATTGCATTTGGAATACAATCCATCCATCCATCCATTCATTCATTCATCTATCCATCCAATATGGTCCATGAAGAAGAGTATACGTACATTGAAAATGAATACCGACATATATATATAACAACCCAAACAAACTGTTTTTATGCGATCGGGAAAAACTTTTTTTCTTTTTCCTATTTTTTTGTTTTGTTTGTTACTTCAAATGAAAATGGTATGTATACATACATTTTATAAAACCCCAAATATCTTACACACACTTTCTCTTTATTCTTTTCTCCTCAAAAAAATTGTTTGACTGCTCTTAGTTTACCAAGACCTTTTGCCCTGCTACTGTCCTATGTCATTTTTTTTTTGGTTTTTTTTCACTGCTCGTTCTCCTCATTGTCCGTTAATTGAATTCGATTGTTCCGGCAATCTTCCATCCAAACAACATTCAATTGTGAATTGAATTCAATTCAACTTTCAATACAATTCAGAAGCTCCTTCGTTGTCGTTGTCGTCGTCGTCGTCGCTTAAATGTCTTTTAAGAAAGAGAGAAAAAAAAACACACACACACACAAAATGTCAAATGATTCGACTTTTTTACTACTTACTGTAAAATAGTTTGCCTTTCAATCTTTAGCAAATAAAGATTGAATCGATAAACTATAGTGACATTGGGCTAGAAAAAAAAGTTGACCCATAACAAACAAACGAACATACGGTCTTGTCTAGATAAATGAATGAATGAATGAAGACATCCCGTGACAACAAAAAAAAAATTTCCGGTCTATTGGCGGTGATTTGTGATGATGATGATGATTTTAACCCTATTTTTGAGTTTATTATTTCATTAAAATTGCATATAAGGTAACTATTGTGTATTATAAATTGTTCTATACAAACAAAATATTTATGTTTACCCTTTTTTTTCTCTTTGATTGGCCAAGAGACAATCACACACATTGACCATGTCCATGTGTTTGTTTGTTTGTTTGTTTGAAACATTCCAAATGAAAATACAGAATGGTCCGAGATAAAAAAAAATCCAAAAACTAAATGAGAAAATAAAACAAAAAAAAAGACAGAGAAACTGAGAAAAAAAATTCAATTAAAAACAAACCACATTGTTTCACATTGTGTGTGTGTGTGTGTGTGTTGTGTTGTTTGTTTACAATTTTCCAATTTGTTTTCAATTTTGATAATTTTTACTTGCTTATCCATTGTTTTTTTGTTTTTTGTTTTCAGGATAAATCACTTCCATGAAAAAGATATACATTCTCTCTCTGTATATATAAAAAAGTTTTACTAAAATAAAAGTTAATACCAGACGATGAAAAAAAAAGTTTCTTTTTTTTCGTCTGGGGTGTGAATGAAAGGTTCAAGATTTATTGGATGTAATTTATTATATAACAACAACAACAACAACAACAACCATTGCACAATAAATATACAACAAACAAGCCAAATATGTTTAAAAGTGTTGTATTATAAATCTTTTAAGGAAGCCTAAATTGTTGTTGTTGTTTTTGTTGTTGTTGTTTGCCACTGCTTTTTTTTCATTCTTAAAAAAGAATCTTTTTTATTATAAGAGAAAAAAAAAAATCTGTAACAATAGGGTAAATACAAACTCAGAGAAAGAAAGAACAACAAAAATGAAAGAATGTGGGTGGATGTTTATTGTTTAAAAAAAATCAGATTTTTCACCATCCACTTTATAATAACCCGGCTTATTCTGTATTTCGGTTATTCATCAAAAACTGTTTTTTTTTAATCTCTCGTATATGCTTTGCCATCAAAAAAACAATTAGCCATGAAATTGGATTTAGTAAACTTTGAATGTATCTTTGAAATCAGGTGTTGTTTGTTTGATACACAATTACAAAATGCAAAATTCAAATTCAAATTCGTTGTTGTTGTTGTTGCTGCTGCTGCTGCTGAGGAAGTGGATTTGCCGGTGTGTTATTAGTGTTGGTTGTAGTCATAACTGCTGCAACTTGTGCCATAGCCGGAGCTGACATATCGACAACTAATAATCCCATTCTTTTATCAAAATATGATCGATTATAACGTGAAGTTAATATGTAAAGACTTTGAATCGTATTGTTTACTGGCATTAATTTTATCAATGTTCGTATGAATGATCTAAATGTGGCAAAAAAAACAAACATTTGAAAATTGAAAATTTCGTTCCATAAAATATATCGGATCAATAATGAATGCTTTTCTTTTTCGGTATGACAAACACCCACCTAGAAGAAAAACACAAGAAAAATTTTTTTTCTATATTACTTACTTGCCAAGTGTAATATTGCCTGCTGGCATCACACGAACAATGTTTGGTACAGCCATTGAAATTGATTCCAAATGATTACAGCTCACCACTCGTAAACCCATGATACGTTTACCTATTGTCGCTCCTGGATATGTACGATTTGGCCATCCATATAGGAATAATGTCTACATGTGTGTGTGTGGGTGTCAAAGAATAAAAAATTGAAATGACAAAATAGTTTATATTTGAGTAATGGAGAATATTCTTGAATGAAGATGATGGAACAAAAAAAAAGTCATTGAAATTTCCTCGTAATCAAAGAGGAAATATTATTTTCACCAAACAAACAAACAAACATTCACTTTCCATATTTTTTTTTTTTCATTTCCGTTCAAACATTCGGTATGGATTTCATTTTGAGTGTCAAGCCGGAACAAGCTACTTTATCGAATGGGTGTATTATTAATATATTATACTATACTCGACGAAACAAAAACAAGAACTCAAACTAGTAGTCTATCTATTGTGAATTGTGATAGATAGGTAGGTGGGTATATCCGAATATAGTTAGTGGGCGAAAAAAAAATTCTATTACAGGAAATACAATCTAGCCTTGAGGAATAATTTTTTTTTTACTGTTGCATACATTTATGACCACCCATCACCATACAAATTAAATATAGGCTATAATAATACAGATGCAATGAACCAATAAAAGAAAAACACAACAACAACAACAACAACCAAAAAAAAAACTCACCAAATATATTTAATCAGAAAAAAAAAAGTGTTGATTGAAAATTCATTACAGTCAACCACCATCGCCACCATTTGGTGTCAATCCCAAGAAAGGAACAATAATCGAAAAAGAAAAAAAACACACCCAATGAATGAAGAATGAGATTCATTACCAGAAAAAAAACCACCGGTAAAGCTACCAAACACACACAACTATTTTATTTAACTCATGTGTTAGAAAGAAAAAAAAAGTGTAAAAAAACGTGAGAGCTACCAGAATTCCATTCGAAAAAAATTTCCAACCCGACAAAAAGAAGATGCCAACATCTAATTAATTTGAGTCTCTCCATCAACACAATCTTCTTATTCTGTTTTTTTTTCATTATTTCTGTAGTACCATTATGATTCACGTACTTATTCTCATTAATATTCTACAAAAAGGATTCGTGCCCAGCAAAAAAAAAAAAGGAGAAGGGGTTGTTCTCAATTGAAGATTCTTTTCTATGCGTGATGATGATGATGATGATGATGTTCACGTGCAACGTTCAAGACGAGGCACTTAATGTAGAGAGAAAAAAAAAAGAATCCATTATTCATTAATTAATTCATTATTTGATGAATTTAAATCCAGTTGAAAAAAATAAAAAGTTTCATTCTGAAACGTGTTACACATACTCACACACTCTACAAGCTGTTATGAATTTTTTTTTCTTAAAAAAAACTTAACGATTTTTATTTTGTCTGAAGAAACCACCACATTAAACTGAAATGGTCCTAGAAAAATCCATTTATTCAATGAAATTATCTCGATATTTAAGACCAATATATGACAAAGGCATACACTGTCGATCTTATACCAGATCTTCAGAATCAAAACCAAACAGAAAAAAAAAACCGAATCTCAAGTTTTCATCACCACAAAAAGTCAGATTCAATAAGGTGTGATTTTCTTTTCCCATTGCCATCATCCAAACAACACATTAAACATAAATCACTAGTGTGATGTTTTTTTTTTGATGATTTTCGTTTAAAGAATTTGACTGTCTTGTTGTTGTTGTTGTTGTTGCTGTTGTTGTCGTAGAAGCGAAATTTAAAAACATCACACAAACATTGGCAAAACTTGTACAGGAATCCTTTCATCAGAATGAATTATATTTAAAAAAAAAGTTCAAAGTTTGTTGAAACTTTTCGTTATTTTTGCTTCATTCGAAGAAGAAGAAGAAGAAACAAGGCGAACAAGATATTTATTTCTTATTATTATTACATTCTTGTTGTGACTGTCTTTCACATGATGATGCTAATCGGTTTATGTAAAAAAAAGTGTATGTATGTATTTTTGGACCAAACAAACATCAACAACAACAAATAATGAATAGCGAAAGCGAAAAGATCGACAACAACAACAACAAAACTACAACAACAACAACAACAGCAACAGCAACTAGAAAAACCCATTAATTCTAAACCTTTGTACATTGTATATAATAATAATAATAATAAAACCATTCAAAAAACGAACCTGAAATGTTTTGCTACTCACAAAATGTTCAAAAACACGGTAGAAAAACAATCGACAAACAATTTTGAAAATGTGTCTGTGTGTGCGGCCAACAACAGTAACCAAAAAAAATGGACAGCTTGTAACAACAACTATATATATATAACCAGATAAGACAAGATGGAAAAAAATGGAATTTTTTTTTGTTTTGTTTTTTGAAAAAATAATTTAGAAATATAACCCATTCTCAGTCTAGATTCTTCTTACGAGCTACTGACACAGACACACAACTAATGTTTATTTCATTTGTATTCTTTCTCCATATGTATGTTTGTAGCGAATATTTGTCTTTGCGGAAACTTTTGTCTTAACCAGGAAAAAAAATGTAGAAGATTTCATCATGAAAATGAAATGATTATGCAAATTTGTTTACATTTTTTTTTCATCTGAGATTGGTTAGTGTTGTTGTTTTTATTTTGGTGTGTTGGTGTGCGTGAATGCATCATAATGTTATTTCACTCATAAGGAAATAAGAAAAAAGATGAGCTAATTTTCCATTGTTTTTATCATCATCATCAAAAACAACTGCATTTTTTTTGGTTATCATTTTTCATCAATGAAAAAAAACGCGTGAACAAGATGAAAGATCCTGAAACGATGATGAATATGATGATGCAAGTTAGTTTTGTTATCATCATGATGATGATGAAAATGAAAACGAATTGAATAAAGAAACGAGGACCGTGATTTGATCGACCTCCATTTCACACACACACACACACACACACACACGACAATCATTCATTCATCGAAAATCTCATCTAAATAAATCTGCCTGTATGAGGATCAATAATGAATGATGGAAATTCATTTTCATCAAATATTTATGACGGAAAAAAGCAATAGCTGAATGTTTTTGTGTGTGTGTGTTATCGATTGAAAAGGCGATAGCAATATATACACGAATATGAATTTTAACAAAAAAAAACACATTGAATAAAAGCGAATAAAGAGGCATGATATATTCACAGACACACACACACACATCACAGACAAAGAGATAGATTGGCTACAATCTCATAATTATGGATACACCACCACCATCACCACCACCACCACCAGTCTATATTTCATAGTTGAGTATTACTTTGGTTGTATTGTATGAAAGTTGATAAGAAAAATGAGAAAAAAAAGGGTAGAGAACTTACTTAAATCCTTACCTCATAGATTAAATCAAATAGATAGAACATTGTAGAATATTGTATGCTTTTTATATAGATCCAGAATATTTTTGGTAATAAATCTTCAAGGCCATCATCATCTTCTGGAAAGAATGTTTCCAATTCTTTGAAATCCATTGTTGTGCTTTATATGAATGTGTGAGAAAACAAAAATACATAAATACATGAAATGAGTATTATTCAAGAAAATAGTGCAGAATTTTTGAAGGGAATTTTTATTTTATGAAACAACAACAACAATTAAAATGTCTCAGTGAAAGGCAAAGTTTAATTAATTCAATTTCTAATCGTGTTATCATATTATTATGGATTCAACATTGCTTGCTATTAAGCTAGCAAGCAAGTTACAAATTATACAAAACAAAACAAAATTGTCCGAATCGTATCCAGTATTTTCAACAATCAAATGATCATGGTCGTTGTGTTTGGTTATCATGTTTTGTTTTTTTTTCTGGTCGCGTGTTCGGATGTTTCACGTTCACTTTGTTCTGATATCTTTATATACATGCACACACACACACACACAACAAACACAGATTCCGAAACGGAACTTTGATTCAATGTAAAACGAATAGAAAACATTCAACTAAATCAAATGAATGAAGATTGGTGCCAGATTGTCAACCAGCTATAATCATCATCATCATCATCATCATTCTGGTCTATGTCTACAATTCATTCAATTCATTATCGTCATATCATTTATATACACAACCATACACAAAATGTCGTATGAGTATTTAAATTGAAGCCAATTTACTTGATGACTCAACCAAAAAGATAGAGCGAAAGAAATGGAGAAAGTTACCAAAAATTCTATTAACCAAAAAAAAGATGCGGTTGTCAAAGAAGACTAGATTCTGAACCACATTCAACCCACACACACACACACATACACATACACCTTATCTTGAGAAAAGCAGGCAAGAAAAAAAATCATTTGAATCATCCAGTCAAAAAAAAGCTTCTATTCCGTTGAAATAAAATATACAATCGTTAGCGACAGAGAAAGAAAAAAAGTAAATGAAAAATTCTTCTTTCTTGTGGTTTCCGATCTTGTTGGATTCCAACAACAACAACAACAACAATAAAATGTGAATGAATGAAAGATCATCTAACAAAAAAAAAAATAATAATAATAATAATAATAATAATTCCATGTTCGGGAGCCAAAAACCAATTGGTTTGTTTCTCATTATATCCCGGGACAACGACATTGATTAGTTATATGTGCCGGTTGTCATCATATATCAGGGTGGAATCAGATGACCAGAAACCACAAATCAATGTTGTTTGGATTGGATTTTTAATCAAAAAAAAAAAAACAAAAAAAAACAAATGAATAGCCACAAAAAATACCAAAACGGTATCTAAGGACAAAACAACAAATATCTATAAAAAAAAACCGAAAATTCAAAACATTCAACAACAATTTATATGAATTCAAATGAAAACAAAAAAACAAATAAATTCTTTATCGTCAACGTTTCGATTGTTTGCCCATTTTTTTCCGTCTGCCTTATTTGAACCAAATAAAAAAAACCAAGAATTCTTGGCAAGAATTTGCTTGCACAATTTGGATTTGGGCATTTTTCATTTTCCCTAAAAAAAAGAAACATGAAACAATTTCGAGATCAATTGATTCAAACGCGCTTACTTTTGACATTTATAAAATGAATGTCAATTTAAATTTAAATTGGTTCTTTGTTTTTTCATTCATTCATTCATCATCATCCATCTATCTATCCATCTATCCATAGATAGAATTATGCTTGAATGCATTTTCAATGGCGAAAAAATTTTTTTTGACAATCAGAGGCGCCATCTTTTTACCACTAGTTAGATAAGAATATATGATGATGTTACAAAATCAAAAATTGACCAGAAACAAAATGAAAATCAAACAACAGCCAACCACCACCTATCAAAATAATAAGTGAAACATTTGAATTATTCGAATTGTCATTGTCGTCGTTTTTTCTTCCGTTTTAATTCATGCTAATTTATTTATTTTAATCAACTCACTTTTTTTTACCGAACAATGAATGAATTCAATCATGATGATGATGATGATGTTGATGTTGATAGCAACAATAACAACGACAACAACAAAACCAACAACAAAAAAGAATTGAACAGAAAAAAAGTGTCAAGAAATAGACTTTCTCATCATCATCATCATCATCATCAAGTCAAAGCTTGTCATTCACAATTGATTTTTTTTTTGCTGATATACAAGAATAAAGTTGAGAGACAGTTTTGCAAACGATAAAAACCAAACCAAAATGATGTAAAAACAACGAAAAAAAAAAAAAAAAGAAATCAAATGAAAATGGGACCCGAATATTTTTTTTTGTTCCATTTCAAATTACATTATATACATATATAGGGTACACACACACACACACACACACACACATTATTACAACAATCGAAGACGATTGTCGAGAAAAAAAGGAAGAAAAAAAACCTCGGGCCTTTAGCCATTTTTTCTTGTTCTGTGTGTGTGTACCCACCACGTTTCCAGTTCCCAGAATGATGACAATGACTACTACAATACTGATGATGACTGGTTGGTTGGTTGTTCTGATGGTGTATCCATTTAAATTTCAATTTACATTAGAATCAATTCTACATTTTCACCAGCCAAAAAGAAAGAAAAAATTTTTTTTTTTGTTAATTTAGAAAAAAAACCGAATTGAAATGAACGAATTTTTCTTTTTCACTTTTTTTTCTGTTGAAAAAAATTAAACTAACGGGGACAAAAATGAATATGGTTTTTCTTTTTCTTTTTTTTTTTTTACCACCACCACCACATCCCCATCTTTTACCATAACAGATGCTATGCAATCATCATCATTTACATCCATATTGCTTTTGAATGTCATCATAATAACCTACTTTGAGAAAATGGAATTTTTTTTTTTAAAAATTCTTTCAGTTTTTTTCCGTTCATTCTATTATTATTATGATTAGTTATATGGCTCATTATTATATGATGGAGGTGTGTCAACACACACACACACACACACACACAAATAGAATTGAAAAAAAACACATTGGAAATGGTTTCATTTTCATCTTGTACGTGGGCGGTTTAATGGATGGAAGAATATAAATATGGTGGAACTAAAAAAAAATACTAAACAAATGAGTTTCCATGGATCACACAATAATGTCATATAATCGAAAATTTTCTATTTTATTTTTGTAATACAAAATGATCACACTATTTTTTTTTTTGCCCCTGTATATTACATGAATATCCAATTTCAATAATAATTTTTTTTTGTTTCGAATAATAAACCTAATTAGTGATTAGTCATCATCATCATCATCATCATCAATATGTTCATTCAACCAGATAAAGACACAATATACAGCTATACTAATCGGCCTATCATTATGAATCGATCATCATCATCATTGAATTTATGTGGATATACAAATGGTAATATTCAAAGAAAATGGAAATTCATTCCAAATACAAATGATACATTACATTTTTTTTTTGGTTATGCAGGTATATTTCACCATATACACATGCACAAATAAAATTATCATCATCATACTAATCATAATTAGATTAAATCATTATCATCATCATCATCATCATTGCTATATGTGAAGAAAGAATTCAATTCAATTCTTCATTGTTCATATGCAAACAAAACAATGAAGAATAAAAATATTCTAGATACCAAATATGGAATTTTGTATTCCAATGATGATTATGATGAACAAAAAATAATTAAATTTGTCGAACAACAATAGTGGAAAAAAGATGATTCTATAGGAATTATTTGTTTCTTTCCGTTACATGATTATCATGTGATTCTAGTTTTTTCTCTTGTTTATTTGTTTGAATGGAAAGAATTTTATTCTGGTTGCACACACACACACACACACACACACACAAAAATATCCATACATTTATTATGCAAATATCATAAACATGATAAACAGAAATTGAATTGAGATTCATTTGAAAAAACAACAACAACAACAACAACAAAATTCTGTTCAAATTCTGCAAAAAAAGGGTTTTTGAAAAAATTGAATTTTTTTTTTTTGAAAACTTACAATGGAATATCATAATCAAATAATTCGGCAATAAGCATACGAAATTGATCATAAAGGAAATGTATGAAAAAATAATCAATCATACCGGCCAATAGACGTTTACGTATTGAAGAAAGTTTTACAACCATACTAGGACCTATAGGGGAAAAAAAGAGATATAGAGAGAGAGAGAGAGAGAGAAAAAAAGAAACATTATTAGATCTATAGACAAAAAAAATGGTCTATATGCAATATTACGATCAAAAATAAAAAGTTTTCAATGACGACCATCATCACCACACACTATCACACACACACATCAACCAGCATAAGTTTAAGTTTTCTGAATTTATGGAATGATCCAATGATGAAAAGTGTCATTGACAATCATCATGATTACCATCATCATCATCGCCATCATGTTTAAGACTAGAATTACTGCAATGTTTGACGCTTCAAACACATATAACACATTATTACGATGATGATGACTATATTTACAATGAAGCTAGGACATACATACATACAGACAGAGAGACAGACAAACAAAAAAAAAATGAAACATATAACAATAACATTAACGCCATTGGCACCAAATATCCACTTGGCTTTTTTCTGGCGTGATGATGATGATGATGATGACGGGAAACCAGAAAAAACTTTTTTTTTCATTTTCCTGGTAGATTTTGAGAGCTGTAACATTGCATTGTGTGAAGAAGAGAAAAGTTGTATTTTTTTTTTTTTGTACTAATGGGATCGTATGTGTTCATAGTGTAGTCGATGATGACAATAACATCATTTTTATTGTTAGTTGCCTAACTATTGTAATCATCAACATAATCATCGAACACAAGCGATCATCGACAATCATCATCAGCGTTTTATGATGATGATGACAAAAACGTAAGGGTTCAATTTTGAAGAGACTGAAAAATGAATGAATGAATGGACAGAATAACTGAAAGAAAGCGAAAGTGAAAGATAAAATAAGTCAAATTGGTTCGAAAATGACGAATTTTTTACTTTTTATTATTATGAAAAAAAGTGGGAGAATAATTTACAAGCTAATATAAATGAGCTATTGAAGAACGCATGAAGAGAGTAAAAACTATCACATCAAAGTATATTATTTCTAAATTGAAAATCTTTTTGTTCATCATCATATATTCAAATGATGACTGTTTGTGAAACTGAATGAATGAGCATGTTTCATAGGCTGGTAAATTTAAAATTCATACCATACTAGAGCTTGATTGTGATTTTTATCAATGTACGAAAGAAATTCGTGCTATTCATCAGCATGATCAATTCTAATGGCCAGAATTTAAAATTTTGTAAAAATAAAAAAAAATATTTGTATGGATTTGAACCAGTGAAAAACGTCCATTTCAATAAGCTTATTCTTTATATATAAAGAAAAAGATTTAAACAAGACGAACAAGAAGAATAAAACGAAGAATTCAAGCAAAAAAAAAATTCAAATATAATAATAATAATCAATGAGAAAGGAATAATGACAATTTCTTTATTCTTCTACTTTTTTTTTTTTTTATTCTGAAGACCAATGAATTCGAGCCAATGATTCGAAAATCCAAAGCACGTACAATCAGTCCATGTTAAATCGATTATTCAGGAAAAAAAAATTTTCTTGGAAATTTTCTTTTCTTGTTTTTTTTTGCTGCATATTGAATGATGATAAGCTTATTTCTTGTGGGCACACAAAACAACAACAACAAAAAAAAAAAAAAAAATGAAATAGGGGGTTAACATCAAAATGAAAGTAAAATTTAAAATCGACTTTGAATTTGGAGGATTTGTTCAATGATGCATATTATTTATTTATTCATTTTTATTTTGCAATTTGGCCAATGAAATAATGGTCAAATTCGGTAATCATAATTGTATGGGTGAGTGAAACTTGTTGTTTTTTTTTCTCTGATTTTTTATTGAAAAATTGAAATTCAAACATCCAATGAGAAGGAAAAACCGTCGTTAAATGTCAACGATCAATCGTCGTAGTGTTAATCAATTTAATCATTGGCAATCAATCGATTATACAGAATCATCACATCTATATCATCATTATCATTATATCTATAATGATGGTAATGGTAATATCCATAAATAAACATACAACAACAACAACAACAACAACAAAATTCAGGCAAAACCATTATCCAATGGCATGTGTATATATTTAAAAAACAGAAAAGAAACACATAGAATTAATGTGTCTTTTTTTGGATTCGAATATATTGAATCCATTAACACGAAAAACTGACTTGTTTGCTTCTAAAATACTTGATGAAAATAAAATACCAAACATCTTCAGACTTTCATTATGAATTTTTTTTTTGTTTGTTTGTTTGTTTTCATTTTCAACACAAAATATATCTATGGATCAATCTTCAGTGGCAACAACAATAAACTAGATGATGATGATGATTAGGAGAAATAAAAAAAAACATCATCAGTGTTACATAATTGATCAGAATAATCAGAAAGGAGAAAAAAAACGTTTAAAAACGGTAGGATTTTTTTTTTTTTTATTTTTCGATTATTGGAATGAACGACGCCGACATAATCGATGATGATTAAGGCAAGCAATGAAAACAACAAAAAGCGACCAAATGGTACGATGTGTACATCGTTTATCAGTTACTTTTTTTCACTCTCTCTCTCCCTCATAATCATCATCATGAATCGTTCGATCGTTTATAGTCATAGTCCAGAACATGGTAATGATATATATATATCTACACATGTGCTGACGACAATTACCCTTTATTTTTTTTCAAATAACTAAATGTGATGTGTCAGTTTATTCATTTAGCGAAAAGAACAAAAAAAAAAATTCTGGTCATTACCAGCAAATATTCGTTTTTTTTATTTCATTTAGATTTTTTTTTTACTACAAAATCATTTAGTATTCATTGCAAAACATTAAAATCGATGATGATTACAATGTTGATGATAATGATGGGTAATTAGCTAAATTATCCCGTTTTTTCTTCTATAATACAGTTAATATATATTTGGCCAACAAATTCCTGAGAATGAAAAATAATTTCGAAAACTATTTCAATCGTGCCACAAACACCACCCACCAGAAGGACCGGTTCGACAAAGTCGACCCGACCATCATACAAAATGAAATATATTTACACTCGAATAATTTTGGATTCGAAAAATGAAATATTCTGTGATGATAAAGAATAAGATAGAAAAAAAAAAATCTGATAAAAAAAACATCAAAAGTTTCAAATATATGATATTCTAGGCTAAATTACAAATTAATAGAATCCAAATATACTATGTGTGTGTGTGTGTCTGTTGACTGTTGACAACATGACCTAAATAATAAACTATACTAATCGAATTACAATTATAACGATTGATTGATATACAAAAAAAAAGTTTCAAATGGAAAAAAATTCGAATATCGAACATGAAAAAAATTACTGTTTTATATTTTTAACATTTTGATTTGTGTTTATTTCAACGAATTCACTTTTTAGTATTTTTTTTCTTGTTGACTTGACAAGACTGTGTTTACTTTAGTCAAAAAAAAAAAAACCAACCGATGGAAGGAAAAGAGTTGACATCATATACTTTACGTACTATAGCCGATCAAAAGCCTGATGATATATTCGATATGATCGATCAAATTACATTATTATCGACAATGTTGAACGATATCCATAAAGAATTCAATGAAGAATTGGAAACAATTATTGGAATTGAAATGGAAAGATTTTCAATGGAAAAATACAAACAACAACAACAGCAACAAAAGGACCAGGATTCCTAAAACTTTTTTTCCTGGTTATTTTCTATATATTGATCTGAGATGAAATGAAAATAAAAATTTTTCTTTTTTATGACTGATTGATTAGCATTTGGGTGTGTGTGTGTGTGCTATACCTGACAATTAATTGGGGGGTGGTCGTGTATGTTCTTCTCTTCATACAAAAAAAAATGTAGAGACATAGTTCCTGAATGTAGAGAGAAAAAAAATGAATTGAACAAATTTTAGTTGCCACTATCGTTATCTGGAAAAATAAACCACAACATAGTTATTATCATCAGTTTTTGCAACAAAAAAACAAAAATCTATATTAAACACCAAAAAAAACTTGCCAAAAACAACAACAACAACAACAAAAATTGAAAAAAAAATTCCAAAATAAATGCACGTCATAAACCGATCGGTCATATTTGGTTCATTCACCAATCACTAATGTCATATCTTCTATTACTCTCAAACTCAAACTTTTGGGTTTTTTTGTCTCGCTCTTTTTTCTAGGGTTGGACAGTTTTTGCAATTAATAACTGTCATCATCTATAGAATCCTTCTATATTTGTAATGTGTTGTTGTGGCCACATTCGAACAAAAGAATAGTGTGTTTGGTCATAGAATCAAAAAAAAAAAAAAATTTGTCTAAAAGATGACAAATCAAAAATAACCCAAAAAGTAATAGAAATATTGGGTTGAAATTCTTAAAGAAAAAAACTTTAAGAAAATGATGATGATGAACAATGATGAACAATGATTATGTTGTGATTATCCTATCCTATCGTATTTTATTTATCGTTTTTCAAAGCATTCAAAATATTTTTTTTTTTTTTAAATGGTCAACACATTCATACAAAACTGATGGAACTGCTTTTTTTAAAAAAAAGTGTTTGACCAACAGAATAATATTCTCTGTTTGTGTGTGCGTGTGTATGTGTGTATTCTGATATATTGAACAAAAAAAAATATTGTAAATAAAAATAATAAATCATCACAGGAAAAAAAAAACCACCAGAAGATGGATAAATAAAAAATAAAATAACAATTGAATGCAGAGAAATAGATTCTATTGGCAAACACACACACACACACACACACACACAGAATATTCTCTATGGATATTACCACACATCCGTATGATTATTGTTATTGGACTCGATTTTGACGATGTGTTTGTGAATGTAGTTGGCAGACAAAATGATCGATGATGAATTTGAACAAGTAAACTAGCCAGTCAGCCAACAATAATAATACCACCGACTGTTTGTTACCGTTTTTTTTCTTTCTGTGTGATGTGTAATAAAAAAAAACAATGATTCTGGTAAATGCACTGATGATGATGATGGTCAAATAGTGAACAACAAAAAAAATGATAAAGTTTTTTTTTCTCCCGAAAAAAAATATTCTTCTACTCAAATTTTATAGATGAACGATGAACTGAAAAAATTTTTCCTGGCTGGTATCTCTCATCAACTAAAAAATTATTGGATGATTGTCTTTTTTTTCCATTATTGCTTAGAAGAAAAAAAAGCAAGGTGTTCACATAGATGAGAATTCCATCCAATTACCGTTATACATTGAATAAAAGATTGGTATCCGATCTATATTCAAAATATTACATGCATATATCGGATAGAGTTTCAACCATTTTTATTTCATAGGTATAACATACACACACACACACACTATACTATTGTAATCATTTGTGATCATGGAATATTTTGACGTTTTTTGAAATTTGACCACTCGATTCGCTTTCATCCCAATTTTATGCCCACCACCACCATTTTGTCTATTGGGAGTTAATTTACATTCAATTCTTTATTCATTTTTTGTTTTGTACCAAAAAAAAAAATTACATGGAAAAGCTAAAATTCAAATTATTATTTCGATGGATTAGAATGAATTTGTTGTTTGTACCGAGACAACCACCATCAACATTTAAATGAAGGAAAAAATGATGAGCAAAAAAAAAACGCCTGAATAATCAGCTTTTAAATCTATAGACTCGTTCGTTTCCGCTATTTATGTAGTGTAGAGAAAGAGATGGGGTTCTGAATGTTCGGAATTTTTGTCACAAAAATACTTGATATTTACAGTGAACAAATGATGGTTTTTTTTGGTCGTCATCACAGCAGAGAAAGGAAAAAAAAAAAAAAAATCCACCAAAAAAAAAAATTTTTTTTGGTGTGTTCCAAAAACGTCTTTATCTCTTTGTCGTTGCTATAATTCGTTACATACCACACACACATACACAAACCAAACGAACCAAACCAAAGATTGAGATTAGAATATACCGATAAGAATGGTATACAACAACCAACAAAAAAAAAAAAAAAAACAACAACAACCAAACCAAAAAAAAGATAAGCCAAGTTTTCAAGTTTTTTTTTGGCTTTTCCATTTGATTCAGAAAAAAAAATCAGAAATGAAAAATTTCCTATTTCTATAAGAGTTTTTGTCCTGTGATTTTTTTTCATTCATTCCCCATTCAATCAATTTGTTCGAATAATGAAAAAAAACATAGAATCGTAATGTACCAAAAGAAAAAGAACACGGCAGTTATGATGAAATCATTCATTAAGGGCTCAATTTGAAGACAATTAATTACTAAATGAATGAATGATTGCCATTCGTGATGTGACAGAAAGCATATCCTATCATCATCATCATCATATGAATCAATGAGAAACAAAAACAAAACAAAAAAAAAATTGACCAAGATTACGAATGAATGAAGAATTAATGGTGATGGGCGAGTTTTTTTTTCACTATGATGGACGATTTGGAAAATTAAAAGTCACACACATATTAATCTGGAACAAAAAATAAAAACACATTATCATTATCATCATCATATATAAATGAAGACAATAATAATTTACTATCAGTTCCAAAATGTACTCAATGTGTCTTTCAGTTTGGCTATTGGATTTTTGTTTGTTTGTTTGTTTGTTTGTTCCGTAGAAATTCTATGTTTTTATATTCTATAATGTAAAAGATAGAGAAACAACTACCGTATTGTTTCTGAAAATAAGGGGTTGTGACACACACACACACACTTTAGATAAATAAAAAATACGATTGTACAAGGAATTGTAACAGCTAAATAAACACACACACACAGGAACCAAACAATGACGAAATATAAACGTTACAACAGATATAAAGAAAACAATTTCATTTAGACCATTCGTTCTGTGTGTTCCAAAGAAAATGAGTAATTTCAATTCAACTGAGATAAAAAAAAATTGGAGAACGAATCCAGTGTAACGCACACAAAAAAAAATAATCAAAATCGAATTGTGAAAAAACTATGGACAACAAAAACAAACAAAATTCGATGGAGATTTTAAAATTAAATTTTTTTTTTGGCATTTAAAAATAACAAATGGCATTTTAAACACCATCTAGTGTAAGGAATTGTGATTAGAAAAAACAAATAATCTATAAAATATAAACACCTTGATTAGATGTCGAAGCCATTGTTGTCGATTGTTGATTACCAAAATTGGTCGTTCTCGACTGTGGAATTTGTTGATGTTGTTGTTGAATACGAGCATGATATGCTCCATGGAAATAAATCCATGTTTGACATTGCCAGATCCATAGATTTAATGAATGCATTGATTCGTTGAATTTTCGAACAGAATCTGCTCCATCACTTTTTGGCAATGAAGCTTGGCTTTTAGTAGCAGTTTTATTCAAATTGTTTAAATTAACAAAACCATTTTCATTGCTACCATCTTCATCGCTTGAAAAATTTGACGATCCGTTATTCACTGGATTTTGATTCTGGTCGAATTTCATTGATCTTTGCCCAAGTTTATCATTAACGTCATAATGTTGATCATTCGATGAAGACATGATTTTGAATTTTTAATTTGATTTTGATCCGTGAAGAATTTAGGAACGAATTTTATTCCGTCTACTCAAAATATAAATTGAAAGTGAAAGCGCAACAACAATCAATCAAAACAAAACAAAACAAAACAATTTAACCGTTCATACAAGACGTTTCAAAATATTACAATTTTCAAATCTATATCGTTTTTAATGATGGTTATATTTAATTGTGATGATTAAAATAATTACAAAAGTTTATTTGAACATTTCTCAAGCCTATGATTTTTATTTATAACCATATTAGGTGGTACCGGATCTCAAAGAGGGGGTAGCAATTTTGATTGGACTCGAATGTAAACCCAACAATGTGACATCAGCTTCCAACAATGTCATGTCCTGTGTTGATCCAAGAAAACGATCACTCAATTCTAAATCATTGATGCGAACTTTGACTTTAGCTCCACGGGCATACAATCTACAGAAAGAATAATTCATCATCAATCGAATATAAATAAAGTCAATGGAAAGAATATTTACACAGAATTCTGTTTAGGACGACGACAAACGGCCAAAAATTTAAAGCCAAAATCAATGTAGATATCATCATCAACAATTTGAACGATTTCACCGATGACAATTTTTTCTTCGGGTAATCCAAGTTGACAGTAAGGAGAATCACGAAATAGTGTTGCAAATGTTGCATGATGCTGATATGATTTGGACTGTTGTTCATTATTGCTTTTATTCCATTTGATAGCTGATGATGTACCTATCCATCTATTGCTTAATATCAGGGAAGAATTTCGTATGGTAAAATTTTTTCGAATAAGAAAATTTACTCTAAAAATCGGTCGAAACATTGTTGTTGTTGTTGTTGTTTCTCAAATTTTTCAAAAATATGAATGAAAATGAATTTCAATAAAACAAAACATGTGACTTTAATATCCATTCACATAGAACGTATTAATTTATATTATATGCATGCATGTTTATTATGTTTGCTAAATTCCTTTTCCCTTTTCCCCTTTTTTACGATTGATTGTTTTGGCATAAGGTAATAAAACAATCATTGTTTGTCGATCACATATCATCATCAATGCAAATTTTAAATGGTGGTTGTTCATTGTATTGTTTTTTGTCACCTTTATATATATTCCATTTACAATATTCATCATACTATTTTTTACAATCAGATTTCACAACTATGTTTTTGTCATAATGTAAATTTTTTTTTTTTCTCAATGTACTTTATTGGATCGACCAAAAAGAATCAATGTTTCACTGCCACCATTGGTAACCGCATCGATCGATCGCAAAAAGAAAAAAATTCCTCCTATATACCATCATTTTATTTGATTGCATAGTTACATTATCAACAGTCTGATATCATCATAATCATAATCATAATAATAATTATCATTACAATCCTGAATGTTACCAGAAAAAAAAAAAAGCCTTTCATTTTCTCTCATTCCATTCATTATACATTTAGCCAATATGAGATAATGACAATTGTGATCTATATACGTTTCTCTTAGTAGCAGCCATATGACAATTACAATATATCGATCATATATTATTATTAGAATTAGAATTATAATGCATATATATATCAAGTGCACATCTTGCCAGTTGATAACAAAAGACAAAAAAAAAATTTAATTGTATGGTTTTAATAATTTTTTAAAATTATTGCCATTATATTTGTCATTTACTATTTTTTTTTTTTTCACCATCCAGTGTAATACATCACTCTATCATTTCAACATTAATCGTTGTTGTTTCATCATTGATAAATTATCATCATCATTGATTTTAATTGATATTTATTCGCGTCATTGTACCTTAAAAAACAATATATAATTACATTATATTATTGTGCTGTCTCATTTGTTTTTTTTTATTTGTTGGTCAACATAAAAAAAATTGTTGACCAGTCATGGTATTGAACAATAATACTGGTACTGGTGATGATAGTGATACACCACCATCGAATCCACCACCAGCACCACCCATCGATAGTAATGAACGAACAGAATCAATGTCTTCTTTTCAATCAATCGATTTAAAAGATAATCATCAATCCAACAATAGAAATCATACAAATGACCAACAAAATGACAAAAATGTTATACAACTTGATAGGTAATTTGATTGATTCAAAAAAAAATCTTTTATATAAACAGAATTAATTGAATTGAAAAATTTTTTTTCCAAAAAAATTCAGCAATCTTGATCCACCAACTAAAACCGAAAAAAATGAAAACAATACGTTAGTGATGGTTGTTAAAGATGATAAAGAAAAAAAGAATAAGGATGACCAAGTTAAATCAGTTTCATTTTTTAAATTGGTAATTATCATTATCATAATCATCATATCATATATATAATAAATGACCTTGTAAATCATTTGATTTTTATGTTCTCTCAAAAATTTTGATTTAAGAACAACAACAAAAAAAATCATTCAGTACATTTTTTTGTTAGTACTTTTTACATTTCAATATTTTTTGACCATAAGTCTGTATGTGTTAAACAAGTCGGATTAAATGCTTTGATGTTTTTTTTTTTTCTAATAAAAAAAGGTGATAATCATGCTTGTTTCTTATCGCTGTCATCACCATCATCAATCTAAGCTCATAGGTTTATTTGATTGATTTTTTTTGTGATCAAGATTTGCGATTGTATACAAAAAAAATCAAATGATAAAAAATTATTTTAAAAAATGAAAATAAATTTTTCTTTATCTTGTTTCACATTATAGTTTCGTTATGCATCGACATTGGATAAAATATTCATTGGTTGCGGAATTTTTTTCGCCTTTAGTCTTGGCCTTGGTTTTCCATCCATTATTCTGGTTATGGGCCATTTAACCGATATATTTGTTGAATATGATATATTTCATCAATTTGCCACCAACAAACCACCTGGATATGATACTTTTTATGAACAAAATTTAACAAACATCAATAATGTTGATGAGTTTTATAATTTGACGGCCGCATACTACAATAGTTTTGATGATAAAAGCGATTTTGATCAACTACGTTCACGAACTGGCCTCAGTGTTGAACATATTGTCAACATATTCAATGATTCGATATTTCATAATGGAACTCTATATGTTGATAATTTTCGTACCGATTCCGGCCTTTACGCTCTCTATATGGCACTCATTGCAATCGGTTTTGGTATTCTTGATTATTTCGCTTTAGGCCTTTGGGAACAAGCCGCACGTAATCAAGTATATCGAATCAAATTATTGTTCTTTAGATCAATAATCCATCAAGATATCGCCTGGTTCGATACGAAAGCATCGGGTGATTTTGCTTCAAAATTGACCAAGTATGTTTTAAGTTGTTTTATTTTTATTCTCATTTATTCGTGTTTTTTTCATAGTGATTTGAATTTAGTGCAACAAGGTATGGGTGACAAAGTCGCCCTTACCATCATGTCGTTTTCAACGTTAATTTTTTCAATCTGCATTGCATTCTATCATGGTTGGGAATTAACTTTGGTCACAATGTCCATTATGCCAGTACTTGGCATTGCTTTTGCTGTTATCGGAAAGGTTGCTTAATTTTTGCAATTATTTCATTTAGATTTTATTTAAAATATATATCACTTTATTTTTTCATAGGTTCAAGTAAAATTTGCAGCTAGTGAATCGAATGCTTACGGTAAAGCCGGTGCAATTGCTGAAGAAGTGTTTAATTTGATCAGGTAAACCATGATGATAGCATCTTTTATTTTATTAAAACAATATCGTTCTAAATTTGATAGAACTGTGCATGCGTTTGGTGGACAACAAAAAGAAATTGAACGATACAATAAAAACATTGAACCTGCTCGTCGTAATGGAATCCGTCGTAGCATGTTTACTGGTATCAGTCTTGGTATTATGTATTTTGCCATTTATTCATCGTATGGCTTATCGTTCTGGTACGGTGCACGTTTGATTGTACGATCCATCAAGAATGGTGAAACGCCACCAAAATATCAAGCTAGTAATATGCTGATCGTTTTCTTCAACGTATTGATGGGTGCATTTAGTCTTGGTCAAACATCTCCATATTTTGAAGCCATTGGCAGAGCTTGTGGTGCTTTTGGCAATATTTTTCAAATCATTCAGCAAAAACCAAAAATCGATTCACTGTCACAGTTAGGAAAACGAGTACAGATTCGTGGTCGAGTTCAATTTCGAAATGTTCATTTTAATTATCCATCTCGCCCAGAAGTTTCTATTTTAAATGGTATAAACTTGGATGCTGAACCTGGTCAAACCATTGGAATCGCTGGTTCTTCTGGCAATGGAAAGTCAACAATCATGCAATTGATTCAACGTTTTTATGATACTAATAAAGGACAAGTATTGATCGATGGACATGATATAAAAGATTTAAATGTCGGTTCGTTACGTGATCAAATCGGCGTCGTAGGACAAGAACCGGTTTTGTTTGGCTATTCTATCGAGAAAAATATTGCATTTGGTCATCCGGAAGCCAATTTTGAGGAGGTGGTTCAGGCAGCGAAAGAAGCCAACGCTTATGATTTCATACAAAATCTACCCGACAAATTCAATACATTGGTTGGTGAACGAGGAGCTCAATTGTCTGGTGGACAAAAGCAACGTATTGCCATAGCTCGAGCATTGATTAGACGACCGAAAATTCTGTTGCTAGATGAATCGACATCGGCGTTGGATTCAGAAAGCGAAAAAATCGTTCAGGCAGCATTGGACCGCGCTAGTATTGGTCGTACCACATTCATTGTAGCTCACCGATTGTCGACAATTCGTAATGCCGATAAGATTCTTGTTCTTGATCAGGGACGAGTCAAAGAATCTGGTACTCATCAAGAATTGATCGACGCTAAAGGCATCTATTACAATATGGCAAGATTACAGAATCAAGACGAAGAACAAGAACAACGACAGTTGCAAGATGGAATTCGAAAACGATCTATCGCATATGCCCAAAGAAGCAAATCTATCGATACTGTACAAACATCCATATCGAGTGCACATGGAAACGAAGATGGCCCAAACAATGATGAGAAATCTTTGGAACAGGAGAGTTTACCACTGCGACGATTGATTCGTTCAGTGATGCCCGATCGTTGCTACTTGATCACAGCTACAATATTTTCATTTATCGTTGGTTTGAGTATACCAGTTTTTTCTTTTATTTTTGGTGAAGTTCTTGGAGTACTTGCTGCTCCTGATCCTGATTACATATTGGATCATGTATTGAAATATGCTCTGATTTTTTTGGCCATGGGAATTATTTCGGGCATATTGCAATTTTTACAATCATATTTGTATGGAATCAGTTCGGAAAATCTGACATATCGTATGCGAAACGATGTATTTCGTGCCATTCTTTCACAAGAAGTGGCTTGGTTTGATCAGCCAGAAAATACGACCGGGGCTCTTTGTGCTCGACTCTCTAGTGATGCATCCGCTGTACAAGGTGCAACTGGTTCTCGTCTATCAGTAATGGCTCAAACCGTATCAATATTAACAGCCGGAATTGTTATATCGATGTTTTATTGTTGGAAACTAAGCCTTGTAATGTTGTGTTTCGTACCAGTAATATTGATTTCTGTCTACTTTCAAATGAAAATTATCATGGGAATGAACATATCCAAACGTAAAGTATCGGAAGAAGCAACCAAAATTGCCGTCGAAGCCATTTCCAACATTCGAACCGTAGCATCTTTGCATTTGGAATTGACATTTTGGATCAATTATCAGACTGCATTGGATGTTGATTTCCGAAAATCTCGTCTTGAACCTCATATCAAAAGTTTTACTTTCGGCTTCACTCAAATGTCTTTCAATGTCGCTTATGCTGTTGCTCTTTTTTACGGAAGTCGATTGATAATCCAGAATGAGCTTTCGTATTCTGAACTTTTCAAAAGTACTGAAGCTGTTCTTTTTGGTACGAATATGATTGGACAATCTGTGGCTTTTTCATCAGATTATCAGAAAGGCAAAATTGCTGCAATTGCCATATTCCGTTTACTTGATCGTATACCGACCATTGTGGTAAATTCTATTTTTGGCGATAAACCTAATGAATGTAAAGGAGAGCTGGCATTTAAAGAAGTGGAATTCCGTTATCCAACTCGTCTTCAAGTTCGTGTGCTGAAAGGCATCGAATTTGAAGTTTGTCAAGGCGAAACAGTTGCTCTGGTCGGTGAATCTGGGTGTGGAAAAAGTACTTGTATGCAGATATTGGAACGTTTTATGATTACGAACACGGAGACGTGTTTGTCGATGACCACAATATTCATCAACTTAATATTGCCTGGCTCCGATCACAGATTGGTATTGTTTCACAGGAGCCAGTACTATTCGACAAAACAATCGCAGAAAACATTGCCTATGGTGATAATTCTCGTCTTGTTGACCAGTCCGAAATTGTTCGAGCCTCGCAAACTGCCTATATTCATGATTTCATTCAATCATTACCCAAAGGTTATGATACATCAGTGGGCGACAAAGGTGCTCAATTAAGTGGTGGACAAAAACAACGAATAGCTATAGCACGTGCATTGATACGCGATCCGAAGATATTGTTACTTGACGAAGCAACAAGTGCATTAGATTCGGAAAGCGAAAAAGCCGTACAGAAAGCACTGGATGAAGCACGTAAAGGAAGAACATGTTTGGTTATTGCTCATCGATTATCAACCATCCGAGATGTGGATAGGATTCTTGTTATACAAAACGGTCGTGTAGTCGAACAAGGAACACATGATCAATTGATTGAACGAAGAAGAATCTATTATCAAATGTACACGGCTCAATGTGCCCATTAATTGTTTATTTAACCTTAATCTGTTATTTTGTTTTTTTTTACAAATCTATTTATCCATTTCTGTTACAAAAAAATTAACATTGAAAAAATAGTTTCCTAATTCTTATTTTATTAATTGATGAATGGTTTAATTAAATTTTCAGCCGAAATTTGGCTATATCATCTTCCACTTCTTGTTTTTCCACTCTATTTTCATTGTATAATTTTTCCAAATGATTCAGCACGTTCCATTGAGCACCAAAAGCCAGACCTGGTTTTAGATTTGGATAGGTTATCTTGACAATTTCGTCGACCGAAACGAAACGATCCGATGTTTTGCTTAATACATCCAAGATTTGTTCCTCTTTTCGCACCCGATGTTCAATATATTCATGAACTTTCTTTTGTGGATCATTAACGACTGGACCATGTGATGGATAAATTTTATTTGCTTTCAAAGAAGAAATTTTACGTAATGAATGTAGATAACTAGCCAGGTCTTCGAAAACAGCCGAACCTTCTCCAAGAATATTATCACCAGAAAAAAGGTTGTTTTCTTCCTTAAGGAAGACTACAAGATGATCTTTAGCATGGCCAGGTGTGAAATATACTTTGAGCGATGCACCTTCAACATGAATTTCGTCTTCATCATCCAGATAATTGAGCTCATATTTGCCTTTGGTAATGGAATCATCAGCATCAGGATTCGGATATTTAAAGACTTTACATTCTAAGGAATTAATGGTCATTTATAAGACAGTAACTAATCATCAATCATAAAATCAAACCTTTATGAGCCACTTCATCGAGTACGCTTTTCGTACCGCCAACATGATCTGGATGCCAATGTGTGAGCAAAATTTTAGTCAATAATATATTATTCTCTTTGACAACATTTTTGAGCACTTGTATATATTCGGGAATTTCTGGCTCACCACAATCGATCAACAGACGATCACGTCCGGTTCCAATAATACTGAATTACGAGATAATAAGCAAAAAATAGTCATCATTCGTATTAAATGTAGAGCTTACATACTAGGTATTGGTTCCTTGCAACGTGAAATGTCCAGGATTGCAGCCTAAAACTCGTATTACTCGCCGGGATAATTTACTAATTTTTGGTATCACAGCAGTCATTTCGTCGTCAATATGTAGACACGATTTTGATTATTCGATCAAAAAATCAACAGGATAACGAGAATAGTATTGGCATACAGTTCGAAATTAAGAAATGAGAAAATAATTGTTAACAATTATTTGTGAATTGAGTACAAGTGAACCTTGTACTTGTTAATTGAGTTTTAATTCTCACTGGATTAATGTAATGAATCACATAAACATCCATCACATTTTATCGAAAACTTTGAATATTTTAATCAAAAGTTTTGTTTTTGCAAAACAAGAATCGTTCCAAAGAACTATACGTGATGATAACGAATAAATTCACAAATGTCCTTAGAAAATTGCCATCGTATAAACTTGGCAATTTTTAATCGAGTTTCATTTAAAGCCATTTCAATATATTGAAAATGATACGAATTCAAACTATCCAAAATATTCGGAGGTTATCTCAAATAATCATCACCTTTCCGAAATCTTCACTGATTGGTTCTAGTTTTAAGTTTCCTTTATTTTTGGAGCAAAGAACTAGGTCAAACATAGCCATCGATTATGATCGACAGGAGAAAGAAGACAATTATCATCGAAAACCTAATCGTGTTCACTTGAGATGGGATCTCATTACGACAATCCTCGTTTTGCTAGGCATCCAAGATTCATCCGATCGCCCTAAAGATTCGCCATTAATAATGATAATCAAACGAGGAATACTGGCCAAACAACGTAAACAACATCATCATGCAGAGATGTTGTTACATACCGCATTGAAAATGGCTCAGGATTTATCTTATACTGATGCTGAAACATACATATTCGATGTTATGGCAGACAACTATTTCGAAAAAGGTGATTATTCGAAAGCACTCGAACTTTATCTCGAAGTTTTGTCGAGACTATCGAAACGTGATGACTTTACTTATGATTGTGAAGCTTTGATTGAAATAAGCATCAAACTGTCCTATTGCTATGGACGCTTAAATCAGATAGATTCAGCCGAAAAAGGATTTCAATTTTCTATCGATACTCAATTGATTCGAACTGACTCATTTTTCGATGATCGTAAAGGCGAATTACGTTCGATCGAACAGCTGGATAACGATGAACAACGAAATTCTCTAGCATTGTTGGGTATGGCCTACGATTATTACTCCAAACATTTGGAGAAACTTTCATCCAAACTATTGGATCGAGCTTTAGTATATCGTAATAAAGCGTTAAAAATATCATTGCTAGTCAACGGCAACGATCATCAACAGACGTTGATCCTAGAAAATGATATCGCTGACCTATATGCTCGAATGGCGAAATTCGACCAGGCGAAACTTTATCTTCGTCGTGCTATCGATAAGGCACAAGACTTGCAACTTGTTGATTTATTGCCTGTTTTTCTAATGAATTTAGCAGCCATTTATTGCCAGGATAATCGTCCAGATTTGGCCAAAAAATTCTGCCGTCAAACCATGGACATTCTATCCAAATGGTCACAAGAATCTTCTAGTGATAAATTCGAAGAATTACTCACCGAAAAAGAACGATCACAATTGATAGAAAAATGTGAACTATGTCTTAATGGCTTACGATTCTATTAGGGTTTCGATTATCTTACTATTGAATATATATATCAATATTTATACTATAGATTTGATTGACACATTTTAATTGATTACAATTTTATAGTTTATTAGTATGTTTTTCAAGTTAGCAATCGGTAATAAAAAAAAGATTTTTTTTTGCATGATTAACCGATTTTGGTTATCACTTGATTGAGGAACTAATATATAATTTGTTTATCATTGAAGATACGGTTGAGGAAAAGAAGCCATAATATGATATGATTATTATGGTCATGATATCATTGCGAAAATTGATCAGGTCTCGAAAAAATAAATTAGCATGGGCCATTTTTTTCTTACGAACCTCGTGATACGGTTGTACGATTAAATAATAATGGCAACCAATGGCAATACAGTCTCATCGAATGATAATAATAACTGTAATAATGACCAAAGAAAGCTTGAACGTTCGGCGACAATTTTAAGTTCTAAAGAAATTACCTGCGGTATTGGTGGCTTTCAACCACAATTTTTTTTTGCTTCCGCCAAAATTTTCGTCATCAATTTCTCCATATTAGCGATACTGCAAGGTGCCGTTTTTACTTATATGATCGGCATCATTTCCACATTGGAAAAACGTTATGCATTCGAAACGAAAGTCAGCGGTTTTCTTCTCATTGCCGATAATCTGAGCGAAATGGTTCTCAGTCCAATCGTGGGTTATCTTGGTTCTAAATATAATCGTTCCCGATTGATTGCATTCGGTGAAATGGTTGTAGTACTTTCCTGTCTTCTAAGTGCTTTGCCATACTTTATATATGGTACAGCCACACACCTTGGATCACATGGCTACACTAATAGTTCTTCATCTTCAATCAATTTTGATTTATGTTCAGTGATAGAAGATTCATCATCTTGTCAGCTTGATGTCAACGATATTGACGGTGGTGGTGGACGATCAACGGTTATTGCAGCCGTCGTTATACTATGGATCGCTTGTTTACTAAATGGCTTAGGTTATACGGCTTTTTATACCATCGGTTTACCATATGTTGATGATAATATCAAGAAGAAAAATTCACCACTTTATTTGAGCACTATTTCTACTATACGTTTGCTGGGACCAACCTTGGGATTTACGTTATCATCGATTTCATTACGATTCTATGAGAATCCTTTGAGTAAGTCATTCGTTGATTTTATTATTTGCTGAATTGTTTTTGTCATTTCAATTTGATTTTTAGTGCCACCTTCATTTGATAATCGTGATCCCAGATGGATAGGAGCATGGGTATGAAAAACAAATTAATCATTTCAACATGAAATAAATCCATTTTTATTTCTTTACTTTATAGTGGATCGGTTTCATTGTTCTTGGCCTATTGATTTTCTTATTCACCATACCAATGTTTTTCTTTCCAAAATCATTCATTAAGATTGAAGAATCGGAAACTAAGAGAGATAAAAATGATTCTACATTTCAAGGTATAAAATTTTCTAATTTTTATTCGCTGATCTTCTGATTGTTTGATTAGATGTACGCAAGAGATTTGTACGGTTTTCGAAAAATTCGCTACTTCTATGTCATATTATTGGTGGCGTTTTTCGATTAGTCGGTTATCTGGGTTATTATATCGTCAAACCTAAATATATTGAGCTGCAATATAGACAATCAGCTTCGAGTGCATCATTTTTCACTGGTATTACGTCAGTGGCCACAATGGCTATCGGTACGATGGTCGGAGGATTGATGATTCGTTCATTACGACCTAGTGCAAGAATTATAGCTATATTTGTCGTGTTGGTCGAATTTCTAAGTTCTGTGGCCATTTTCGGTGGCATGTTTTTGCAATGTCCGACGCCACGATTTTTTGGTTTAGAACAAATGAATCCTAGTATCAATCCGTAAGTTTCAAGTTATAGAAGCTCGTATCTTTATCATTTATTATTCTAATTCTACATAGATTATCGACAAATAATTTTCAATGCAATCAGAATTGTGATTGTTCTGTTGAAGTTTATCAGCCAGTATGTAATCTAGAATCAAATATGAATTACTTTTCCCCTTGTTTTGCTGGTTGTAAAGAAGCCATCATATCTGATCAAGGATCTGGAATATTGGTATTTGGCAATGATAATGATAATATCTCAAATAATTGATTTTAATCTAATTAATTCATATAGACTTTTCATAATTGTTCTTGTGCATCATCAACATCAAGCATTGTGACATCTGGTCTTTGTCAGAATGATTGTAATCGATTTCCAATGTATATCACATTGATTGCAATCTCCAATACAATCGCTTCGTTGTCTCGAACAGGAGATACACTACTGACACTAAGGTATAAATAATAATGGAATTTATTGTTTTTTCTTTCAACTCTTTTGATTAAACTCTTTAGAGCTGTCGATCAAGAGGATAAAAGTTTTGCCATGGGTATAATGGGTACCATATTTGCCGTATTCGCATTCATACCATATCCATTGATTTTTGGTGCTCTCATCGATTCAACTTGTTTGATATGGGAAAAAACCTGTGGAAAAACGGGTAATTGTTGGCTATATGACCTTGATAAATATCGGGTATCCATGCATATGGGAGCGTTTACATTCCTTATGTTGGGTGTTTTATTTGAAATTGGTACAGCCTGTTATGCTGGACGTATTAAGAATCTATATGAAGATGAACAAGAAAATGATAACCATGTGATTGAATTGAAATCCATTGAAGATGATGATAACAACAACAACGATGACGACGACGACGACAATAATCAAGCCAAATCCGAATGAATTTTAGTTTACAAAATTATCTGCTTTTTTTGCATTTGATTCAATATAATATATAAATCATTTTTTTTATATAAAACATTCATTTTTTATTAATGAAATGGACTTTTCTGTTGATTTTTTTTTTGCTGGTCGCATAAACAAAAGGCGAACATTATTATAAAAAATGGAAATCTAATCACTGAAACCTATCGATAGTGAAAAAAAAATTTCAATATTTACCCGGAAATATAATCTGGTTTGTTCTAATTATCAAATTTTGAAGAATTCATTGAACCTTTACCACGATTCAATCTAAATAGAATAAGTGTGTGTGTGTGTGTGTGTGTGTGTGTGTGTGTGTGTGCATAAATTACCGGAAAGTTATAACCGACACAAAGATTTATAAACTAGTGAACGGTATATATTATCCGATTACTAAAAAACAAGATGTTTTGAAAAACAATTCAAAACTAAAATTATCGATTAAATCAATAATAAACAATATTTAAATGATCAGTAATATGATCATTTATATTGAATATATATGGAGTCAAAAACTTGGCCACAACAGTGATTGGATGAAAAATAATGAAACAAAGATATTTACGAGTATGAAATTCGATACAATTGTTGTAATCATTGTTTTAATCGAAATGATGGATGGTTATCAAAAAATCTTGTCATTCATACATAATGAAAATTTTGTTCTGGCTATAGTGTTTTGATTGAGATAAGAATACGATTGCTAAAATAGTGACAGTTCAGTCGTTTACTACAGATATTTCTGATAATGATTATAATATTTGATGAGTAAATCATTCAATATTCGAGCCTACATTATCATCAATCTTAAACCAGATATGGGAAACTTTTATTTTTATTTTTTTTTTTGCTGCAATAGCCAAGAATGATCATCAGTGACAAATTAATGATTTTACACACACACGCACTTCGCTATTGGTACATGTAATCTCGTCATTTTATTTTAGATGGATTTGGTAACCATGATCAATTAGTGGCCATCATCTGAAATCAAATCACATACAGTCGTAACCGAATTAGATTCCCAAAAAGGTTAAGGACTTTCGTCAAATTGAAAAACGGATCATCATTGTGATTCCGATAATATCAATCGTATTCTGGAAAGACAATACATTCATTAACCATAATGACAACAAACAACAGTGATGGTGCGACAGATACCGGAACGACCGGTGAACAAACCGGGCATGATCAACATCTTCAAGTGCCAAGAAAACTACGTTCGGCGACAATTTTAAGCTCGAAAGAAGTGACTTGTGGTATTGGGACATTTCGGCCCCAATTTCTACAAAATTTTGCCTCGGCCAATTTTTTCGTCTTAAATTTCTCCATATTGGCGATATTGCAAGGTTTTTTTTCAATTTTTTCAATTTTTTCAATTTTTTTTATTTTTTATTTTTTTTTATTTTTCAAGGAGCATTATTCACTTACATGGTCGGCATCATATCCACCCTAGAAAAGCGTTATGCTTTCGAAACAAAAGTAGCAGCGATCAAGAAGAATCAATCAAGATCAATTCTTACTTATTGTTTTTATTATTTCATTATTATCATTAGATTTCCGGTTTCATTTTGATTGCAGATAATCTAAGCCAAATGGTTGTCTCTCCAATTGTTGGCTATTTAGGTTCAAAGTATAATCGATCCCGTTTAATTGCTTTGGGGGAATTAGTTGTTGCATTTTCCTGCTTCCTAAGTGCTGCCCCTTATTTCATCTACGGTACAGCTTCACATCTTGGTTCGCAAGTTTTCAATAAAACTTCAGTTACAAATTCTGAAATGTGTGGAGCTAAAGATACTGCATTCTGTGAACATCATGAAGGACATTCGACTGTCATAGTAGCCGTGGTCCTTTTATGGTTCTCATGTTTTTTCAATGGATTAGGATATACAGCATTCTATACGATCGGATTGCCACACATTGATGATAATATTAAGAAAAAAAATTCACCAGTTTATTTGAGTAGTATATCTACTATTCGATTGCTTGGACCAGCTTTAGGATTTATATTGTCATCAATTTGTCTGCAATTTTATGAAAATCCATTGTGTAAGTCATTTGTTGATTTTATTTTTTGCTGAATTGTTTTTGTCATTTTAATTTGACATTTAGTGCCACCATCATTCAATAATCATGATCCTCGTTGGATTGGAGCCTGGGTAAGTTTGATAATTAGATTAGAGAACAGAAATTTCATAATTTAATGTCTTTTATCAATATAGTGGATCGGTTTTCTTATTCTTGGCACACTCATCCTACTATTTACATTTCCAATGTTTTTATTTCCAAAATCATTCGCCAAGGAAGAACTTAATAAAAGTAAAACTTCCGATACAGCAGACACTGATAATCGAGCAGACGAAGATAAAGCTAAAGCGGTCATCTCATCATCATCTACCTCAGAGAACATTTCCACTATTCAAGGTTCGTTTGAAAATATTGCTTTGAATTTGATTGTTAATAATTTGATTTATTATTGTCCACAGATGCTCGAAAAGCTTTTCTTCGATTCTCCAAGAATTCATTGCTCATCTGTCACATGTGTAGTGGCGTATTTCGTGTCATTGGATATCTCGGGTATTATATTGTCAAACCAAAATACATTGAGCTTCAATATAGACAATCAGCATCAAGTGCTTCGTTCTTCACTGGTATATTTAGTTTTGATAAATCGATCAAAAATAAATGCACATATTTTATATCTGTTTAAGGAGCTGCATCTGTTTTGACCATGGCTATTGGAACGATGGCCGGTGGTATAATCATTCGACAATTCCGTCCAAACGCACGTAGTATAGCCGTTTTTGTCGTCTTAGTTGAACTGTTATCATCGTTGGCCATTTTCAGTGGAATGTTCCTACAATGTCCCACGCCACACTTTTTTGGGCTAGAACAATTGAATCCAAGTTTATCACAGAATCCATATGGGTGAGCGATTATATTACTTTTTGATCATACTTAGAATAATTGATTTTTGATAAGATTGAATCAACATGATTATCGTTGCAATCGGGACTGTGGATGTACTGGAGAAGTATATCAACCGATATGTATCAAGGACGGTGATACAAATTTTTTTTCGCCCTGTTTTGCCGGATGTAAGTCATCATTTCATTTGCCTGGTCATGAAGTTGTGGTAAGATTATATGATTAAAAAATGACCGATTGATTCTTCCTATTAACCTATTCCATCGTGTACTATAGACATTTCACAATTGTAGCTGTGTACCTTCACCGCAAGTAACCACATCCGGTCTTTGTCAAACTGATTGTAATCGTTTCCCCATGTACATCACCTTGATTGCCTTGTCAAATACAATTGCATCGACAGCTAGAACAGGTGATACGCTCATTACACTACGATCAGTTGATCCACAGGATAAAAGTTTTGCTATGGGCATCATGGGTACAGTATTCGCTGTGTTTGCATTTATACCTTATCCATTGATCTTTGGTACAATTATCGATTCAACATGTTTGATATGGGAAAAATCCTGTGGAAAGACTGGAAATTGTTGGTTATATGATATTGATAAATATCGTATCTACATGCATATGAGTGCTTTTACATTCTTGATGATCGGTGTTATACTTGAATGCGGTACTATTTGCCTGGCTGGACGTATTAAAAATCTTTACGATGATAATGAAGATGATGGCCAGCAAATGATCGAGTTGAAATCGGCAGAACCACCACAACCTATTGAACAGCCATCACAGCCAACCATTACAGTGACCAATGTAGCTAATGTGGAGAATAGCGGTGGCACAAAAACGACATAATCGGCATAATTAGCACCCTCTTTTTCACATTATCGTTAATCCCATTAAGCGATTGTTCATCGAGACACAATCATTTATCCATGAATACTCAGAGATGACAAATTAATCGATTTATTCGAAACGATTCTTTTTTTGTTTGCTATACCCATTATTTTATTTACTTTGTCATTTTCAAAAAAAAATTAGTCTTTTTTCACAAATCAATTTTAATTTGTCTATGTTTTCGTAGTAGAAGTTGATTTACTAGATGTTTTATTTTCAATTATAATAGCAGAAATGGCTGCCACGGAAGAATGACACGTGGATGTAGATGATTGCTGCTGTTGAGATGATTGATGTTGTTGTGATGATGATGAAGACGAGGTGGATGGATTAGGTGACGGTGTAAACGAATGAGATGTAGTTGAATGTGGTGAATCCACTATTCGATTTGGTTGGGATTTGGTCCTGGTCGTTACTGGAACTGCTGTCGTAGAAATAGAATCCGAAGCCGCCTGTGATGGCGATGAAATATATGGAGGTATGGCCAATGGTCGTGACGTCGGTGTCAGAAAATTATGAGCTATAAATACGATATAACAACAACAAAAAAGTAAAATTTTAAGAACGTCTTTAAGGAATTGTATAAAATACAAACCAGATATAAATTTATTCGTATCTGTAACAAATACAGGTGTAGCTGTTGCTGTCGATGATCGGGAGTGATTAGAATGATTATTGGGATTATGGTTGCTGAATAGTGCCATAGCTGTTGCATTATGTATTCGAATAGAACCAGCCAATTGATCTGATGATGTATGTGTGGACGTCAATTGTTGATCATTTGGATCATGCAATAGATGAGGAACATGATGATGGTGTGACTGATTACCATTGTTTTGTCCATTAGTATGATAACAATTCGAGGTAGTGATTGCTGTCAACTGTTGCTGTTGTGAATGTGGTTGAATCGAATTTGGATTTCGCTTATTATCGGTCGTCATAAACAATGGCATTTGATGATTAATCAATCGATTTGGTTGATCGGCAATTATGGGAGATAAAGGCGGACTACTACAATCATTACGGCCATGTTTACGCATATGTTTGGCCAAATTGGATGTTTGTGAGAATTTATCACCACAATCTTGACATTGATATGGTTTTTGTCCCATATGTGTCAGGTAATGTTTATTTAGATTCGATGATTGATCAAACATCTTCGTACAGCCTGGGTATTGGCATTTGTATGGCTTTTCTCCTGTGAAAAATGATGAAGATACTTAATAATATTAAGATTGAAATGATTTAAAGTTTCAATAAACAATTTACCACTATGGACTAATTTATGTTTTTTAAGATTGGATGATTGAGAGAAGCGTTTAGTACATTGAGGATAATCACACGCGAATGGCTTTTCACCTATATACAGATAAATATAATCAGATCAGATTAGTGTTATTGATTAAAGAATGAAAATCAAACCTGTATGTACAAATCGATGCTTGTTCAGATTGGAACTTTGTTTGAAACTTTTATTACAATTTGGCCATAAACATTTAAATGGCTTTTCATTCGTATGAGTTAAGTAATGTTTGTTTAGGTTAGATGATTGCGAAAACCACATACCACATTCGGGCCAATCGCATGGAAAGAGTTTTTTGGCTGAACCATTACGATTATTTCTCGTCTTGGAAGATGACTTGATCGATGACGATGACGATGAAGATGATGTCGAACTATTCGATGTATCTTTATTGGATGTTTCCATTTCTTTTCGCGGTCTTCCACGTCCACGTTTGAGATCGGAATTTTGTTGATGTTGTGTGAACAACATGGAAGGTGGCCCATTTGAATGTTGTTGTTGTTGTTGTTGGTGATGATGATGATGCGGATGATTCGGCTGATCAATGATATGCGTTTGTTGTTGTTGGTCATTATTATGATGATGTTGATAATGTGAATGAACAGCCTGAGCCGCAGCAGCCACGTGGATGTTATCAATCTTTCCGGTCAACAGATCGTGTGCGATCTGTGAAGCCGCCTGAAATGATTGTGGTGAGAAAATTTTGGTATACAGCTTTAATTTTTTTTTGTTCTTTAATATTGGCTATATATATGATAATAATTACGATCACTTAAGAATCGTAATGGAAACTTTGTCGAGATCAAATTAAATGATCAATTAATTCGTGTTACAATTACATAACGAACAGCATTCATTAGCATTATTATATAAATTTGAATTTGAATTATAAATTATGATGATCGTCGAAATATTATGAATGAAATGAAATTCTTTCCATCCCAAATTTTGTTTATGTTTGAGAAGATACCAATCTGTACGGGGAGAGAAAGTTTAAAGCTGAGTAGCATAAATGAATACTAGTGGTCATTGACAGTAGTAGTACTTTTAACCCGTGGTAGCAGTATGTTGCGGATATCCAAACAATTGTATCCTTTTATTGTATACCATGAAACCTATCATGATCGAATGCCACTACTAGCAATTGCTATGGCGGTGATTTAAAATTCAGATTCGAATATCGATATATGTGTCAGTCATCATAAGAATAATACAATGTGATGATCAGATTGAATTAATGAAAAAAAAAATTTTCAAAAAATTTAAAATAAAAGAATCTATCGAAATATTTTTGACCATGACACAAACATTTTTCATTCATTTTCATCCATTTTCATCCATTTGAGATTGTTTTCATCATCATCATCATCATCATCATGATCATCATTCATTAATATTATTATCGTTATTGTTATTCGACGAATGAACCAATGAAAAAATAATAATAATAATAATAATAAAATACGAGCTAAACATCTTGTCTCCTTGTGTGGATTCGAATATGGAGAAAAAAAATGTTTATTATTATTGTTATTATTATTATTATTATTATGGCGAGAACAGTTCAAACATAACAATTACAAAACAACGAAAAAATGGCAAATAGTCTTTCGTACGATTGAGATAGAGTCTGAAGTTATTATTATTATTATATACCATGTTGATGATGATGATAGGCAACGTACAAACGACTTGAATAGAACCGAGGCAAATCATAATAATAATAATAATAGAGAATATAGACCAGACCAATTCTTTTCCATATTATATATTGTGTGTATGTAATAGCCAACCCCCCAATCAAATCTAACCATTTGGGTGACCTGAAAGTTTCAGATTGCAAATTCAACCAACAAACCAACCAACCAACAAATTTTTCATTGTCATATCTATAAGGACAATTTTCAATTGATCTGATATGGTTAAATGTCCTTTATTGGGACAAGTGCGTGTGTATATGATGTTTTTTTTCCCTATGACTATAACGTACGTGTGCCATTGATGATGGTTTTTCGTTGTCAATAATATTGAAAGGTTTTATTATAAAATTTGATCAGTTTTGATCTCTTCTTTCAACGGAAAAAGAGAGAGAGAGAGAGAGTAGAGAAAAATATCCGACCAAGCAGCAATTGTTTTGCCATGCATGGCCGTTTATTATTATTATTATTATTGCTTTCATTCGTTTTCGTTATGATTATGATTATTATTATGGCTTTTTATAACTCGAATGATTATTATTATTATTATCATCATCAGCATCAGCATCAGCATCAGCATCATCATCATTATCCATTCATTCATTCATTCATTCATTCACGTAATATAGTGTCGAAACATATAAAAATCATTTCTTTTTATTGGATTTTTTTTCATCCATTTTCTATAGAAAAAAAAAATTTTTTGTCCGATACTTTGTTGAAAGTATATAGACGACCATTTCCGTAAATTTCACCAATTCTAACTCAATGATGTAAGGAACAAAATTTATCTTAATAGATATGATGATAAAAATTTATTTTTTTTCAATTCATAATTAAAAAAAAAGAATTTAAATAATTTTAATCACTCATTTATAAAAAAATACATTTTTTGTTGTTGTTGTTAGAATTCATTGAAATAACAACATGATTATTTAAAAGAAAAAATTGTTATAAATCGATATTAAAAGTTGATAATGGTACCATAGCAGTGATTTTCAATCATCGATTAGATGGTGATCGTTTCCACTTGTAACCATGGCCATTGTTGATGGAAACATTTTTGTCATTGTGGAAGGACTTTTTTCGTTTATTGTTTTGCCGTAATTTTTCATCACGATCAACAGAATCTGGTGTCACCATATTATCAGGAATCGAATGAATATTCTGTTGCTGTAGTTGACGTTGAATTTCGAAATTTTTAATTTTTCGAAACACAAATGCATCATATTGATTTTGAAGCTCTTGTTTCTCCGACAGCCGTCTATCCAATTCTAATTTAGCTGTCTTATATAATGATGATATATTATTTTTCAATACCTTTAATTGGCCATCTTTAATTGAAATCTGTTTTCGTAATGTTTCATTATCTTTACTTAAAGTAGCATTTTCTTTTGTCAATCTAGTGATTTCAGTTTCAAGACGATAAAGTTTCCCATAAACTTGAAGCTCATCAAAAAGTTGATCGGAATCTTCTTCATATGATTTTTTTTCAAATTTTGTTTGTTCATAATTAAAATTTAAATCAGCATAAATATCGATTTCATCGTCATCATCATCATCATCATTACTATTAACGTTTTGTTGAACTTGATTCAGATCCATGGATGATGATTGAACAACTTATAAACACAACATTGAGTAAATAAAACGCGCGCGATTAAAAAATTCATCACACACAGCTGCATACATTGATCACATTGATATATGCCCGATTTATACCATGCAAGTTAAACATACAAATTTTCAAAACCATTTCGTTATTTCATTTCATTTTTAATTAATTTAGTTACAATTTCAATAATTAAGTTGCCGTGAATTTCACTTTGATATTCACCGATGCCAATTCGGCAACTAGATACTGTAAAACAAACGGTATGGCTATTTTGACAATATGTTCAGCTGAATCACAGAGTTTACATGTCCAATATTGAATCATTTCTGCTTCCGGATCACCAATAGCTTCACCGTCTATCCCATCATTGACATTGTTCTTGTTGGTGGTTGTCGAAAACAAATATGGTGATAATATCGAGCCACATTTTTTGCACATATGAACCTAGATCAAATTATTTTAATGAAATGAAAATAATTCAATATTTAATGATAATCTCTCTTACCAGAGTTTTGTCAGAATTATTGAACAATCTATCTTGAAGTAAAAATGTTGTACCATGAGCAAGAAGAGAATCTCGTTCCATCTCACCAAAACGAATACCACCAGCTCGTTTCCGCCCTTTTACAGGTTGATGGGTGATTTGATCGATTGGTCCTGTTGATCGTACCTGGTATTTATCACCAACCATATGACGTAGACGAATATAGTATACTACACCGATGAATATTTGAGCCTCTAGCTCACGCCCATCTACTCCACTGAACATTTTTTCCGTTCCATAATAGTTGAAACCATAACTTTCCAATAATTTACCATAATAATCCGAAGCAAGATTATCCTCGGAAAATGTAAACGGAGTGCAATCATGAACTAAGCCATGCATCGAAGCTGATTTTCCGGCCAATGTTTCTATCATTTGTCCGATAGTCATACGAGAAGGGAAGCCATGTGGATTGAACAGAATGTCAGGTATGATGCCACTCTCGGTAAATGGCATGTCCTCAGCAGGCCATAAAAATGAACAAATACCTTTCTGACCGTGACGATTGGCAAATTTGTCACCAATTATCGGTGATCGTCGTAATAAATATGATATGGCCACTCGGACAATTCGTGTTTCATCACCATCACTTAAAATTTTCACGTCAAAAATGTATGCAGGCTCGGAACTTTTGTATTTATGAAATTTGGTCCTATTTTCAACCATGTCCACGTACGCACAAACTGGATCATCTTGACAAACTAATCTTCCGATGAATGGCAATCCATCCTGATCGAACATTCCCGCATATTTCTCATCAACATCGACCGATTGATCATAACCGAATTTAAGCATCAGTTCTTGTTGTTGTGTTGACCGAAGCCCAGCCAATTCATAAAGATCGATTACCTCTGTCTTGTGAATAATACCGGCCTGAAACCCTCGTTCAACTGAAGCTTTGTTCAAAATCATAGCGTCTTCCATATCATATCCAGTGTATGAGATAACAGCAACAACAGCATTGGTTCCAAGCGGGTAATTATCAAGTGCATAGTGGTCGTATGCAGATGTTCGAACCAATGGTGATTGAGGAGTAAGTATAGAATACATCTTATTATCTGATCGATATCGAAGTGTATGACTTGCTGTTCCCATTGTTTGTTTTGCCATCTGACATGAATACATGTTACGTGGACTTTGATTAAAATCTGGATACGGAATTTGTCGGGCAAGAATGCTTAGAAAACTTGTTTCGCGAATTTCTTGATGTGTTGTAACACCGGGTATCATCTCTGAACTTGTAACACAGATGTCCATATAGCATTGTTCGAACGTTCCAATAAATTCAATGTTTTGTGTTAACAGATTGAACACTGGACGAATCATACGCGACGGAGTTGAAAACAGGTACAAAGCTGGATATTGTGTTGGTTTATCAGTATGAGGAACCAATCCTATTTCCAATGTAAGCGGAATCTTTTCTTTACCGGTCGTCTTCATCATTCGTAATTGATTGACAATTTTTGTGACACAATTTTCGTGAACAAAACCTAGTGCTCGACCATCCAAGAGAACGTTTAAATAATTTGAATCAGGTTTTATTGGAGAATCTAATGGTTCCATACCAAGACCAGTTAAAACTGAAGTCAAATGTCGAACTGACTGTTGTTGATTGGTTATTTGGCAAAGTTCACTGAAATGATTTAAAAGGCCGCATGGAGCTCCATCAGGCGTATGTACTGGACATAGGAAACCCCAGGCTTCTGGATATAATTTCCGACAGGCTGTTGTTTTCATTTCACTGAAAAATTGACCCCGATGTACAGAACGAAAATGAGCAAGAAAACGCCAAAAATTAATCTTTTCAGCTTTGACAGCCATACCGGCAGATTGCATTAGTCCTAGGCCAGTTTTCGAACGAAGATATCCGGTCGTAATCAAATGTTCCATTGGTCGAGTGATTTCACGATAGTTGGATGTCAACGCTTTACGTACCATAGCTGTCGTCAACGTGAAGGAACTGGCATCTCGAAATCGTAGCGATTGTTGAAATTGGCGTTCGATCGCTTGTTTTATGGTACTTAAAAATACCTGAAATCGTTCCAACAATAGTGTGAAATAGATATGACCAGATTGATAAATCTCATGAAACATCGGATTATCCGGTTTTTCTTCCGCACATTCGCGTTGAACAAAGGCAAATAATTTTCGTGTCATAAAGACCAACAGATTAAATTTATCGACATTTGAATTTAGATGAACGGCAATACATTCTCTGAATAGATTATCAGTAATCTCTTCGTCCGTATACCAGCTTGGAGCTTCAAATCGAACACGAACACGTTCGCCAATGTATTTTTTGATTTGTTTAGAAGTGTATAGTTTTTCCTGTTGTACCAAACGTAACATGTTAACAATGCATGATTGAAAAAAATTATCATTTTCACGTGTTTTGATTAGCTCATTATAGATGAACTGATCGGATGCATCACAGAGAACTTTCAGCACAAGAATCAATGGCAAGTATATTGGCTGACGATTATAGAAGAATCTTAATTTGACTGTTCCGTTAGTCAAATAATGAAGAACCATATTTGAGCCAATTTGATCGTTTCGTACACATCGAATCGATACACCGTGTTCGGAAAAAAATTGCCCGCTATCTTTCCACGAAGGTCGTATGATGGCCATTGGGTAATTTCGACGTTGTGCAATCAATTTTCGAATAAGATATTCATTGCCATTCATTATGAAGTAGCCACCAAACTCTTCTGAATCCTCTTTACGATGAATGAGTTCACTGCGAGTCAATTTTTCCAGATTACATCGATTAGATTTGACCATGATGGGAATATCACCAATAACATCTTCAATAATGTCCTGAACTCGACCGTTTAGGCTCCAATTCATTGTCAATAAAACTTTGCCTTTATATGATGTCTTTACCATACGACATTCGGATGGATAGATTTTTGTACAAAGGGAATGGTGTGATGATATTTTTACTTCATTTTTATTCGGCACAGTTGGATGTAAAACTACACAGTCCATAATCTGTATAACTACCCTATCGCCATTAGCCAATTCAAATCCAATCGGATTCAAATTTTGTAAGCCCTTTTGAAGACCTTCATTTATCATGAAATTAAATGAATCAATATGAGCTCGGGCAAGATTTTGTAAAGTCTGCAATCAATTAATATGAATAAGAATTAGAAATCTAAATAATAATAATAAATAAAAATTCAAGACAGAATTACCCGAGTTTGTTCGCTTTTGAGATCATTCCATTGAGTACCATTGATAAATTTCTGACTTGGCTTAGTTGTAGAAGATTCAAGCTGTTCACAAAGCTCATCAACTATGGTTTTCGATGTCTTCAAATCGGCTGCCATTCCGTTTTTATCATTAAAATTCTTCAGTGCCAAAGAAACGCAAATTCAGAATGCGAATTCAGACCACGTGAGGCATTCTAATATTATTCCCTCCGTAGATACAATAATTAAATATCACGTGACATAACTAATGTGGTCATAGATTTAAATTGGAAAAGATATTGATTCCAAAATGCTCAAAGTGAATCTGGATAATAGCTGGCCATTATTGAATCGATCAATTAACGAAATTCATCATCTTTTTCGTACTAGACAACTGTCTCCATCAGATCTTTTCGAAGCATGTCGCCAGAGGATACGCGATACAAAAATGTTGAATTCGTTCATAACCTGTACCGACGATCTAGGCTTGGACCAATCATCAAAATCCAACGAAAGATATCTTCAAGGTAAGCCATTTGGCTTGTTGGATGGAATACCGATTTCAATCAAAGATAATTTCAACACTAAAAATATCCGAACAACGTGTGCTTCTAAGATGCTTGAAAATTATCATCCACCATTCAATGCAACTGTAGTAGAAAAATTATTCGATTCAGGAGTGACATTAATGGGCAAAACAAATATGGACGAATTTGCAATGGGTTCAGCTTGCTCAGAATCATATTTCGGTTCAGCATATCATCCTTGGAATTCTAGTCTCAATTGTAAATTCTGTTTAAAGTCTGAAAACCCAAAAACAATTACCGAATCTAAGCCAGTTGACGATAAAAACTGCTGGTTCATAACCGGTGGAAGTTCTGGTGGTAGTGCAGTTTCGGTTGCCACAGGAGCTTGTTTTGCTGCACTTTCATCCGATACTGGTGGATCAACTAGAAATCCAGCTTCACGTCTAGGCATCGTAGGATTCAAACCATCGTACGGATTAATTTCTCGATTCGGTTTGATTCCATTGACACATTCACTTGATGTACCAGGAATTATGGCTCGTAATGTGAACGACGTTCGATTGGTTTTCACCTGTCTTCATGGTCATGATCCGAGGGATTCCACTACTGTTGCAGTTGAAATTGAAGACTGCGAACATCTTGATTTAAATAATTTGACTATTGGAATACCTGTAGAATATGACGTTGAAAATCTGAGTCCAACAATTTCCAAAGCTTGGAAAGATGCAGAGCATATGTTACGCGATGCTGGCTTACGAATCGAACGAATATCACTGCCTCATACAGGATACTCGCTAGCCTGTTATTCGATTTTGAATTCTAGCGAAGTAGCTTCAAATTTTGCTTGCTATGATGGTATCGAATATGGTTATAGAACATCAAAAATGGATTTAAATTTAGAAGATCTGTACATAACTACACGTGAAGAAGCTCTCAATGATATTGTCAAATCACGAATCATTGCCGGAAATTATTTCCTACTAAATCAAAATTATCAAAAATTTTTCGAAAAATCTCTTAGAATTCGACGTTTAATTACCGAAGATTTTGTACGAGCATTTCAAACAGTCGATTTCATCCTGACACCGGTATGTATAACTCATACAATGAATTACCAGGAATGGAATCGAATGGATCAAACGGAAGAAGCTATTCGTGAAGATTACTGTACGCAACCAGCAAACATGGCCGGTTTGCCAGCCATCAGTTTACCATTTAAATTGGATTCAGACAATCATCACCTGCCAATTGGTTTGCAAATAATCGGTCGGCGATTCAATGATTATCAGCTGTTGAAATTTTCCGAAAAATTTCAACAACTTGCTCAATTTCCTCATCTGATTTTTGAATAATAATCTATAGAAATAGATTGTCTTAGTCACTAAGACTTAGTGTTTCCATTTGACATGCGTGTTTTAAGTGGGAAATTCAAAATTTTTTTCAAATTTATACTCTATTGAATTTGTTTATTCAAAGCAATGTAATGCACATATTAGAGTATGAATATTATATGAATCAGAATTTCATAGTTGAATGCCGCTCTACATGGATCCATTGTCGTCATTAAAGTATCAATAAATCATTTCGAACAGTCAAACCAAGTGAGTGAAAACCAAACTATGTATGGTGCAACAATCATCAACAATTAATAAAAATTTTTTTCTCTACTGTTTGAAATAATGGAATCAACCATCTATCTTGGCCATAAACCATTAAATGTTTGATCTTACCATACACACACACACATTTCACATAACGATAAAATTTCTGGTAAAACCTTATGATGGACGACAATCACGAAATGATATTACCTAATTCAACATTAGCTAACGAGCATGACCTAATACAAGTTCGGTTTTGGGTCCAACGTGTTCTCGTTCCGATGGTCACCATTGTTGGTGTTTTTGGCAATCTAGTCACTTTGGTCGTGATGTTTCAGAAAAAAATGAGATCAATTACATCGACAACACACATCTATCTAGCTACTTTGGCCATATTTGATACTTTTTATTTATCATTTTCGTTCCTTTTGTCCATACAACATTATCCACTATTTTCAGGTGGATTATCATCATTTTCAAATGATCCTGTTAAAGTCATATATCTGTTAAGTTATCCTGGATTGATATTCTGTTGTGATTTTGCTTCAAATACTTCCATTTGGTTAACTGTTTTATTTACTATTGAACGTTATATCGCCATACGATTTCCTTTACGTTTACGTGTATTTTGTACCCGATCATTAGCGTTAAAAATGATACCATTGATTGGTATTATTTGTTTTACACTTACATTACCAACTTATTTTGAATGGAAAATTTGTGCCCACAATACGACCATTCATGATATTAAAATTGTACAGCTTTGTGATTCTGATTTGGCTCGAGATCGAACTTATAAGGTAAATTTTATTTTTTCAACAATTTTTCATCGCTAAAAATGAATTGATTTGTTTTGATCCAAATAAAGATGATTTATCTAGGCTTCATCACTTTAGTTTTCACTTTCATTCCACTATCAGTGCTAGCCATAATGAACGGATTTTTAATTTGGTCGGTCAAACAACAAACACGTCGCCGAAACCAATGGATGTCTCATGTGAATAGTTTTATGGCAACTTCGACAACATCCGGAGCACGTACATCACTTCAATCTTCTAGCCAAGCAACCATAATGGTAACGAAACCGATTCGTTCTGTTAGTCGGTCAACGAAAAACTCGAATCCTCAACAAATTCTACTCGAGACGGCCATCAAATTCAATCGTTATCGAATGTTAAAATATCAAGATGCCCATATAACCCGATTGTTGATTGCCGTTGTCATATTCTTTATCATATGTCAACTTCCAACAGCATTGGTCATAGTCTACGATACATTTCATCAGCCATCCAATCAAAATAAAAAAATAAAACAAATTCTTGGCAACGTATGCAATTTATTAATGGCCATCAATTCGGCCGGTAATTTTATCATCTACTGCCTTCTATCACGACGTTATCGTGAAACATTGATTGACATGATGCATCGGATTCTAGTCAAAATAATCAAATTACGATCCAACGCGATAGAGCAACCTAGATAATAACATGGACGACAACTAAGATTGATTTATGAAAACACATCGCTCGTGTATACAATCTTCTTGACAGACGATAGAATTTAGTTGACAAAAAGATTTTATAGTTTGCTCAATCAAAAAATGAGATTGATGGATTTGGGTTATTCAGGAGCGACAACAAAATCTATTCACCACTATCATCATATCTTGTACAGCGTTTTTAAATTTTTTTTTTTTTAAGCAAAATTTTTTTACATACGCTGGCATCATTATCGCCTATAAAAAACATGATGATCGCCATTCGAAGTATCGAAACCAAATCAGCCGATCAATTTTTTTGTGATTTTCGGATATAAACAATTTTCGACAAATGACGAATCAAGTGATTTGCTCGTTTTTTCTGTTGTGATTAAAAATAAGAGACGCACACAAATTCTCAAGACTAACTAGATTTTTTGTGAAATTACAGAATTTTTTTCAAATTTAAAAAAAAAATCGGATGGTGAGTGTTTATTGATTTGTTTGTGATTTTCTGTTTTCGTATTTGATTCATTAATACTAAACTTTCAGTGCCTAATTTTTTCGTTGTTTAAACTAAAGCCCTGCAACTACGTTACATACTATCGGTATACAAAAAAGAATCATTTCATCATCGTTTCGATAATTATATTGAGCATCATGGCTGTTGTAATGATGACGACCACATCAATCATGTCAACCATAGGATTGATGTTTCTCGTTTTTAATACGATTCCAGAAGCAACAACTTATCCTACGACTACGGAAACAGTGGATACGATTGCACCGTTACCATCAATAATGACGAGCACCACAGAAAAGCCATTTAATGACGCAAACAATTCTTGTCCGAATGGAATGTTTCAATGTTGGTTATCAAATGAAATAAAAAAATCAAATCATTTATTGGATGATGATTATTCACTGTTTCCAGCAACATCTATACCACGGTTTATTTGTATCGATCGTTCACGTCTATGTGATGGTCATCGAGATTGTCCAAATGGTCAAGATGAATCTGATGACATTTGTCATCATGACAAAACCGACAATCATACAGTCGCTGGAGGTTGTTATCTTTGTCGCAATTCCACAAATATTTGTATTGAAATGTCAAAATTATGCGATAATCGAAGTGATTGTCCCGAAGGTGATGATGAATTTCTCTGTCACCAATCGAAACATCCATTTTTATTATCAACGTATGAATCAAAATTTTCCGCAAATCAATATGGACCAACCAATATAAACATAGTGAATCGAGATTCAGGCAACTTGGAAAAAAATCCTCTCATACAACCGAATACATCTAAGGATGTCGGAATAGAACCAGTTAGGAGTGGTAGCAGCGATTGGCAACGACAGCCATCCGTACAGGATGGTGTTGGATTTCAATTTCGTGTCAATAATTTTGTCGTGTACAATTCGGTAGTTAAAATGTTTAATCAGGATTCGGATAATGTTGCCTCTAAAGAAGCAGATCCATCAACAATCGATACTTATCCTGATCAATATAATTACACTCGACATCATTGACATCTAAACCATGATAAGATTGTATTAAGAATTTATTTTTAATCATTTTTCTATAAATTAACAATTGATTGCGTTCTATTTATACATTGATTAAACTACTACCGTTTTTGAGGAGTGAGTGAACATGAAAATGAAAATCTTCGACATTTGCGTGATCGATCTTCTTCATCCAGTTTTGTCAAAAATAATTCCAGACTATTCTGCTGTTGATTTTTTTCTTGTTGATGATGATGGCGGCTTCGTTTTTGTTGCTGCTGTTGTTGTTGTTGTTGTTGTTGCCGTTGTTGATTGATTATTCTTATAATGTAATATCTGACTTGCATTCTAGCAATATGAGATCCGATTACCAATGCCATTAAATAGGCAAGAAACATTAGAAATACAAACGTTGTAAGGAATATCAGAATTGTTTGACTGTTGTCCTTGTCATGTTTGCCTTTGATGAATAATTTCAAATCAAATGAACATGAAAAATGGCTAATATTTGACATTTGTTCAAGTTCGATCTATCAAACAGATTCGAATTTTATTTATAATCGATATATGATTTTTAGGGGTTCTGGTTTGTTTCATTCAATGACAAATGATGAAGATGAATGGCAAATTTTTTGTTTCATTCATTCTATACAACTTACGACATGTTTGAAATAAAACAAATCAAATTTGAAGTTCTAAATTCTTTTTTTTTACAAAATAAATTATATCGATCGATTGTTATTCATATTTATTTCAAAAATTTAAATGCTTGCATGTTGATTAAATCTAGTAATAATAATTATTAGCGAATATTATGGATGATAAATCGAAAACAAATAAAGCGATTGCCAAAAACAGTTTGAAAAAAGGATTGGCCAAAACTTCCGAAAAATCATCATTGGTCGGAAAAACTTTGATCTCGAAACAAAAATTGTCTCGTTCACTTAATTCTAAACAACTTGATCCATTGGGATTATATGGAAAAAAATCACAATTTATAAATGTCAAATTAGCCAAAGACAAGTCGATACCAACACCGATAGATTTAAGTTTATCAACAACGTCAATATCATCATCAAATGTGGATTCTTCTTTCTCACCGGTCAAATTTAATGTGCCTACAAGCAATACTCTCAGCGAATCTTCAACTAGTATCAAAAGTAGTAACTTATTCAAAAAAGGTGAACAAAGCCGTCGCAACAGTCTAAGTATAATTGTAGAAAAACAATCCATATCGAGAGACGATCAACCAAAGACTATTGATAAATCAAACATTTCGCCCGTCATTATCACTGCAGCACCACAACAGAAACCGGCGAATAAAAAAGAATCAAGGCCTGGCTCAAAAAATTTTTACATAGAATTATTCAAGAAGATGATGGGCGAATATTTTTATAGTAGCGATTTTATAAGTTTTGTTGGCTTAAACTTTTTGACTATAGCCATTGTATTAGTCATAAAATGGATTAGAAATCGATGATGAATAAAAAAAAAATTTTGCTACAGTTTTGATATTACATTTGAAATTTTCGTATACGGAATGTGATGATAATGATCACTTATTTTAGCTCCTGAAACGACTATTTGATATTTTAATCCATGATGTTCAATACGATTCATAGATAATGATCTTCGTTGAATCATTGTGATGTTTGTGTTGAAATTCGGTGGTGCAATTGGAATGATTGGTACATGATTCGGATAGAATTGATCACCTGAAAATTGATGTCATTCTTATTATCAAAACATTCTAATAATATCACAATTACCTGGTAAATATGAAATGCAACCATCCTGATAAAACTCTATGAATGGAATCCATCGTTTAATTGGAATTCGTGGATATTCTAGCCGCATGTAGAGCTTCAATTGATTAATTTGATGAAATCTAGATAAGCAAGTTAGTTCATAACAATCATTGGGAGGTAATATCAATGATGGTATTTGATCAAGTGAAATCCAATGACCATGTCTAGACAGTGTTTGAATTTTTTGAAAAGATTCTTTCAATATGACCAGATAGTATAATGTATCATAACGTGGAGAACGGCCAACAGAAGTTGGTGTCAACCAATTCCACCATTCGTACAATTCAATTTCATCAAAGTTGATTTGTAACGAATTGTTGGCTGTATATAATCTACGAAAAATTTGCCAATCTTTACGACATTTATCGAGCCAATCATCAAATTTATCAAAATTACAATGGTTTGGTAAGATACCAATTTCGTTGAATAAACATCTTAAAGCACAAATGCGAAGAGCAAGCAATACATCTTGATGATATTCACCATAATCACCACATACAGTTGATCTATCATGAATCATAGGCACATTTTGAAATTTAACCTTTTCCACTGATGGATCTCGACGTAGCCAATCGATCGAAGCGATCCAATCACGATGAAAATCATCATCTGAAAGATTCATTCTTGGTAATTTATCGTATGATATATCAGGTGAAATTTTTTCATGACGTTCTAAATGTTGAAGATATATTCGATAATCAAAATAATCATCATCATGATCAATGTCGGTTATCAATGACGAATCATTGATGTCTATGATGGGACTGAGAATTATGAGGGCAACATTTTTGTTCCAGTCAGTCGTTTGTTGTTGTTGCTGTTGGTTCATTGTTACATTGATCACGAAAAGAATTTTATTCAGAAATGATCATATCTCACAAACACACACACACAATCAAGCTCCAAAAACATTTTCTAAGAATTTCAAAGTGAAAAAAAAATATTTTCCACGGTTGACTTGCTGGTAAGATAACAATCATATTTATAAATTTCTTTGTAGTAATAAAAGAAAAGAAAAATCTTGAATTGATGGTGCTTATGAACAATGCAGATAGAGATCCAAAAGAGGTTATAATCAAGAGATCGCCGGATCCTGTTCTTTTCTCTCAACAAGATCAATTTTTTTTGGGAACTGGTTTTTTCGGCTCTTTTTTTCATCATCATCATCTTAACTATTTTAATTTTTTCCCGCCAACTCTATGCAATTCATTTACAGACAAACACATAATGATCGTGTTGTATTGTTCGAATACTATCCTATGAAGATCTTGACATCTTTTGATTGTTACATTCACACACAAGCATCATTTATCATGACCCATGTATATAAATCTAAATACATTTAACAACAACAGTTATTCTTTATTGCAGAGAACAGACAACAATTAAATTTCATATGGTGGAAAGAATTTGCACAACAGGTTTTGTTTTGAAAATGAAATTCAAATCAACCATTCATGATAGCCTTAACGAATGTTTCATAATTGATTCGTCCTTCATCATCGATCATAGTGGAATCGATCAATTGTTCTACTTCATCTTCAGTTAATTTTTCACCCAATGCTGTTAATAAATGTCGAAGTTCAGCTGCACCAATCGTACCGGATCCATCCGTATCGAAATGTCGTAAGCCTTCGACAATATCATCAAATGAATAGCGGTCTTTATTTTTGGAAATTTGTTGATAAATCGGCATGAATACTTCAAACGTTATTCGTTGATCTCTTTGTTGTTCACGTAATGGTTCACAGCAACGGTGTATATCGGCTTCTGTTGGATTCTGACCCATTGCACGTAAAACTTCACCAATTTGATCGATAGCAATACATCCATCACCTTTGGTGTCGAATATTTGGAATATCTCCTCCAATTGAGCCTGATCATATTGAACGTGATCGGTGGTATGACCGCCCATTTTAAAACCAATCAATAAATCAAACGTTTATTGCCAATGCTAGTATGTTGACCTAATGAGTGGATTTTTATTTTATTTACAAACAATTAATTTAATTTTATATATAGCGACATACCGATTTTTTTTATTATTGGCTAATTTCAATTAAGATTATGATTTGAGCTTGACAGAAACAATGATCGAATCCAAAAAATTCATACAAAATGTTATCAGCCTATTAAAACATTCTCATGGAAACGTAAATTAGGCAAACAAAAAACGAGTTGACATTACATTCAGTTTTTGTTGATTGTAAATGAATGTTTTTTTTTTTTTTTTTTTTTTTGATTGGAGGTTTTCAAAAATAGCTGTGAAAATTGTTGTTTGAAATTACAATCAACACGGCGACTCACGATTCAAATGTTAACTGTGCAAATCATGTATGCAATTATTTTGACGGATGATTATTTTTTTTTTCTAAATGCTGGTTTTATGGATGAATGCATGGATGTACTATATGGCTCCTAAAAGGATATCGATATTGTCGTAACGATGTTATACAGGATGTGTGTATTGTATTAAAATCACGAACAACAAGATATTGTTTGATTCTCTCTCTCACGCTCTCTGGCACATTGCTTGGATAGATGTTTATGAGTGTATCAAAAAGTGGATATCAGTGATTTACCATAAAAATAACATTACACCATTCACATATATAGCCTGGATGAAAAAAAAACAAATGAGATTCAAGAGCCAGAATACAGATATCGATCATTTGATTAATATTATTTACCGATTTTCCAGTCGCCAGATAAAATGTTTTTCTTTAGGATAATGATGATGATAATATCTTTCTTGTTATTTTAATATATAATTTAATGCTTAACCCCTGGTTTGGTTACCATGAGAATCACGATAAAATACAAGCATATGATCATTTTGTTTGTTTCTGTTTGTTGATTCAACAAGTTGCAATCATCTATCGCGCCCATTTCATAGTTGCTAAATTTTTATGATAATATTTATCGTCAACGATAGATGCCGCTTTCTCCAAAAAAAACATTCAATTCAATCCAAGATCCATGCTTGCAGTGATCCAATCCAACCGAAACTCGTATAAACTGTAATATTCATACCAGGCGCATGTTTGGATGTGGACTTTTCAGAATATGAACTTTGATTTTATTTGTTTCTTTCAACCATATGATTCTACCTCTTTCATTCCATTCTAAATGGATCGTCCATTGTATTTTGAAACGATAACCAAATGTAAAAAAACTCGTGCCCGTGTTGGCCGTCTCCTACTGAAATCTACCAGTGAATTTGGTAAAGATGTTGAAATTGAGACACCAATTTTTATGCCCGTTGGAACTAGTGGTGCAATGAAATCAGTGATGCCCGAGGAATTGGAACAAACTGGATGCCGATTGATGTTATGCAATGCATATCATCTAGCTTCACAACCCGGCGCTGATGTTGTCAATCGAATTGGCCGTGGAGGTTGTCATGGATTCATCCGTTGGCCGCATGCCATTCTCACAGATTCCGGTGGATTTCAGATGGTTTCGCTCAGTAAACTCATGTCAATCAATGAAGAAGGTGTTCGTTTCGAATCACCGTACAATGAAGGCGAAATATTTTTATCACCTGAAGGTTGCATGGAAATACAACATAAACTCGGCTCAAACATTATGATGCAATTGGATGATGTCGTTTCAGCTACAGCTCAAGATGATCGACGTTTTGAAGAGGCGTTGTATCGATCAATTCGATGGTATGATCGTGCCCGAAAATATCATCATGAAACTGGTCGCGATCAATTGCAAAATCTTTATCCAATCATTCAAGGTGGTCTAGATGAATCCTTTCGACGAATATCGGTCAGAGAGCTTGTTGCACGTGATCCACCAGGTATCGCGATCGGTGGTTTAAGTGGTGGTGAAGCTAAAGAAGATTTCATTAAAATGGTAGCCATAAGTACTGAAAATTTACCCGATTCGAAACCTCGATATTTGATGGGAGTGGGATATGCTGTCGACATGTTATTATGTGTTGCACTTGGATGTGATCAATTTGATTGTGTTTATCCCACACGTACTGCTAGATTTGGAACGGCATTAGTTGGCTTAGGCAAGCAATTAAATCTGTCCAATCAGCGTTACCTTACAGACAAATTACCAGTTTGTCCGGATTGTGATTGTTCAACATGTTTAACTGTAAATCGAAGCTATCTTTGTCAATTGTTCAGAAGTAAAAATTCAATAGCCTGTCAGCTGTTGACCATTCATAATCTAAGGTTTCAGATGCGTTTCATGGAAATGATTCGTTCAGCTATCAAAGAACAACGATTTGAACAATTTATTATCGATACTCTTCGCTATAATGTTGGAACAAATTATAATGACTATCCTGAATGGATTCGAATCGCTCTAGATATTCTTCAAATCGATTTCAACCGCTAATGATTGATATTTCAAAGGTTTTTTATACAATTAAAATTTGATTAAAACTAAAATTAATTCATTAAAGATTTGTTCTTTGAATCAGAATATTGATTATTCTCATTATGGATATTATTCACTGTGCTATTCGTATCGATACGTGGCAAGAATTCATCATCGGAATCATAATCATCATCATTATTAGAGATTATGTTATTTATACGATTACCCGAACCTGTTGATCTAATTCTTCTTAATGCATCGTAAAGGTAATCACCTGGACAACTAGTTGGTCTCATGTCACGATGTCCTTGTAGTCGATAAAATCTATCAAGCACACGCTGTTCAACACCACAATCCAGCAAATGTGTCAATGCTCGTAATGCTTTTGTACTCGGTGATTGAACATCATAATCACCAATAAAAGCAATGCCCAATGATCGATCATTCCATTGCTCGGTATGATATCCTTGTGAATCCCAGCCAATACCTTCATAAATATCGCCTTGATTGTTTATTAGGAAATTCCATGGTATATCCGGAAATTGTTTTTCGCGTTGATAATACAATTGCATTCTACGAAGACGCTGTCGACATTGTTCCAACGACCAACATCTATCATCATCATCACCCGTATGATGAACGATGACATAATCAACACGAACTGGCATCCGATAAGCACGTTTGGTTGGCGGTAATGCCCCCCAATCTTCACGAGTGACCATAAATCGATTACAATAATCTCTCACTAATAGTTTGGATTAATGATCAGTATTTGAGGATTCGAGAGACCAGATGACTTACTTCCTCGATTGGGTAGATAATCATTGTCGACAGGGATGATAGCTGATCCTGATGCTGGAAATCGTCGATCATAATCTGAGCCCATACTACAAACATCTTCACCATAACAACAAACATGATCGGATGATGTGAGACATAAATTTCGAACGGCTGATAATGATCGGCAACATCTTCGAGGCATACATTCACCATAGATTCCATTGTTCGACGTACGACGACATGCTAGATTGTCAATGAATCTGTCTAAAATTTGTCCATTTACAATGAACAAACAAAAATATGGCCAAATTATAAACGACCACTTTGGTGACAACATTTTTTTGCCCAGTATTTGACCATCTAATCAAATATGTTCATTAATTTATACTTTAATTTTTCCATTGCACTCATCTAGATAGCCTGGTGGTTTTCCGATATTTTTCATTTCCTGTTCTGTTTGGTGTTTTTTTCTCAATTTTTGTCGTGTACATGACAACGATGATGTCAACAATCTATTGACAAAATGTCGTTGCCATATAGACATATTCGAGACTTTCACTAGAAATACAGAAAAAAAAATTTCTGGGTCAATTTTTTCTAAATTTTAATATCCGCTTTTCAATACAATGATGATGGCGATAGCATGAAATTTAAAAAAAAATTAACTCTAATAACCTTTGGTAAATTTTTTGGAATATTTTCAACTCTTTCTAATGTCAATGCTATATATCAACCATAAATCTATTGATTTATTAAATTCCATGGTTAATTCTTATATAAATGAACACAATCACCTGATAATCAATTGATTGTGTTTTGCAAAACATTTGAAAAAAATCAAGATTCAACTATCGAACAAAACGATGGCATCGTTGATTTCCACTTGTATGTTGATGGTGACTGCATTAATTATCATCATCATTGCTATTATGGCTCATGATTCTAACTTTGTACATGGATTTGTATTAACTGACAAGATTTCGAATGTATTCAGTCCAGTGACTAATTTGGCCTCATCTGTAGCAGGAAATACATTCGATGTGACCAAAAAACTTAAAGATACTATTGTCAATATTTTTTCCAATATTCATATTAATATTACAGTTCCTGATTTTGTAAAAAAATTTATAAACAAAATATTTTAGTTGTTTGCATTACCCTTTAACATTTTTTTAAACTAATAAAATTGACATTTATTTTTTAAAAAATTAACATTTCAAAAAATTATGCCAATATTGATAAGAAATTATTGAATTCCATCGCTAATTCATATATAAATGAAAACAATCAATATGGCAATCAATTGATTATTTTTTGACAAACAATCAAAAAAAAAAAAAAAATTCACTATTAAACTTACGAACAAAACGATGGCATCGATGATTTCCATTTGTACATGGATGGTGGCTACATTAGTTATCATCATTGCTATTATGGCTCATGATTCTCATTTTGTATATGGATTTTCATTTTTTTCCAATATTGCCGACCGAATTTCAAGAGAATTCACTCCAATGATTGAAATGTTTTCAGATTTAATTCATCATACATATAGAATGGTCAGAAAATTTGGCGTTTTCTTTGGTTATATGTTTAGCATTCTTCATTTAAATTGAAAATCATTTAATTGCTACCAATTTTTTTTACAGAATTAAAAATTCTAAAACCTAAAAAAATTTTATCATCAGAAAAATGTTATTGAAATGAAATTAATAAAATTATAATTAATTTAATTAGTCTAAATTGAAAATCTCGTATTTATATAAAAATTAATTTCTTGAGATTTTAGGTGCTGTTTTAGGTCATTTAACAAACATTTTACAACAGTAAAAGCATCTTCAATATTTATTTATTTTTTAAAAATATAATATGACAATACCGACACTGATGAAACATTTATGATGTACAAAAAAAAAAAAAAAAAAAAAAATGTCGATGTAGAATGGGCATTGATGAAAATGAATAATTCTATTGTTTTCCTCCACGAAATCCACCACGGAAACCACCACCACCACGACCTCGATTTCCTCCCCTACCACCGAAGCTTCCACCACGCCCACCACCTCTTCCTCCAAAATTTCCGCCTCGGTTACTGAAACTACCGCGGTTTCCGCCACCTCGATTTGAAAAGCTTCCACGATTACCACCGCCTCTATTGAATCCAGTACCACGTCCCCCTCGGCCGCCACCTCTACTTGGTCCACCTTTTTTACCACCACCGGGTGGTCCTAAGAAACGAGTTAATGGTAGTAATTTTTGAGGATCGATATAAAATTTGGTATCCACTTTAAAAGAATTGGCAAAAAAGTTTTCCATCAGTTCCACGGAAACATAATAATCTCGTATCGAGCCGAAAATTTCATCAACTTTTCCAATACGATGTTTATCTTCAGTATATATTGGAGCGTTGAAAAATGGAACATCTTCGATACCAGATTTGATGATCAATTGATTCAGGCAAGGATGTGTATAGTGGCCAAATTCGACAACTTGCTCGGGTGGACCATCGTCTTGCTGACCGCGACCGCCAAACTTTCCACCACCACGACCACCACCGCGACCCCCACCTCTACCGAATCCACCACCTCCTCGTCCTCTATTGAAGCTACCGCCTCTTCCGCCTCCACGAAATCCCATGACAGATAATCGATAATCGATAATAATTTAATAAATTTTCAAAACAAGTGAAAACAAAAATATCGTTAAAGATTCAAACACGTGTATTCTTGCATACATTGTTTTTGAACGATTCTTTTCGATTCAATTTACCCCAATATCACAGATTTGAGGTGCTATCCACGAGTGAAAGCCACCATTATTCAATGAGTGACGTACAACTGTAAATGAAAGGTCCATGATAAAGCTTATCAATTTGCTTTGCCAAGAATGTTTCTAGGGTTCATCGATCCATTGTCTATCATTTATTTGTTTACGGCTGTTATTCTTGAGGTTCAAAGAATTTGAAATTGTTTAAATTTTTCATCATAAAAGTGTTCTAATAAATCTGGTAAATTCATTCATTCATTGTCATCATTCATTTGGATTAATATCGTTATTATTCTATCAGCCAAAATTTTTCCAACAGCTAATATGATGATGGGCGGTGGTGGCGGCCCTCTCGGTCCAGGTTTACCTGGATTGCTGCCACCTGGAGCATTGGGTGAAATGCCTCCACATCCACTTGGTCCTGGACCACCACCTGGGCATCCTGGAGGTATTCCTGGGATGCAGCCACATGGACCATCGGGACCACCACCAGGATTGGGAACACCATTACCGGGTAGTTTTGGTAATCATCGTCCTGGTGGTCAAATGCCACCAGTTCCTCCTCAATCTCACAACACATCTTCATCACATTCATCTTCACATCATCATGGACCATCACAAAGTCGCCAATCAACATCATCGTCAAGCGAACGAGATCGAAAACCAAATTATCGTTGTATTATAACGTTATCTGGCCATAACAAGGCTGTATCATCGGTGAAATTTTCCCATAATGGCGATTGGCTTGCATCAAGCTCTGCAGATAAAATGATCAAAATATGGAATGTTAGCGATGGTAAATTTGAGAAAACGATCGTTGGTCATAAACTTGGTGTCAATGATGTTTCGTGGAGTTCAGATTCTCGTTTACTTATTTCTGCATCCGATGATAAAACTTTGAAAATTTGGGAGAATGCTACCGTATGCTTACTAAAAAATTTCGATAAAATGATTCGACTATAATTTCATTTTCTAATAGGGAAAATGTCTGAAAACATTGAAAGGACACAGTAACTATGTTTTTTGCGCTAATTTCAATCCCCAATCCAATCTTATTGTATCCGGATCGGTATGTTATTAATTTATGTTTATTTGCATTTAGTAATTTTTATCTATTAAGTTTGATGAATCAGTTCGTATTTGGGATGTGAAAACCGGAAAATGTTTGAAAACTTTACCTGCACATTCGGATCCTGTATCGGCTGTTCATTTTAATCGTGATGGAACATTGATTGCTTCCAGTTCATATGACGGGCTTTGTCGTATTTGGGATACTAGTTCTGGACAATGTCTAAAAACACTCATTGATGATGACAATCCACCCGTTTCATTTGTAAAATTCTCACCAAATGGTAAATACATTTTGGCCGCAACATTGGATAATACATTGAAGTTATGGGACTATTCCAAAGGAAAAGTTAGTAGAATTCGAGTCTTGCAAATATTTATAAATGATCTAATCTTATGGAGTATTTATTTTTTTCTAAATTTCAATTTCATAGTGTTTAAAAACATATACAGGACATAAGAATGAAAAATACTGCATTTTTGCCAATTTTTCCGTCACTGGTGGCAAGGTTCGTTGTCACAAAATTTTCTTAAGAACGCATTTTGAATTTTTGAATATTTTTTTTTAGTGGATTGTTTCCGGTTCAGAGGATAACATGGTATATATTTGGAATTTACAAACCAAAGAAATCGTGCAAAAATTGGCTGGCCATAATGATGTTGTACTGTGTACAGCATGTCATCCATCCGAAAATATAATTGCATCAGCTTCATTGGAGAATGATAAAACTATAAAATTATGGAAAAGCGATTATTAATTGATTTTATTTTCCAATTTTTCCTACTTATCATAACGTAACATTTTTTTTTTGTAGAGAGAAATGAAATATTCATCACTTGTAAGTCTATGCATGTTTTGACAATGATCTCTGGTTTCTCCAAGTATTCCCTATTCATTTCTGGAAAGGAATTAAAAATATGAGCGTTTTACATGACAAATGATAATTTGAAAGAATAATGATGCTGTTATAAATATGATTGTCATTAAGGTGTCATATTGTACATAGATAAAATCTATAAAACAAAATCCAATCGTTCGACTATGGATCACATCCAGCTTGGATAAGATTCTGATTAATAGCCAGAATAGTCTGATAATGTTTATGAAAATTGAATATTTTTTGAAATAATCAGTGCAATGATTGGTGTATAGAGACAAACGCTAATAAAAAAAATATAGATGACCAAAGAATAGATGTTTCAAGTGTAACAAACAATGCATGACAGAATAACAATGTATAAATGATGAACAGATGACTTGGATAGTAGCGAAAATAATGATTCAACAAACATATCTCGGTGAACAGATTCTATTGTTGCTTCAAATGAGCAATGATTAAATTGGAATTATGTTTTGATTGTAAATGTTTCATTATGATTAAAATGTTCATTGATTTAAATTTATGTTGATCGTTTTTTAAACAATCACATTACTTTGAGGATTTGACAAAAAAGCGTGGCGGTAAGATATATAATGTTCAATAATGTGCCATATTGTATGTAGGTTTGATCCAGAAAGGAAAAACCGACCGTTTTGCTTTGAATTATGCTGACTGTACTCATTATTTTCAATTTATCTTTAAAATGCATCCGGTATCTATTTTTAACCAATAATGATTGATAATATTTATGAGAATTGAAGATCAGTTGAAACAATCGGGCAACAACAAAACAAAGTGATAAGACAATAAATGCTGAATATGATGAAAGTCCACAGAAGAATAACCAGTTTGATGAAAAGATTTGTGATTTCAACACTACATATAAGGTTTGACAGAATAAAGATGTATAAATGAAAAACAAATAACTAAGATAAATGCCAAAATATTCGTTCATCAAATGTATTTCAGTGAAAAAATTCGCTTGCTTCTTGCGATGGTCGTACAGATTTTTCCTTAGATTCGATGAACATTGAATTGATTTTATAAGATATTTATTGTTTCGTCGATATTTGAATTCCAATATGAAAGAAACAATGTTGAGATATAAATAATAATTGGAAGCGTAAATTAATCCAAAATAATTCCAACAAGCTACGATTAATACAACACTAAACATGTGTGATATATAACAAAAATATGAATAATTGAACAAATGAAAATTGTTCCGATCTGGATCAATGGATGAATAGGTGATAAGCGCAAGTGAAAATATAAACAACGGAGAACCAATTTCAAACAAACATTGAGCAGTGTATATCCATCTTAACAGTTTGGCCATAATGCCCAGAGAATCTGAATCCATTTCCATAAAGGAGTCATCTTTATTATTGTTACGATTTCGATTCTGATTATAGTAGCGTAGTAGTAATAATCGACAATGATTTTCATCCTTGTCTATTAATGGATCAAAAATCTGATGGCAATAAGACATCATCAATCGGAAGAAGCTACGATTTTTGATTGATCCAAATAAGCAGCAACAGTAAAAAAAATCTTCGAAAGCGATATGCATGCCAGAAATCTCAGGTGGTCTTCGTTTCAATGCAATAAGATGAAATAATGATCCGAACCATGTACACAAGACACTATCATCATCTATGATCAAAACAATTATCGCTCGAATAATAATTATGCTGAAAATGAATGTTGGAATGATTGCAAAAATTATTTGCTCTTTTTCAATCGGCTGTTGTTGAAATGATTTTATATGTTTATCCAAATCTGATCTTGTCAATCGATGCATAGGTCGATGTATTGGAATGTCAATTGGTTTGACTACCTTTATAAATGGCCCATTAACAAATTGATAAATTCGATAGATTTCCCATTTTTTCGGATCCAATCTTTTCTTTAACCAATCAAGCAATTTTTTAAGCAACATTTTCTATGATTATGGTTGTTGGTTGTCAGCAATAGGGTGAAAAGGACTGTCAAAATTTTTAAACATTTTAGTAAATTATGAAACTAAAAATGGAAAAAAAATGAGTGAATGAATCAATGACAAGATTCAAAAAGTCAAGATGGATTTTTCATGCAAAATTGATCAATATTTGAAAAGGGTCTGGCGGAGTTGTACTTTTGTTTTATAAATTCATCATTGAACTTAACTTTAATGATCTGAAAGAAGCACAAAGATATAAAATGGTCAATAATGTTCCATATTGTGAGTAGGTTTGATCCAGAAAGGAAAAACCGATCGTTTTGCTTTGAATTATGCTGATTGTACTCATTATTTTTAGCTTGTTACGGTAATTTATTCTGAATTGATATCTTTCCATTAACGAGTAATAATGAAGAAGTGCTAATTCATCGATAAAAATGACGATTCTAATGTAACAAACAATGCATGACAGAATAATGGGTATAGATCATAAACAGATGACTTGGATAGAAGCGAAAATAATGATTCAACAAACATATTTCGGTGAACAGATTCTATTGTTTCTTCAAATGAGCAATGATCAAATTGAAATTAGGTTTTGATTGTAATTTGATCAATTGTTTCATTATGATTAAAATGTTCATTGATTTAGATTTATGTTGATCGTTTTTTAAATTTATATTACGGCAACATCACATCACTTTGAGGATCTGACAAAAAAGAGTGGCAGTAAGATATATAATGCTCACTAATGTGCCATATTGTATGTAGGTTTGATCCAGAAAGGAAAAACCGATTGTTTTGCTTTGAATTATGCTGACTGTATTCATTATTTTCAATTTATCTTTAAAATGCATCCGGAATCTATTTTTAACCAATAATGATTGATAATGTTTATGAGAATTGAAGATCAGTTGAAACAATCGGGCAACAACAAAACAGAGTGATATGACAACAAATGCTGAATAGGATGAGAGTCCACTGAAGAATAACCAGTTCGATGAAAAGATTGGTGATTTCAACACAACATATAAGTTTTGACAGAATAAAGATGTATATATGAAAAACAAATAACTAAGATAAATGCCAAAATATTCGTTCATCAAATGTATTTCAGTGAAAAAATTCGCTTGCTTCTTGCGATGGTCGTACAGATTTTTCCTTAGATTCGATGAACATTGAATTGATTTTATGAGATATTTATTGTTTTGTCGATATTTGAATTCCAATATGAAAGAAACAATGTTGAGATATAGATAGTAATTGGAAGCGTAAATTAATCCATAATAATTCCAATAAGCTAGGATTAATACAACACTAAACATGTGTGATATATAACAAAAATATGAATAATTGAACAAATGAAAATTGTTCCGATCTGGATCAATGGATGAATAGGTGATAAGCGCAAGTGAAAATATAAACACTGGAGAACCAATTTCAAGCAAACATTGAGCAGTGTATATCCATCTTAACAGTCTGGCCAAAATGCTCAGAGAATCTGAATCCATTTCCATAAAGGAGCCATCTTTATTATTGTTATGATTTCGATTCTGATTATAGTATCTTAGTATTAATCGACAATGGTTTTCATTATTGTCCATAAATGGATCAAAAATCTGATGGCAATAAGACATCATTAATCGGAAGAAGCAATGATTTTTGATTGATCCAAATAAGAAGCAGCAGTAAAAAAAATCTTCGAAAGCGATATGCATGCCAGAAATCTCAGGTGGTCTTCGTTTCAATGCAATAAGATGAAATACTGATCCGAACCATGTACACCAGACATTATCATCATCTATGATCAAAACAATTATCGCTCGAATAATAATCATGCTGAAAATGAATGTTGGAATGATTGCAAAAATTATTTTCTCTTTTTCAATCGGCTGTTGTTGAAATGATTTTATATGTTTATCCAAATCTGCTCTTGTCAATCGATGCATAGGTCGATGTATTGGAATGTCAATTGGTTTGACTACCTTTATAAATGGCCCATTAACAAATTGATAAATTCGATAGATTTCCCATTTTTTCAGACCCAATCTTTTCTTTAACCAATCAAGCAATTTTTCAACAATTTTAAGCAACATTTTCTATGATTATGGTTGTTGTTTGTCAGCAATAGGATGAAAAGAACTGTCAAAATTTTTAAACATTTTAGTAATTTATGTAACTGAAAAATGGAAAAAAAATAACATGAGAATGAATCAATGACAAGATTCAGAAATTATATATTTTCAAAATGACAAGATGAATTTTTTTTTAATTTACGAAATTGATCAATATTTGAAAAAGAGTCTGACGGAGTTGTACATTTGTTTTCTAAATTCATCATAGGACTTGACTTATTAAATAACTTTAATGATCTGAAAGAAGCAGTAAGATATATAATACTGCCGGATACAAACCCCTGAAGAGGAGCGAATTGGTCGATAAAAAAGACGATTCTAATGATGAATATTGAATCAATTCCAAAGGTATTTTTTTTCGATGTTTGAACTCCATGATTATGCAAACAAAAATGAAATAAATATATTGTTGTAAGGCACATACAATTGGTTAAAAATTTCGATTCACAATCTATTTTCCATAATGTAAATATAATCATTAATCATTATTTTATTATTGTGAAAATTAAAAATTACCATTCTGTTTGAATATGAAATTCAACAAAATTTAAAAAAGACAAATAAATAAATAAAATTTTTTGAACAAAAAATCGCGGTTTTAAAAGGCATGTAGCTGCAAAATGAAAACAAAAAGTAGTAGCAATAAAGATTGTTATATTATATGCTGTTATGGCAATTATGACGTTATTACCGTATTTTCGCGAAATAAATCCGCGACTTATGCATAGTCGATTTTTATATAGAAAAGCATGTAAGCATATCTCTCTTTTGAAATTGATTTTTGGAATACACAGTGTATCAATCTGAGAAATCAAGGTAATTTGTCGGCTATATATTTATTTTTGCTTTACAGTTTGTGTCTTTGATGTTTGGTTATGAGAGCTTGAAATTGTTGCATCCATCCATTTGGATTCAATGCGCTCATGACATGAGCATTGTATATATTTTTTTTTATTAGGAGTTGCATTCCATCTTGTGTTTGTTGTTGTTGTTATTGTTGATGTTGATGTGATTGCGTGTTTCCATCTTCCATTGATCAGATCTTTTCTGTGGTTAGTGGATTTGTTGTTTTTGTTTTGTTTTGTTTTCGTTATTTTTATCCCCTTTTTATTCATTTTTTTTTCCAAGACTATATCGCAAGAATCATCGAGTATATAAATATTGAGTACAAACTTGGAACGGAAAAACAATGAAATTGTAATTTCAAAAAGCTATTGTTATTTTTTTAAAATAAAATTCTATCAACTTTTAAATCATCATCAATATTCAATGCAAAACAAAGTGCAATATATCTGAAAGAGAGAAAAAAAACAAACGTCATTATTTCGAACAAACAAAAACAACATTAAAACCCTCAATAACCGTGTTGTGTTTGTATTTGTGTGTGTGTGAGTATCTCAATTTCCATCAGTTTTTGTTGTGTTGTTTTTTATCAATCACCAAAAATCCAATTTCAAACCGAGTGCCTTACATTTTTTTTTTTTTTTTTTTGTTATTGTTGGTGTTTTGTCCATATTATAGATTTATCTCAAATATATATCCGTTTTATTATGGTTATTATTAAGATCGAAGAAGAAGAAGAAGAAAAAACAAATATCCTTTAAAGATACATTTATTATCTATATCCAAACACGCTGACTACGATTGATTTCATCGATTTCATTGAATATACTCTGATGGTCAAATATTAAAAAGTCAATAGTATATGATGATAAAAATATGTACGTAAATTTTTTGTTTTGTTTTGTTCGTTTTCAATATCATCATCACATGATTATGATGTTATGAATATTTTTTTTTGTTGTAAATTTTCTTTTTTCAATTATAAATTGTAAAAACTACGATTCTATCATCGATTGTTTTGTTTGGATTTTATTTTTTTTCTATCTCTTTCTCTGTTTTTCCAAAGACATTCATTCTTTGTTTTTATGGTTCTGTTGTTGTCTTATTGGATTAGTTTAATTGCAAATATGAGACAAAAACAACTGGTTAGAATTGGCTTGTTATTGCATTTTGGATACTTTCAAAAACAAAACAGAAGAAACAAACAGGAAACATGACGTGTTTTATTTTCCAAAATAATTGTCCAGTCAGCTTAAATGGAATGATGATGATTTATTTTTATTTTTCTCGATTATTCTGTTTCAATTTGATCTTGGAATTTGAACCTTGATTAGGGTCTTTTTTTATGGAAAAACCCACACAACAGTTTATGTGTGATAATAATTACATATAGGCATCTTGATTATTTTTTTTTTGTTATTTTATTATGATTGACCAAATGAAAAATGTCAACGCCTTGAAAAACAAACAAACAAGCAATAATTTATAAGCCATTTCAACAATAATAACTGTCCAGGTGTGTGTGTGTGTTGTTTCCTATCTGCCTCGAGGTTCAGAAACAAAAAAAAATAACAAGGCCATTTAATTTTATATATGAATTTGATTCGATTATTTTTTGACTGTCAATAATCATCATCATCATTTTTTATATATTATGTATCCATGGCTTTCAAATTAAAACCACAATTTTGTTTTTTTTTTTTTTTTTGCTATTCTGACATGAATGGGTTGTGGTGGTGATTTTTCTATTTTGCTTTGGACAAATCTCTTTAATTAATTAATTGCTTTATTATAACGTTTTCATTTTTCTCGTTATACATGCCTATATATATATCATTAAATCATTATATCGATCATTGTGATCTTCAATATCGAATGCTGTTATTGTCATTGTCGTCAATGACAAGTCTTAATATACCTGTTATTGTTTTTAAATAACAATGTTTTTTTTTCGCCAATGAGGATACAGTTATCTTGTGTGTGTGTGTGTGTGTGTGTGCCAGATATCTTGTAGTGATAAAAATTTAGAAAACAACAAGTGCCACCGGATAAACAGACAGCCATTTGGCGCCTTTTGTTAACAAAAGAAAGATTCACTTTCTCGATAATGTCACATTCTTCTTTGAGCAATAACAATCAATGAGTATCAAAAATTTTATAAACCAAAAAAAAAAAAAATGAAAATAAAGTATGCCATCTCTGTATTCGAATGCATTCTCTCTTTATTTTTATTTTGTTCTTGATTATCATGGACTGTTTTTTATTTATTTGAAAAAAAAATTTCACACACACACACACACACACACACACACATACAACCATTCAATTATTCAGTCTGTCAGTATATTATATCAGTAACAGCAGCAATAATAATAATAATAATCATCATCATCATCATATATTTAATATCCTTGGTTTTTTTTCATTTTTCTCTTTGGCGGTGTTTTAATAATAACATTCAAAGACATCAACAACAACAACAACGAAGATGGTGACAAAAACATTTTCTATATAGAATGTTTATGTATGGACACATCATACGACAACAATAACAATAATAATAACGACAACAGTGAATACGACGACCATTTTAGTAACATCATCATCATCATCATCATCATCAGCCAAAATAATAATAATAATAATCCTATGTCTGTGTTGTGTGTACTTTTTGTTTTTGTTCACAATATTCAACCATGAATGATGATCTAGGTTTGTGTGTTCCTTATATTAATGCCGGGTGGTTGATTTTGGGTTGTTTTTGTTTGTGACAAAAACAATTCATAAAATAGCATGAATGAAATTGAATTGATTGTTATCGATTTGAAATGTGAGAAAAAAAAACTAGAACAACAAGAATCGATCCAGAATTTAGACTATTCTGTCTGTACCACTTCTAATCCATCTATCTATCTATCTATATATATAAACGATGGTAGTGTTTTTGACAACTTGTCTGTTGCAAAAAAAAAATTCTTTTTCTTATTTTTGTCTCAGTTGGCCAAGTTTGTTGTTAGTTTCAAATCAGAATCGGCGGTATATTCATAACAATATATAAAAGTATTCATTTGTCTTTAGTGTATACAGTGGTGGTTATTATTATTATTGTTGTTGTTGTCGTCGTCTTCGTCGTCGTCGTCGATGATCATTATGACGGTGAATGAATTAATTTCTTTCAAATAATAATAAAAATTGTTTTTTTTTTTTTTTTTTGACGTCAAGTGATATAATTTGTTTGTGTATGTCATTGCGGTATGTTGTCTAATATTTACAACATAGACACACTGGTTGCTTACTTTGTTATTGTGAATAGAATCGATTTATATTACTGCTATTGTTGATCAATATCATTATATATATATATATAATGCACCAAAATAGAGGTCCAAAGACCTCATGTGTTTTGATTTTAGGTGCGTATTAGTTTTTTTTCCCATAATTTTTCATTACATTTCATTATGAATCTTAATCGATAAAAATGAACCAAAACAACAATTTGTCCTTTTTGTGTGTGTGTGTGTGTGAATCTTCATTTAAATATTCATCGATTAATCTATTTTTCCAATTTCGAAAATAATTGCTCTTAATTATGATGATGATAATACAATACAATTACAAACACCATTAAGCTTTTATAAAATGGTATTTTCCTCTTATCATTTTTATTTTCTGCCTGTTTTCGTTTTGATTTTGAGATAATTTAATCAAATCAACATCAACAAATATCACTGTCGATGTCGATTTTTTAATGTGTATTTTTGGAACAAAATTCCATCGAAATTAGGTAGATTTATCGTTTTTTTAGATTTAACCTTATTGGTTCTTTTTGGTGATTCAAAAAATTTGTCACAAAAAAATTATTTCCAATACGCAATAATTTTTTGAAATATGTCATCTAATCAAATTATTTCAAATGAAAAATAGAATTGGTCTGTTATGATCGATATAATATTGCAATGGTTGGAAATCATTTCACACCATGGTGATGACCTAATCATCTATTTACAATTTGTTATTGTTAATGATGATTAAGTTACAATCACCATGGCCATGGATGCATGATGATGATGAGAAAAACAAAGTTGTTTGTTTCCTTTCATCATCACTGATGATAAACGAGTAATTCTTTTAGACGTCATTTTATTTTCTACGTTTGTCATGCATATATCACATGGGTTAAGTCTTTATATATTTGTATTTTATTTTATTTTTTCTGTTATTTTGTTTGTTTTTTAACCAAGTTTTTTTTCGATTTCTCTCTAACCAGTTCTCAATTTGTTTTTTGTTCGTTTATTGGTTATGGTTCATTAAATTGATTTAAATACACCTATTAACAATATGAACATCATCATCAAAAACAACAACAAACGCACAAAAAATTATCATTAGGTATTTTTTTTTGTATTCACCCATGATCTCTTGAATCAAAGTTAAATATTAAATCGGACTTTTAACAAAGAGAATAATAATATCATAATCATGGATTCTGCAACGATTCCATTGTCATCATCATCATCATCATCATCATGACGATTCAACCAATACAGACAACTCCTACAAGTAGTAAAATGACTAACATTAGTGATGAACAACAACAACAACAACAGCAACAACAATTTTTGATGGCTGCAGCAGCTATGGCTGCTGCGAATTGCCATAATAATAATAATAATTCCGTATTACTCACTGGTGCAGCACATTTCACTGATGATGTTCGTAAATGGGGCTATATGCGCAAATTAAAGGTATTCCGAAATAATGTTTTCCATTTTGTTTAACTATTTGTTTATTTTTTCATTTAGACAAACAAACGTAAATTTTTCGTTCTTCGATTGAATTCATTATTAACATTAAGCAAAGCGACCATTGCCTATTACGATAATGAAAAGAAATACCGTGATAAATGTCCAGCACGACGTACAATTGTGTTGGTCGAATGTTTTGCTGTTGCTCGAATACCCGATCAAAAACGATACGTTCTTGGTATATACACCAAAGATGATCTACTAGCCGCCATATGTGATGATGAAAAACAATTAAATGAGTGGTTACAAGCTATTCGATCTATTCTGTATCGAACACCCGAATATCATTGTCGATCACTGAGAGACTTTCGTGAGTATTTTACTTTTAATATATTGATCATTATTGAATGGTTTTTTTAAATTGAATTCTAGATTTTATATGGCAAGGTCATATAAATCGGGTGGATGGAGCTTTGCCACGAGCATTAATGGGCACCTACCGATTTTGTTTAATGCCAACTGTTTTGTATTTAATTCGTCTTGAATCCTCCAATTCGAATAGTAACAATAGTGTAGCAAACAGTAGCCAAGCAAATCGCTATGAATTTCCATTGTCCATAATACATCGTTGCGGGCATAAAGACAAAACTTTTTATCTGAAAATTGGTCGTCTATCAGAATTGGGTGCTGGTGAATGTTGGGTCCAAACTGATGATCAAACAATAGCTGAACATATGCACGCTAAAGTATCATCGTTCTGGGCATTGAACAAGAATTCTAAATCTGCTGATGATGGTGGCAATTCAAATAATACGACAACAGCTGCTGGTGATGATCATGGCAAAACAACGGCGACAATGTTGAACAATCATAGTTCCTCTACCGCATCATCCTTAGCCGGTTATCGACCAAGAAGTTCTTCAACATCAAATGCAATTAATTCAAATCAATTATCAGGATCATCATCGAGACAACCTCATCACTTAATGATGCACCAATTTATGCCCACTGCAGCTGTACAATTTCATCCCGGTCTTAACCAACATCATCATCATCATACAGCGAATAATCGAAACAGTATGCCTGCAACCAGTAGTAGTACATCATCGCAATCCCCGGCCGATTCTCGTGAAAGGTTACAATCATGTTCATCTTCAACCGGTGGTGGAGGCGGTGGCAGTGTCAGATCACATACTGCAAGTGATTGTAGCAATGAAGATTTATCCCAAGGATATTGTGCCAGTTCCAATTCGGCTAGCAGTGCGGCCACCACACCATTGGGTCCAATGTTTCCATCTCCATGGAATATTCATCATCTGTATCATCATGGCATGCCACATCACTTTTCACAACCACCTCCCACTTCTCATCATAATCATTCACATCAATGTTCATCATCACAAAGTTCATTCTATCTAAACAATTCGTTTGCTCAATCTTCTAGGTATGATTTTTTCCTAATCACTAACTTTATACCAATTTCATATATACTTAAACTTTTAATTAGTTCCTGTGGCGGTAGTCTTCATAATCCTTCTAATCCGATCACTAAAAATCCAACCAATTCATCAACTTCTTCCTTGTCTACTGAATTTGATATTCAAGAACAACAGCAACTTCAACAAATTCATGCCACTATGTTTAGTCCTCTAAATTGCTTAGATTTGAACCAGAATCAGCATAGTAATCTCGTAATGGGGGCTCTCAGTCAAGATAACGATAAAGGTTTTGGTGCTGATCTAGATCTCTATCCAGCCTATATACCGCCATTATCATCCCAATCAACATCATCAACTACAATGCCAGCCTGTGCTAGCTGCATCCAAATGTGTTATCTGCAGTTGTTTCAACAACAACAACAACAACATTTATCATCAACTACATCCGGTCAACCCACACATCAATCTCCCATAACATCCCCAAAATGTCATTGTTCTGCATGTTTGATGCATTCATTTACACATGAATCTTCTAGTTCGATTTCATCATCGTTATCATCATCGAATACCAATTGTACTAATAATGGGGGTCAATCGGGCGTTCAAAATCATCATTACTTACCTACTATACCTGCTGGCGAACCGTCAGATTATGTTCCAATGAAACCGATGAATGCTCACAGTCCAAATAATAATTCGAGTGCTGATGATCAGATTAGGGATGATGACATATCGAAGAAAAAATTAGACAAAACTGATGAGGAGGAGGAGAATTGCTACCTTCACATGTCACCATTGGCTGTCGCTAATGGAGATGGATCAAATCCGATGGTAACATCTACATCTAATAGTGTGTCCAATAGTATTGAATTCAATTTGGAAAAATTACGCTCTTATATTCGAGATGATGACCATACAGTCTCTACTACTGCCAAGACTGTACCAGTGACAATTCCTGCAAACATGAATGAATCTAATGATGATACCATATTCAATGGTTTGACACGTGCCTATTCAACCGGAAGTAAGCCTCAGCCATTAGCTCCATCAATAGGTTCACAATGTAATAATCAACCTGTAACGACCAAAACAAATATTGGAACAGATAAAGTTACTAAGCAGCAACAATTACCAACCCCATCATCATCATCTTCGAAGTCCACTACAACTAGTCACCAGATCCGTAATCGAGCATCCTCGACTGGTAGTCATGGAATGAAATTCAGTGCATTCCTTAGTTCTCGACGTAAGAATAAAATGTCAGCAATTATTCCGATCCAACAACAGCAACAAATGACAAATCCTCAAGTCCATAATGATTTTCAACATAATTGCCAATGGCCATCATCGATGGAGACGGCTTCTAGTTCATGTTGTTCTCTAATCGAAGAACAATCGACAAACAAATCGAACAAAGCAGCCAGTGCTCCCATATTGTCATCATTAATTCAGCCAAGAGTTAGAAGCTTGACATTAGGATCAAAGCCCGCTGGTCTTCGATTGCATAATCTATTCAAAAATAAATCAACCAGTGTAACCGCGACATCATCTGTAAATCAAATCAATCCCCTTTTGCAATGTACATCACAAATACCGCCGGATATTCTTGCCAATCTATATGGTCATTCGTTGATCCCGAAACCACATGCATCTTGTACTTGTTCACTTCATCATCATCATCATCATCATAATCATTTTGCTCATCATCACCATCATATGACAACAGCAGCACCGACAACTTCTCAACCAGTGCCACATTTAAACAATCACCCGATGCCTGTATCATTTTTACCGGAAGAAGGAGATCTGATGGAAATTGACTATTCTGCAAACAACAAAAGCAAAGATCACCGATTTCATCAGAAGCATCACCATCACCACCATGGTCATCATCATCACCATCATCATGCGAAATCAATTGCAAATAATCAAAAGACCAATGATTCATCGAATGAAACAATTCAAAGTGAATTAGATACCGACGAAAAAAACATTGATATTACCTCAGAATCCAGAACAAAATCGGCTACCTCAGATTTATCAAATCGAAATCGTAAGAACTCGGATTCCTCCCAGTCAAATTCTGAAATAGTGAACAATTCTCATAAATCATCAATGAATGAGGTTCAAACCCAAAAATCTAATCAAAATACATTGGATCATCTAGTTCATACATTAAAACATACATTATCCATACATGGTTCAAAACAGCCACATTCGATCAATACATCACCATCATTTTATGATGATAATGACGATTATATAATGTTCACACCTGGATCACAGAAAAATAACCATAGCAACGTACTTTCAAAATCATTACCTGAGCAAGATATTATCAATACAAAAATTAATCGTAATTTGACAACGTATTCAGATCAATCTATAGCACCATTGGCTACGAACGAAATCCTCAGCGATGATGATCAAAAACCTGTACATTTGGCTGAAGAAGAAGAATCATTGTACGTATTGCTATCACCAGATCAATCATCATCAAGTAATAAGGCATCTACTACTTTAAACAGTGGAAATAAGAAATCCAATTCTAAAAAAACCAAAAGTTCCACAATGCGATCGCTATTCTCATCTATAACGATGAATACCGGTGTTGAAGGAAATCAAGGTTCTGGATCAAGATTTCGATTCATGAGAAGTATTAGTAGTTGTAATAATAATAATCATGATAATAATTCCATCAAATCAACGGGTAAAAATAGTAGTCGCAATCAACGTCAAAGTTCATCACGATCAGAATCTTCACCGTTGGATCATCATATTCATGAAACACCTCAAACAACTGTTATTGCGACTACTACAAAATCATCCCCATCACCGACTAACATTTCAGCCACACCACCACCACCGACTGCAACAATTATTACATGATTGTTCTTAGACTGTAATTTTTTATTGTCAATCAACTGGCCAAATTTTTTGGCCTCTATTGTCATAGAAAGAAAATCAATTCATTAATATCATCATTATATATATATATTTTTTGGATAAATTGATTTGCTTATGTTGTAATAAATGCAATCGAATCATATATCGGCAAAGTAAAAGTGCTTTTCATGAAAAAATCCTGACTTTCAAACTGTCCTCTTGTCCAGACAATCTATAATGATGAAGATGATGATTTTGTTTGTCTTGAAAACAGGTTGTTCGATAGCCAAGTGAAAGTCAAAAAGTTCATTGGTTAACCGGTAGGCATTCGGATAATATTAAGGAAAACCAGTTGGTAGGGTCAATCAACCTGTTGGTTCTGGGTTGTTAATGAATACGAAACATATCAATGTTATCATACCAACGCATTTTTTGCTGTACCCACCTTAGTATTTTTTTACATCCTTGGCACAAAAGGTGTGATAACGATTCCTGGTATTGAAGTATACATCTTTCACTCAGACTTTGGTCGTCGACATTTTATGTCCGTTTATGTCGTTAAGTTTTAACTTTTACAACAGCTGAACATTTTGTCAAAATAATGGATAAATCATTGATATACAGTTTGTTACTTTTGCTTTTGTCTTCGGTCTATCCGATCGACGGACATTTTCATGAAACACAATTTCCCAAAGGTTATGGTCATGTTCATCAGCTACAACCACCAATATTGAATCTATCTTATGTCGCTTCATCAGCCGATGAAGAAACGGTAACGAATGCCGAATCATTTGACATTTCTTCGATGATCACAACTACAAGCGCAACGAACAGTCCCGATGAATCATTCACTCAGGAAGATGGTTCAGTGGAACAATCATCATTCAACAATGGACCAGAAACAAGACCATCGAATGTTATTCAATATGTTTGGAATGTGTACAACTTTTCCGACATTCTTTATTCTGGTCAGGAACTAATATTCTCGCCACGATTCTATTTGAGTGAACCAGGATATCGTCTACAAATGTTGTTAATATCAAACACAACATATTCGGATATGGTTTCTTATCTAGGACTTTTCTTTCGAATTGTTGCTGGTGATTATGATTCCGAAGTAGAATGGCCATACAAATATCGAACTGTATTGTCGGTGCTCAAACATGAAGAGTTAGATGATTGGACAAATAAAGCTGTAGCAGGAAATATGGAAGATCTAAACACAAAATACAATCATACGATCATACCGAATATTGATGAATGTCGTTTGCGTTCAGCGTTTTTAAGGCCAAATTCAGATATCGAATACAGTTCCAATACTGATGGGTGTGGAAATCGTCGTCACATTCCATTAATGGCACTTGAATCGGATCAATATCTCAAAGATGATACATTGATCTTATTGCTCACTGTTTATTTAGATGCCGATTCGGAAGAAAAAACATTTCATAAGGCTGCTATGTCAATGCGTTATAATGAATTGGTTTCCAATTACCTATGGACAATTGAAAGATTCAGTCAGAAGAAAAATGAATCCGTATCAAGTGGCAAGATTGTCATTTTAAACGCTGAGCCATTCTACACTCATCCTAACGGCTATCTCATACAATTATTTCTGACCATTTTACCCAAACGGAGCGCATTCGCTATATCAATTGCATTCGTACAGGGTGATCATGATCGTTATCTTCAATGGCCATTTCCATATCCATTCGAGATGGCCATCGTCGACCAAAGTCCAGGTAAGTGTGCATTTGTTTACTTTGAATAAAAGTACTAAATGTTTTCTTGATACAGATTATTGGAAACGAGATTTGAACGATCAAAGTTAAACCATCAAAAAGTGATTGTGGTACCGAGCCATTTAGTCAGCCTGGACATCAACCGGAATTTTGTTTTCTTACTATTCAATCGCTTCAAGTGTTATCTTTGACTCATTATAATTTTCTTTTTAATGACACCCTCAAAATTCGTTTCACCACTCGATTCGAGCGATATTCATCACGACAACGTTCATCTATTTTGCTACGTAATAATCGTCTGGTGTCTGAATTTAATTGGCTTTTACCAGGATTGGTAGCCCGTTTCCAACGATACATTAGTGAACAAAGCAATCCAAGTGCAACGGGAAAGAGTAATCAAACGTCTCATAAGACACATCGGTTTGTTAGCGATGAATTTTATACAAACGGCCAAGGATATCTCTGTCAGTTGGTGTTAACAGTATCGATTAAAAATATGCCCATACAATCGAATTCAGTAGATCTGAATAATACAATCAAATCATCGTCTTCATTATACGAGGAACGATCTACACAAGAAGTTCTATTATTTAGTCTCGAATTGGTTATCATTGAAGGTGAATATGATCGATTCTTAGATTGGCCATTCAACAATGCTTATGAATTAGCCATTGTTGGCTACAAAAATATGGTCGATACAGCAGATCAAATCAACAATGGCGGTCAATTTTATTTCGATAAATCTACTAGCCAACATACAAAACATTCTCCACGTACCAATTCTAAATTGATTGTACCGATGGCACAGATCGAGAATGGTCTTTGTTCAAAAGAGGCATTTCAAAAACCTATCAAACAAAATCCTCCTTGTGGTGTTAAAGAATTCGTCCAAATGGATCTTTCCGGCTCAACAGATCCAAAGCAAATGAAATCTGCCAAAGAAATGATCATGAACGCTGATGGCCGCATAAGCAACAATCCAAATACCAACAACTATGAATTGGGATCCTTAAGTAAAACCGATGAAGATCTTCATTTACGAGTTAGAATTTATTTGTAAAATATAATTTTTTTCTGGTCAATTCATCGATTGTTAAATAAGGATTGATGAATAATGATAATAACAATAATAAATTCACTAATTTTAATCTTATCAAACCACTGCCTGAAATGAATTTTTAAATTTGTAGGTACGGAAAGTAGCCTACTAATGAAAAAAGGTGGAAAGAATCAAAAGAGGTAAAATTGCCTTTTCTATGTTAACTTCTATAAATTAAAAAATAAAAAATGCCGACAATTTAATTTAATTATAATTATGAATGAATGAAAACTTTTCAACTGAATTATCAGATCGAATCGATAACAAACTTAATGAATCAAATATATTCCATTTATTACAATCAATCCAAAATTAACATATGGGCAATCGTCGATTGTATTGTTTTTTTTTGATGAAATAATTTGTCACTAATCGACAATGATGATTCTTATTCATGTTTTTTGCTGTTAACAATGCCATTCGTTGACGTGTTGCCATTGGATACCATTTGATTAATTTGGCCATTTTCATGGTGATCACAGCAATTGTCAGTAGCATCGTCAGCGACGGTGGTTATTTTATTGTTGTCAATGTATGTTCCATTCGTTGTTATTTTAGTCCTGTTATCAGCTTTGAAACGATTTATCGATGATCTATATGCACGTTTATAGAATGAGAAAAACATGGCAAAAAAAGATGACTGGTTGAATAATGCCCAAAAATGTGAATATTTTGGGATAGCCTTTTTGATTGAGCAAGAATAGCCATCCATAAATACCAAAGATGACAAATTGGGTTAATTGTAATTGTGTGACATATTTCTTCCACCATGTATATCGTCGTAGACCCAATGCTGATAATGTATAATAGATGTACATTACTGTGGATAAATAAAAAGATAGAAAAAGAAATTAAATTAGATTTTTCATTGTTAATCAAAAGTTAATGAAATATAAATTTTTAACAGCAGTAGCAAAATGAAACTAGATGTTCATTTAACAGAATTCATTGTTCTCAACATGTCATCCATCACTAATCATTCATTCTTTGGTTGTTTTTGTTTGCCTGTGTGTTTCATTCATTGTTTTCTGAAAGTTTGATTGATCGATCATCACGATAATCAATCACATGCAATGGAAAAAAAAATTCAAATACACCAATTTATACATGGTAGCTCTATTGTGTATTTGTAAAAGTGTAAAATCGCGAAACAATGTCGACAAATGTTGATTATGGATGATGAGAAAAACGACAAACCAAATCGAATAAAAACCCCAAACAAACAAACAAAACTTTTTTTTTGTCATCATGGCATCACCTCTATCCTTTTCTCCTTAGTACATATTGTATTGTAGGTTTTTGAATTTTTTGACCATTGTCGAAGATAACTGCTATTATTATTATTATTATTATGATTGTGATAATAAAGGATTCTATTTTTATATCAAAAAAAATCAGGCATTTCATCCCACTCATATACACACGTTTTGGCTATTTTTTTATCATGAATGAATGGTTATACTGTGTGTGTGTGTGTGTGTGTAAGGATGCGGATAACATTATTTTCATGATGATGATAATCATAATGTCTGTATGAGAAAATGGAAAAAATCAGCATGCATACAAACAACATGACTTGACTTGTAACGACTTTCTGACCTCAATCATCATCGTCATCATCATCATGATTGCAATCAAAATATCATCGGACACACACACACAAAACACATGTGTTGCATTTTGGATCTTTACTTTGGTGGATCCAAATACAACATATATAAAGAAGCAGTAAAATTCACTACAATAACAACAACAATAGGATAGGCAAAAAGCCATAACTTTAAGCAGGCAGACAGAAATATGGCCTCTTAATTCTCAAATGGCATTAATATCATGGTTAAAAATAACAAAGGTCACTTGGGATCTACTCTCCTTTGGTGGTGGTGGTGATGGCCAATAAAAAAAATATATAATCATGGTAAAGTAATCGAAAAATTTTCAAAATTTCTAAAATTTGATTTTTATTTCGATTTGAGAAATTTTTAATCATAACAATAATTGTCAATACAACAAAAAAAAGTTTTCGTAAGAATTCAGTCGAAAAAAAATAAATTGCTTAATTTCTTCTTGTCAGGATAATGATAATAATAATAATTGATTTTAAATTAAAAAAATAGAAAATATGTGACAACTATTGTTACATTTTTTACAAAACAAAAAAATGTTTCACTTTTGTCATTATAAAGCTCAAAAATGGTGATAAGAACAGTGATAACAATCTCAAAAGGTTTTTTGTCTTGTTTTCCTATATTTTCGGATAATAAACAGCGTATATATATGACGATTGAATTTTGTCGTTATAGTCATTTCAACAACAACAACAACAACAACAACAACACAACAACAATAATAATAAATAATAAATATATAAATAAATCTGGAAGCAATTTGTAATCACTGATAACATGATAGTTTGAACAACAATAATGAAAAACAATCAACCATGAATATGTTCAATAATGAATTGTTTGTTTACTAATTGCTGTTTTTTCCAACTCACAAAGATTCAAGTAAAGAAAAAAAAATAATTGATTTCCAATTACAATGACCCTATTAGCGATTTTTTTTTGAAATTATATATAAAAAAAATTTGCTCAATTTACGTCATATTTTTTTTCGATTTATTTAGCCATCATCATGATTATATCAATATAATAAGGTGATAAGGTGATGAAACAATCAATCGAATAAAAGAAAAGAAAAATCATGTGAAAAAATGAAATTTACTTTTATAAGTGATGACAATTTATTTACAAAAAAAAAAAAAATTAATTTATATACACACATCTAGGGATGACCAATAACCAAGTGAAACAAACAAAAAAAATGTACAAATTAATGGGAAATTTTTTGTGACCTTCATTTGGTGTAAATAAATTTTTTTTTTCGTTATACCAAAAAAAAAAAAATAATGAAATATTTGTTTATTCATGAAATTTGGAACAATGTTCCACTATTAAATGTTTGCCTATTGATCATCATCATCATCATTATTATGTTGAAAATTCACACTTTAAAATTATCACCACAAACAAACAAACAAACAAAAAAATGACCATGAAAATAAATTGAATATATAGAAACGATCGGTTTTTGTTGACGATCCAATGTAAATAAATATAGATGGCCAACAAATACAAATAATGAACAATTAATTTGAATTTTGTCAAATTATGTAATGGTCAAAGGTCATCAACACCCCAGAAAACAATACAACAGAATCGTTTCATGTATTCAATATTGAAAACTCTTTCTCTCTCTCTCTCGCTTGAACATGATTGATAATCATTATGAATGACAGATTGAATTGAAAAAAATCAATGAAAAGACCTTAATATTGAAATTTAAAAAAAAAAATTTAAGGAGCATGCATAACTTGTTCCATTTGACATAAAATAATAACTGGGCTTCATACGAAATGAAACAGTGATCGACCGATAGCGGTCAATGTTTTATTCATTCACATTCGTTAACTTGGTCTTGACTTGATTTTCGATAATCTTGATCATCATCATCGTATTGATGTTGATGTTGTCATAAAAATGTATAGAAGCACTATACACTTATCCAAGTTGAATGAATGAATGAATGAATGAATGAGTGCATAGTATTGAATACAACATCATTGATTGTAGATATTAAATGTAAATGGATGTTGAATAAACAAATATAAATAAACATGCTTTAAATGATGATGCTTTATACTCACTGGTATGGATAAATGTATTGAGAAGTGGAAACATGGCACCAGGACCACCAGCCGGTGATACTTTGATAAACATATGAACCAATATAGGTACGATTGCATGATGATAAACATGTAAACTGGAAATTTGATTGAATTTTTTACGCAGAATAAAAAAAATCGTTTCAATAAGATCCATATATTTGCTGAGTAAATATAGATAGCTTAGGAAGCATACATGCATCGTACGTGGTGTATAATCCAAATGTTCATTACGTTCAAAATTCCATATATTAATGTCGATACCAAGATGATATGGTACCATTATCTGATAGAAAAAATATGCATTGATTATAATCATCGATAAATTATATGCAACTATCAGCGATTGTAGATTCATTGATTCACGATTTTTCATCAATCTTGGTCCAAGACTTTTGACAAAATAAACATATGCAGCAACGATTGACCAAGCCATCCATGGACCACCTTTCATCATTGGATAATTACTGATACGTGGATCACTTTCTTGTTCCCAAAAATCGAACATGTAATATTTCAATGTTTCCATTTTGTTTGACGTGAATTTGTTTCAATGGATTCACTTGATTCAATAACAATTATTTATATATAAATTACGACCAGATTAATTCGAACAGATTTAAAATTGGTTGGCAACGATTTATCAAATATTTTAACCAGTGTGAACGACGGAAGTTGACAACAATAAAAACGACAATCAAAATCATGTATTAATTAACACAGGAAAGATAATTCCAGCATTGACATCATAGATAAATCCAGTTACGGATACAAACACAAACACACTTGATCGACAATGATCAATGCTTGGATTCAATGTGCACTAGAGCTGAAATTTTGAACTGGAGAAAAAAAAAATATATGTGTGAAAGAAAGAAGATGCAAACAAGCTGACAAGTGACAGAATGAAAGATTTGACCAATGATGAGATTTTATTTTATATACACAGTTCGTTTAACAGCTATTGTTCATTTTGTTTGTGGCCAAAATATTTTTTTTTTTTTTTATTTTCAAATGTTTTGTGTGACGCAAACGCACATTTGCACACACACACACACACACACACACACACAAAAAACATACACAAATGACAACATTTACCACACACAAACACACACGTTAAACATTCAAAAATCAATCTATAATAATTTGGATCGATTCGATTGGTTCACTTTGGGGATTTTCATGTACATATTGGTGTAGTTCAAGAATTTAAATGAATTTCTTATAGATTATTGAGTTATATTGTACAAATAGTAGTTTCTATGAAGATGATAAATTGTTATCATTACAATCTTAAATAGCAATCACAGATGAACATTTTGTATTCATGATATAATGACGAAAAATATGGTTTTGTAAAATCTTTTGAAAAATTCCATGTTTTCAAGGCCAGTTAAATGTATAACATTATTCAACCAAAATAATTTTTTTTTTTATCTTCAAATGTTTTGTGTGACACAAACGCACATATGCACACACACACGTTAAACATTCAAATCAAGATACTGAGACTGATTTGAATCGATTCGATTGATTCATATTGGAGAATGTTGCTTTTCATGTTCATATTGATATAGTTCCAGAATTGAAATAAATTATAAATTAGGTGGTGACGTGGTAAATACGCTACAATTAAATTAAATTTCTGCACATAAATTATTTTGTGACATAATTTTTTCAGTGTTTACACATGTAATGATGACCACAAAAACAACATACAAAGAGAGAGAGAGAAAAAAAAAAAAAGTTCAACAAATGTTTGGCCCTTTAGGCCTAAAAAACGAACCATTATATTGTATTATAGTATATTGTTGCTGTTGTTTGATTTATATTGAAAACCAAACACAAACAAATGTGGTGAAAATGAAAAAAAAAAAAATTCATTATATTCGTTCTCATTTGTAATATTTCTCTCATTATTTTCAAAATTATGATTATCCTTGATAAACACTACAACAACCACCAACATCTCTCTTCTCTCTCTCTCTTTCTTGACTTGGTTTGGTTTATATCCTAAATGTTTCTCTATCTTTCAAATTAAATCTTCATCTCAATCTTGATTTTTTTTTTGCTATTTTTTCCATTCAAATTCATTTTTTTTTTTTGGTTTCCCTTTTATCTATAGAAATAGGCAACAAATAGATTGGGAGTTATTTTTAGTTTAGAAAATGTTTACTACCTTCTCTCCAGTAAATTATATATGATGATGATGATGATGATACTTGGAATGATTATGACGTGAGAGTCAAATAATTCGTTTTTTTTGAAATTTTAAATTCTACTCTTCCATTATTGTAATATTGACTTTCATTTTTTTTCCTGTATGTGTCTGTGATATCGTAAACAAACAGCAAATTTATACGTAATAAATACATATATATAAGAAGAAATAAATATGACACGATAGCGTGACAAATATAGCGTTTGATGGAAAAATGAAAAGTCAAAAAAAAAGAAAAAAAAGAAAAAGAAATTGATAGGTAAAAAAAACACCAACCAGGGCCTCTTTGTTCATAATTTGTCATAAGATGATGATTACATAATTTAATTAACATTTTTTTTTCATTAAAAATAATTCTCAATCATCATTATCATGATAATCATCAATGAATATGCGGTGCAAATGTAAAAAGGTAATGGTGGAAAATTTTCATGTTCTTACCACATGATCATCGGATTATATAAAACAATTGATCATCATCATAATTGTTGTTTAATGAAAATTATCAATATAAAAAAAAATGATGATGATTGTGTTGAACATTAAAAAGAAAAGGGGGTAGGATTTCACTTAAAAAACAAACGGATGCAACATCCTCTGTACAATAACATGGCTATTATCAACGTCAATTATGAATTGTTTTCTATTTTTTTTTTATTTAATCAATGATTTAAAATTTTCATAAAATTTGAATATAAATTTCCAAATCAAAATGTAATTTATTTAATTGAATTTCAACATGAAAACTGATCGATCGTATTATTGGATAAGAGATAAATTGTTAAAAAGCCTATTTTAAAACTTGATAAAACTTGACAAAACTTGATAAAATTTGATATTTTGATTTTCTTTTTAAATTTAAATTTTCCTCGTTTTTATTCTTTGTAAACAACATGATTACATATGATTGATCAATCCAAAAATAGAAAGATATATTCAAAGAACTAAATTTCATTCTATGAAATACCCTACCATAAACTGGTTTCCTCAAAAATAGATTTGAAAATTGCATATCACATTCAATATCTTTTTCCTCAATAAATCGTTAACCTCTAAGATGATGATAGGCTATTTGTTAAAAAGTGAAATGAATCCTCACCTGTATGAACAAAACTGTTTATCAATGGAAATATGGTTCCCGGTCCACCATAAGGAGAAATTTTTATATACAAATGTACTAGTAATGGTGCTATCGAATGATGATAAACATGAAGCGTGGTAATTTGGTTGGATTTTTTTCGCAACACAAAAAATATCGTCTCCATCATGTCCAAATATTTGCTCAACATGAACATATAAAATAGTAACAATGAACATGATGATTGGTCGGATTCAGAAGATATGCGTTCAAAATGATGAATTTTTAAATCGATGCCGAATCGATATGCAATCGAATATTGGTAAAAGAAATATGCATTGATCATGATCAGCATTATGTCATACATAATGATTGCTAATTTCAGGCTCATAGCAGGTCTTTGTCGCATCCATCGTGGTCCAAAAATCTTGACAACATAAATATAAATGATGACAATTAACCATGATAACCATGGACCACCATCCATTAATGGATAACTTATGATTCTTGAATCGCTTTCTTGTTCCCAAAAATCGATCAATAAATATTTTAAAGTTTCAATCATTTTCATCATGTAAACATTCTTGATCAATCATATCAGAATTGGATTGTTAACTTATTGAATGATGGGAATAAGACACAATTTCATTTCGATTTCTATGATGATCAGAATATATTTCCGGACGATCAAATTTAATTACAGTAATCAATGTGAGAAACTAAAACCTTGACGAAAGAATTTAGATGATATTTGGTGATTGCAATAAATGACACCTATGTGACAAAAATTTCACAATTATATAGATTATTATTGAGTTATATTGTACAAATTGTACTTTCTATGAAGATGATAATAAATCGATATCATTACAATCTTAAATAGCAATCACAGATGAACATTTTGTGTTTGTATGTCTACGTGTGTTCATGATATAATGACGAAAAACATGGTTTTGTAAAATCAATTTTGTTTTTAAAGAATTCCATGTTTTCAAGGCCAGTTAAATGTTCAATATTTGAAAATTACTGTGTGATATTTTTGTTTTGTTTTGATCAGAATGATTGGGCAAAAAAATACAATGGCTTAATCAATGATTTAATCGTATGATTTTCGGTGTGAATTTCAGAAATCTACGTTTTTTTATTCGAATTTAATAGGTTTATTATTTGATTTATATTGGAAAAAACTTCATACAAAAAATACCGGATTTGTAATAATAGAGAGATTTTTTGAATGCAATCGCAATCATGCCATCTGTTGATGGCCAATTCAAATGGGAAAAATTAGAAAAATTCATCATCACTAATTGCCGCCAATCATCAATGTAGAATAATTGGCCATTTTAGTGATATTCTGAGCAAATGATAAGTATCTATCGAAAAAATATGTTTCGTAGTAACGTGAGCATGATGGAACGACAAACAAATAGGACATCGTTAACGGTACAAAAACGAAAACCATCATTGCCATTAGAATGAAGAATGTACTGGCTTTCAATCGAACAGGATATGTAGAATCCTGATGTAATGTTTCATCGGAATCTGTTGATGTTTGACTTTGTCCTTCATTCGAATCATAAATAATCTTTTCATTGGAACTTGTCATTTTCGGTGATTTATGTTTGTCATCAATTGTGTTAGTGGTGAAAAGATTAATAATCCACATACAAATCCAGAACATTATCGATAATAAATGTCCCAAACGAATAGTCCATAATGATAAGTGAATAAGAACCGATGTACTCTGATGCACTGGCCATTGTGTTGATTGTAATACGTATTGGTCGAATACAAAATAGACAATACAACGAAATATTTCCAATATGATCAGATAAGATCTACAAAATTATTAAATTAATTTCAGAAAAAATAAAGAAATGAATAGATAACAAACCTATTGTCGAATAGTGCACCGAATGATGTGATTGCCAACAGCAAATAAGTCATACAAAACGTCATTTTCCATGGATCGAATTTCTTATAAAATTAAAGAAAGAAATTAATCGAAATTGAAAAAATGAAAATGAAAAATGAAACTAACAATCAAAGGATGATCAGCAATCATATAGAATCCAATCAAGATGGCTACCGAATGGAAAAGAATGTAAGCCTTTTTCCAAATAGCCACATATGGTGTATAAATGTATCGAGGTGCTTTATGATCAACTTCGGGTATCTCTTCAATAAGGCCAAGGCGGGGTTTACCTGGCGACCAACCGGGTCCATAAAATAATGATGCCATCTTTTCGCGGTAATTATCGCAATTTTTAAATCGTTGCCAAACGTTTTTATAATAGCCGAACATTAATGTCATCATGTCGAATGTTTTTGGAGTTGGACTGACCGTACCAAATACAATCTTCTCTTCATCTAGCTCGACTTGATAGGTGCCAAAGATTCGATCCCAGATCATCAATAATGCACCGTAGTTTTTATCAATACAATAAGGATTTTTTCCGTGATGGACACGATGTTGTCTTGGTGTATTGATCAGATATTCTAACGGACCTAGATGGCCAACAACTTCATTATGGAGCCATATCTGATAGATCAAAGAAAATTGCAGATGTACAAACAAAATCTGTGGATGAATGAATAGAGCCAACGGTATTGGGAAGATCTGATGAAGAAAAAAGCACAATGTTAAAATGAGATAATTCAATTATCTACCTTGATGATTAATATTTACATCATAGATGACCAAATCAACGACTGAATCTCGAATCGTGGTTGAAATATTAACATCTTCGGCCATATGATGGAATTGATGTGCGGCCCAAAGAAAATTGAATTCATGTAATGCACGATGAGTCCAATAATAAACGAATTCAACCAACAATAATGATATGATCCATGTGCTCGCACTATGCAATGGAAGATGCACCAAAGCATAATTTGTATATAACCAAGAGTAAATTCGCAATACTATGGTGAACATCACCACTCTTTATATAAATTAATCATTCATATTAATAATAAGTTTGAAGATAAATCAAAAAATTTCAAACAAACCTGGTCAATGTGAAGACAAGTGACGAAGCAATATTGATGAAACAATCTTCAAAACGTGACAATTGTTTACGCATAATAATACGAATAATTTGTTCGATCGTCACCATTAAAGCGATCACCGGAATAAGCTATTGTTTTTGATAAATGAACAATCAAATTATATAAAAAATTAAATCTTATCATCTTACTTTGACTTCATAGTTTGTTACATCATAAATATCATCTTTGATCGTATCATGGATAGGCATCAAATAGAAAATTGAAGCAATATCTTTTCCAGCTTCTATGCCACCATCTTTTAGACATCTAGCCAAAGTAATTGTTGTTTCATTGTTGTTGGTAATCATTCCGAATGAATATGTCGTGTGTGTTGGCAATACGAAAGCCAAATTGATAATCTTAGTGAATATGGCAAATGTTGGCCAAATTTATAGACAATGCTTAGACCGTGTTGATAATCGGTGGTAATGAATTCTACCCCCATAATTTTCTTTTCTTTTCCCTAATGAGAAAAAATAAATTTGTTGAAAAGCTTTATTTTGATTATTGGTTTCCATTTTATCTATAGAAATAGGCAACAAATAAGTTGAGAATTATTTTTAGTTTAGAAAATGTTTACTACCTTCTCTACAGTAAATTATATATGATGATGATGATACTTGGAATGATTATGACGTGAGAGTCAAATAATTAGTTTTTTTAACATCTTCGGTGGCAGAGTGCAATAACATGGCATCATCAACGTCAATTATGAATTGTTTTCAATTTTTTTTATTTAATCAATGATTTAAAATTTTCATAAAATTTGACTATAAATTTCCAAATCAAAATGTACTTTATTTAATTGAATTTTTACATGAAAGCTAAGCAATCAAATTATTGGATGAAAAAATAAATTTTAAAAAATCAAATTAGAAATAGAATCTACGTAGAATTTATGCTTTTTGTTCGAAAAAAAAACACTTGCACTCAACTTATTCGCATGTAAACAACGTAATAATCATCATCTTCAAGGTTAACGAATTATTGAGGGAAAGGATATCGAGTGTGATATGCAATTTTCAAATTTATTTTTGAGGAAAACAGTTTATGGTAGTGTTTTCCATAGAATAAAGCTCAGTTCCTTGAATATATCTTTCTATTTTTGGATTTATCAATCATAATCAATGTTTAACACGTGTAATAATGTTGTTGACAAAGAATAAAAACCAGGAAAATTTAATGGCTAATTAAAAAGAAAATAAAAATATAAAAAATAAATCTATTGAGTGAAAGAGTGTTTTTTTTCAAACAAAAAGCATAAACTTTACGTTGATTCCCTTTCTAGGGTTGAAAAAGTGAAATGAATCCTCATCACTCACCTGAATGGACAAAACTGTTTATCAATGGCAATATGGTTCCCGGTCCACAATAAGGAGAAATTTTTATATACAAATGTACTATAGTAATGGAGCGATCGAATGATGATAAACATGAAGCGTGGTAATTTGGTTGGATTTTTTTCGCAACACAAAAAATATCGTCTCCATCATGTCCAAATATTTGCTCAACATGAACATATAAAATAGTAACAATGAATTTTTTCTTCGCATTTAATAGATAGATTAATAGATTGTATTTGATTTTTATTGGCAAAAACTTCATACAAAAAATACCAGATTTGTAATAATAATGAGATTTTTTTTTAATGCAATCGCAATCATGCCATCTTTTGACGGCAAATTCAAATGGGAAAAAATAGAAAAATTCATCATCACTAATTGCCACCAACCATCAATAAAGAATAATTGGCCATTGTAGTGATATTCTGAGCAAATAAAAAGTATCTATCGAAAAGATATGTTTCGTAGTAACGTGAGCATGATGGAACGACAAACAAATAGGACATCATTAATGGTACAAAAACGGAAATCATCATGGCCGTTATGATGATGAATGTACGGGCTCTCAATCGAACAGGATATGTAGAATCTTGATGTAATGTTTCATCGGAATCTGTTGATGTTTGACTTTGTCCTTCATTCGAATCATAAATAATCTTTTCATTGGAACTAGTCTTTTTTGGTGATTTATGTTTGTCATCAATTGTGTTAGTGGTGAAAAGATTAATAATCCACATACAAATCCAGAGCATTATCGATAATAAATGTCCCAAACGAATAGTCCATAATGATAATTGAATAAGAACCGATGTACTCTGATTCACTGGCCATTGTGTTGATTGTAATACGCAGTGATCGAATACAAAATAAACAACACAGCGAAATATTTCCAATATGATCAGATAAGATCTACAAAATTAATAAATTAATTTCAGAAAAAATAAAGAAATGAATAGATAACAAACCTATTGTCGAATAGTGCACCGAATGATGTGATTGCCAACAGCAAATAAGTCATACAAAACGTCATTTTCCATGGATCGAATTTCTTATAAAATTAAAGAAAGAAATTAATCGTAATTGAATCACTTGTGAAAAATGAAACTAACAATCAAAGGATGATCAACAATCATATAGAATCCAATCAAGATGGCTAACGAATGGAAAAGAATGTAAGCCTTTTTCCATACAGCCACATATGGTGTATAAGTGTATCGAGGTGCTTTATGATCAACTTCGGGTATCTCTTCGATAAGGCCAAGACGGGGTTTACCTGGCGACCAACCAGGTCCATAAAATAATGCTGCCATCTTTTCGCTGAAATTATCGCAATTATTAAATCGTTGCCAAACGTTTTTATAATAGCCGAACATTAATGTCATCATGTCGAATGTTTTTGGAGTTGGACTGACCGTACCGAATACAATCTTCTCTTCATCTAGCTCGACTTGATAGGTGCCAAAGATTCGATCCCAGATCATCAATAAAGCACCGTAGTTTTTATCAATACAATAAGGATTTTTTCCGTGATGAACACGATGTTGTCTTGGTGTATTGATCAGGTATTCTAACGGACCTAGATGGCCAACAACTTCATTATGGAGCCATATCTGATAGATCAAAGAAAATTGCAGATGTACAAACAAAATCTGTGGATGAATGAATAGAGCCAACGGTATAGGGAAGATCTGATGAAGAAAAAAGCACAATGTTAAAATGAGATAATTCAATTATCTACCTTGATGATTAATATTTACATCATAGATGACCAAATCAACGACTGAATCTCGAATCGTGGTTGAAATATTAACATCTTCAGCCATATGATGGAATTGATGTGCGGCCCAAAGAAAATTGAATTCATGTAATGCACGATGAGTCCAATAATAAACGAATTCAACCAACAATAATGATATGATCCATGTGCTCGCACTATGCAATGGAAGATGCACCAAAGCATAATTTGTATATAACCAAGAGTAAATTCGCAATACTACGGTGAACATCATCACTCTTTATATAAATTAATCATTCATATTAATAATAAGTATGAAGATAAATCAAAAAATTTCAAACAAACCTGGTCAATGTGAAGATAAGTGACGAAGCAATATTAATGATACAATCTTCAAAACGTGACATTTGTTTACGCATAATAATACGAATAATTTGTTCGATGGCCACCATTAAAGCGATCACCGGAATAAGCTATTGTTTTTTGATAAATAAACAATTAAATTATAAGAAAAATTAAATCTTATCATCTTACTTTGACTTCATAGTTTGTTACATCATAAATATCATCTTTGATCGTATCATGGATAGGCATCAAATAGAAAATTGAAGCAATATCTTTTCCAGCTTCTATGCCACCATCTTTTAGACATGTAGCCAAAGTGATTGTTGTTTCATTGTTGTTGGTAATCATTCCGAATGAATATGTCGTGTGTGTTGGCAATACGAAAGCCAAATTGATAATCTTAGTGAATATGACAAATGTTGGCCAAATTTATAGACAATGTTTAGACTGTGTTGATAATCGATGGTAATGGATTCTACCCCCATAATTTTCTTTTTTCCCTCCTGAGAAAAAACAAATGTGTTGAAAAGCTGTTTTTTTTTGTTCTTCGCGACAATAAATTACCACAAACTGTCCATTAAATTTATGAGGAAATTCATTGTTTTTCCATTTAAAATATATTTAAAAGTAGCATCAAAATTGAATTTTAACCATCACAAAAAAACACGCATACAAACTATGCTGATAATCTGTATCGAACAAATGGAAAATTTGTTGTTGATGAAAAGTGAGAAAATCTTACCAAACTATAAGATCGATTATGAGTATCCATGCTTGAATCTCCAACCAAGATGACGCAAATGCTTCAATAAAAATACATCTTTATATGGTTCAAATTATGTTAGATGAAAATCAATCAAACAAAATTTTACATATTCCATCTTTTATTAATATCGGATGACCATGATGATTTTGTAATCGATTCATTGTATGTTTTTCTAGACAAAAGATTAATCGTCTTAGCTTAATCGATACATCCGAAATATGTACAAATTAATCAAGGTGTGAAATTGTTTTTTTCGTTTGTATTGTCCAACATTGTTGTCGTATTCTATTATGCCATCCACGATTTGTAAATCTTTTTCATTTTTATTTCATCACAAGGAAAATTTCCTCTGTGTACATTGAATTCAAAAGAACCAAATTTTTTTTTCAAGTTAGAGAGACAATATTTAGTAGTTGATGCATTCATATAAAAACATTTGCGCCAATATTATTCATTTTTTGATGACATTTATTCATTTGAATAAATCTTAAACGGCATTCGTTTTTTTTCTGAACAACGAATCGCAATGGCCAACGATAGTATCAACAATAATGTGTCATCATTTTTATCGGTCAACCTAACCAGATTTAATGATTTGGTCTATGGTTGGCAAAATGATTCAATAATCGATCAATATGATGAGCAACAATTACAATCATCGATGATCAATGATGAATGTCCGTTTTATCCTCCTTATTGGCTTGTTGTATTGATAGCCTTATCTTTGGTAATTTTTTTAATGGTGCTAGCTCGATTTATGCAAACAATCTATACGTGGTTTATTAGTCCATTGATATTTGGTGATATGGTCGAATGGCATGGTGGTCCAAATAGTTGGGCAATCATAACAGGAGCAACTGATGGTCTTGGTTTAGCATATGCAAAAGCAATGGCCGAAAAAGGTTATTGTTTATTGTTGTTGAGCCGTAATCAACAAAAATTGGATAAAGTCAAAACCGAAATCCTCAAACAATTCACATCATGTACTGATATTCGGACGCTTGTCGTTGATTTCACTCAAGGTCATGATTTATATGACTATATTGGCGAACAAATACGATCATTGCCTGGTAATGTTCATGTTCTGATCAACAATGTTGGTATGGCATATAAATATCCAGAATATTTTACGCGAATATTGGATGGTGATAAATTTATAACGAATATAATGAACTGCAACATGGTGTCCGTAGTTCGTATGACATATCTGGTGCTGCCATTGATGGAAAAACAAAAATCCGGCATTGTATTGAACATTTCATCATTTTCAGCCCTTTTTCCATCTCCATTACTCACATTATATTCGGCAACAAAAATCTTTATGGATTATTTCTCACGTGGTTTATATTGGGAATATCGCCAACACGGTGTCATCATTCAATCGGTGGTACCATATTATGTGACAACAAATATGATTCGAAATCCAGGTGTATCATTCATGGTACCGAATCCCGATACATTTGTTCGTTCATCATTGAAAACTGTTGGTCATGAAATTCGTACCTATGGTTTCATATCACATCGAATTTTAGCATTTGTACGTGAATGGAATCGATTTTTTATTGGCTTCAATTTCAGTACACGATTGGCAATTCGTACGTTGAGTAAAGCAAGAAAAAGATGTTATCAACGTAAAGGTCTTGATCATCATGTTTAACACTAAAATGATTAATTTTTGCTCCATCCATTAACATCGTATCATTTTGAATTATGCATTTTTCTTTGTTTTTTTCCATTTTGTAAATTTAGTAATGAAAGAATATGATATTTTTATTCAAATGAAAATATATAAATTTGATTCGAATTACATGCACATACTAAATGTATTTAAAAACATCAAAAATGATTAGGATATGTGTATGGATAAATTTTTCAATCAATTAGCCATACAATGATCTGTGACAAAAAAAAATTCATTACAATTCGTTAACTTTGGCATGAGCTTGATGATTATCATAATCATCAAAATCATTTCTTTCTTTGTGTATGTGTGTGTGTGTGTGTGTTGTGTGTTTTGCAAGATATGGATGATGAAATACGAAAGCAAAATGTCGAACAAGACAAAGAAATTTCTGGTCAATTCCATCTTAATGATTGACGTGTGGATTTTCATTGATTTTGATATTAATTGTTGATCATCATGTTATCAATTGGTTTAAAAACGATTTTTTCTTTTGCGTGATGAATGTATACTACGGCTAAGACTTCGAGAAAATGAATGTCCATCATAATAGTTGGAACTAGTTTGACAACAAATGTAAGAAAAAAAATGATTAATATGTTTTGTGTGTTGAATTTTTATTTTCAATCTTCACTTACCAGGTAGGTACATTTTCCGGATAATCACATTCCCGTGAATCAGGATTGAATACTAATCCTTCTTCACAGCCAAGCAATCGAGGTGTACGAGCACCATGTATTTCTGATTGAATACAGACAACAAATTTACGACAATCACTGGTTGGATAGCGTGGATCACCATAATCGAGAATTTCATTTTCATTCGGTTCAGGACAATTAAATCGAAGCATTTCTTCACTACGACAACCTTCAACCATATCTGGCCATGAACAAGTACCGGTCATTTCATCATAGGCTAAACCAAGTGGACAAGACATAAGAAAAGCTCGGCCATCGTCACAAGCATAAAATTTTCTACAATCATCACGATCCGGATAATAGCCATTCGGGTGTGGACAATGGATCGATTTTTGCCGTGGTTGACTGGGATTTTGATCATAGTTTAAAGATGAAATCGCTCCTATAAAAAAAAATCAAATCGAATTAAATTTTAAAGAAAAATATTGACAGAAAAAATAAACAAAAAAAATTGACACTTAAATTCCAGTGGTTTCGTCTATGATAGTAATCATCAATCATTACGAAATTGATCGTAAGGCAATTATCATGAGTAATAATCAATTGATGACTATAAGAGAAATACACAAACACACGATTTACCATCATCATCATCATCATCAATTCATTTCCAACAAATTCGAGAACAAACATTTTAAATAGAATGTCTTTTAAAAGTGGCATCATTGATGGATCATGATTACAATAATGTTGGATATTGAATCAATCAATCATACTTGTATCATCCATTCATTCATTCAATTTAACATTCAAACGTTTAATTAGATTGTGTAACCAAAACACATGGATTGTTTCTTGTTGCAATCCCATTATTATTACAATATGATGAGGATAGAAAAATCACGAGTAAAAACAAAAATAAAATGAATGAATGAATTTAACAAACAAAAACAAGTAATCATGTGGCCATGATTATCTTTATGTCTGTGTGAGTGTGTGTGTCTTCACACAAACTAATGAGCATAACAATTAAAAATGATTCAGGATCGTTTAAAAAAATTCATATTATAAACATGGGACATAAAAATATAATTTTTTTCCACGTGTCACGTTTAGTCGTCCGAAAGGTTATATTAAATTATTTTCATAGATAATAATAATGACGACTTTTTATGTTCATGTATAAAATCAGCCATTAAATCAGAAAAAAAATGTAAGAAAAAACTTTTTCAATCAACAGACACACAAATTAAAATATATTGAATAAAAGTTGCTTGTTTACATTTTCGTAATGATAACCAATTAAGAACACCAAAAGACTAGACTGAAAAATGTCAAGAGAAAAAAAAAATTCATCTATTTTAGGATAATCAATTATTATTAGGATGTTTATTATCCTGTACTTGTCCGATGAGAAAAAAAAGAAATTTTCAGATTTCAAATCTAGCCAATAAAATCTGGAAATCAGTAAGAAAACAAAAAATTGATTCGGACATAAAAAGAACAACAACAACAACAACAAAAAAGCTTCCCAATTTTTTTTTCAAAATCAAATGTAATGAGAAATGTTTTCGTTTTCTACAAACAGACAAACAAACAAACAAACAATATGATATCATCATCGGATTTATTCATTAATTTTAATTGCTAATAAATAAATAGCCGTCTAGTTTATAATGATTATTTGCGAGATTTTCGCCTCATCATCATCATCATCATCATTATGATAATCAAAAAGGATGGTTGAAGAAAAAACAAAATATAATTATTATAGGTAAATTGATTTGATATAATATTTCTAGTGAGAAAAGTAAATCGAAATCGACAATGAATGCATACGATGCTCATCATCATCATCATCATCATAAGTATATATGGTTGTTGTTGTTGTTTTTTTAATAAAAAAAACGTTCAAACAACAAAGTTTTTGAAAATTCATATTTTTTCTCATCTACTTCGAATTACTGTTTGTTTGTACGATGACTACGACTGATGAAGCGACTAACAACATTTCATTTCATTTCATTTTTTTTGGCACAAAATGATCTGTAATGCCATAAAAAAAGATCAACGAATAAATGGAAAAAAAGAAAACACTCGTGCATCAGAAAAAAAACATGCCATAGAAATGAAACACGACTAACATTAATGTATACATACCGGAAAAATGAAAAACAAAACAAAACAAAACAAAAATGGACCGAAAAAATCCGTGAAAAAAAAAAAGTAAGTCATTGGATAGAAAACAAATGAAAGAAAAGGCCATTATGGATAATAATGATAATAATGGTGAAAAGAGAAATAATTTCAAATTCATTATTTGGCTATCCACATTGTAATGATAAAAAAACAAAGCGGAAAATACGAAAGTAAAATTAAAAAATGACATGTGAAGACATCATCATCATCATCATCATCATCATTAATCCATATGGTTAGATTGTATCTACCAATGATATTGTTTGAGACAATACTCACGTGTCAGGATCTGTTCGGTTAATCGTGGTGGTGGTGTTTGCGATTGTAGCTGATGGTGACGTTGATGATGACTGTTGTTGTTGTTGTTGTCATTGATCGTTCCGGATGTTGTAGCCGACATCGAATTGGAATCTTCAATCTCATCATGTTGCAATCGTTGCCGGCGTAATTTTAATGGTTTTTTTAGTAATTTACGTTTTTTATTCAGGAAATTTTCTTCATCATTTGCTTTAGCCATTTCGGCTGTTGTATCAGCTGTAGTAGCACGTTGATAATGGTTATGACGATTGATACTTTGTTCATTGCGACCATTCTGAAATGATGTTGATGATGTTGGAGATTCAGTTGTGGTTGGCATTATAGATATGGCAGCAGCCGGTGAGGTTGTAGTTGCTGCTGTAGTTGTTGTTGATATTGCTCTTGAGTTTGTATTAGCTGATGATGATGATGATGATGAAGGTGTAAAATGGGTGGCCGTAGTCATTGAATTAAAATGACGATAATGTGGTGATGAAGATGATGATGGTAGTGATCGATGATTATGATGATGACGATGATTTGTAGCAGTCGCCGATGATGGGACTTGATGATGATGATGATGATGATGTATTTGACGATGAATACTTAACAATGGTGGTGAAGGCGTTGTAGTTGTGGTCGTTGTTGTTGTTGTTGTTGTCGCCATAGTTGTTGGCATCATTGTTGTCGATTCTGTTTGATAATGATGATTGGAAAGGAATGTCGGTTCTGGATTATCATTAAATTCATTATAATCAATTTGTGTAATACGACAATCAATCTGATCTAATGGTATACAGCGTGGTTTTTTCCGATAACGATAATCAAAACGAAGTCCAGGCCTACAGATTCCTTCATTAACAATGGTACCATTACGACATTCATAAAAATGATCACAGCGTTGTTCGTGCGGAAAGAATCCTTTGGCACGAAGACAAATAAAACGATCCAATAGTTCTACATTAATCAAACATTAAGAAATATTTTGAAAAAAAAAAAAATATGAGAAAGAAATTATAAAGTAAAAAATATAATTGTTTTGAGAATTTTTCAATTTTTCTAAAATTGAAAAAAAATGAAATTATCATTCACAAAAGTTTGATAAAATTCACTGATAATCTTGGGGTGGTGGATGAGAATTTTTTTAAATTTTCATTTATCCAACGAATGAATAAATAATTTCTATTTCAGTAGTATTTTTCTATAAATAAAATATGATTTCAATTGAAAGAAAAAATCCATCGTGGAAATTTTTTTTTTTTTTTTTTTTGCTTCATTTATTTGCTCAGATTATTATAAATATGATTTTTTTTTTTTCTTTACCTTCGGAAATATGTTGATCCCAATTCCATGAATAGACACCAATGGTTGGATGTTGATGAAAATGAGCCAGCAACAGGTTTAACGATAATGATAACATTATTGTTACCACAATTGTATTGACCATTGATAATATGGACCATTGTGATCGACATTTTGCACCATATGGGTGACGGCTATTATATAATGATGATTTGATTGTCGATGATAATGATATATACGATGGTGATGATGATGATGATGATGATGATGTAATGACGATGGTGATGATGATGACAAGAATGAAGTGATAATGATATTTGAATGATGTGTTTGTGTTGATGATGATGAACTACCGTACAATTGTTGTTGTCGTCGTCGTCGCCGTAACAACGATATTGATGATAGAGTCATCTTGATAACCATTTATGATTCAGATATTTATGGGTATCCGTTTCAAAACATATATGTATTGTATGTGTGTGTGTTTGATCTAGATATTTTCGGTTTTCTTTCTCGCAAGACAGAATTTCACTCTTTGCTTCAATGATAATGATGATGACTTTCGAAAAAAAACCCTTTTACTTTTTTTTTGGTTCGGTTAAATGGTTGACTGAAGAATAAATTTTATTATGATGACGACGTCGATGATAACCACACTTTGTGTTGATTTTCCATTTGTTTTTTTTGTGGGTAGTAAAAGTTTCAATTTCAAAATTGTTTCAAAGAAAAAATGAAAAGTAAAAAAAAATAAAAACGAAAAAAAATTGTTTCTGGTGGCATTATTCGTTTTCCAATATCTTAACCATTTTCCATTTGAGTGGATTTTATGATAATTTCATTATTATTGAATTTGAATGATTCAATATTTATTTTCGGTTCAATTTTCTGACATAATAAATATGTTGATGATGATGATGATGACACATACATATAACAGCAGCGACGACGACAATGATGACAATAATGTTGTTGTTGGTTAATTCATCCGTAACATGATGATGAAGAAGAAAAAAATATTTGTTTAAATTCAGATTTTCCTATTCAAAAGATTAATGTATTTTATGGCCAATAATAAAATATGATACCAACGATATGTATGCGTGGGTAGATAATATAGATAATTCATATCTAATCGAAAAAAAAAGAAATGAAATGAAATTTACAATGAATGTTGAAAACGGGGTAACAAAAACTTTTTTTTTGTGTGTAGGACAAGTTGGTAGTTTCCAGTAAAAAAAAATGGAACCACTTACGTATATACTTGACAATAATCACATTGAACAATTTTTATATTCATTGAAACAAAAATTTTGTAATGAAATGATGGAATTTATGTGAAAAAATGGAAAAAATTTGATGAGAGCATCATATCATATCAACGAATAAACTAGTGATGAAATTATGATGATGAGTTTGGTAAACATGTATAAAAAAACATAGAGAATGTTATATTTTTATGAATAAAAATGTTTTGTTTTTTTTTTGTTCACATTCAGAAAAACCAACCCAAACATTCAACAGGTTATCATCTCTACAACAAAGGAGATGCGATAAAATCGGGTCAGTTATTTTATTTTTTATTATTATTATTAACGAAAAACACACATGAACAAAAATAAAATGAAAATAAAAAACAACAGGAATACACATGAAATGAGAAAAAAAAATTTCTGAATGTGACATATACTATGGTTATTATTATCGATGGAATGAAGATCGATTAACTTGATGAATTATGATGGTTTCGGAAAGAATAACATACAATCACTAAAAAGTCAATTCAATATTCACTTTTGGATTGGTGATGAAGAAGAATTTAATTATTTCATTATCATTATCGTTGATTCATTATTGGAAGAAAAAAATAATTCACATCTGATCGATTGAATGTATAGATTAGAAATGAATATTGTACTTTTATTGGGACGAAAGTAAAAAATAAATAACAAAAATTATAATATTCAAACAAAAGGGAAAAAAATTCAAATTGAAAACACTGGACAATGCAAAGTTTGAAACAAAATTTGAAAAAAAAAATGGACAACTATCTCAAAACACACACACACATCATCATCATGTTCGACAACAACAAACTGACCACGATGAATCTATGAACCAATGTTGATGATTTAGTCGAAAAATTCACTTTCTCTTTTCGGTGTTTTTACTATAGAAAAAAAATGAGTTAGATTCTCTCTTCTCATTCATTTCAGTTCGGTAAAAAAGAAAAAATTTTCGCAATAAAGATTCACCTGTTCTCTTTCATTCACATTTTGTGTGTGTGTGTGTGATGTATTTTCTGTTTCGGCTTATTAAAGAAGAAAAGGAAGAGAACATTATGAAAATGAAAGAAAAATTTACAACACATCACGGATGAACCAAAAAAAAAAAAAAAACATTGATATTTATAAGAGTGTACATCAAAGTGGAATAAAAAAATAATAATAATAATAATAATGGACACATTGAGGGTGATTAAACAAACATACAATATAAAGTTATTAACTTTTCAATAAAAAAAAAAAAAATTTTCCCTTTGATTTGCCCTCATTTATCTAACACAGAGAAAAAAAAATTGCTCACCCATTCATTTTGTATTCATTCATTCAATCACATCACTTGAAAATGTCAAAATAAATAATGGCCCAAGAAAAAAAAAATTTTATTCGGTTTATGTGGGTGTGTGTGTGTGTGTGTGAGTGAGTGAAAAATGTAATTGATTAAACATTGAATTAAACAGAACAAGAGTCACACTTGAATTATTTATATTGATTCAATTTTTTTGGATTTGTCTTGTGTCCAAAACATAAATCGCATCATCATCATCATCATCATCATCATCATAATCGACAAGTCGATCAATATTTTGATCAGATTACACACAGTAGTAGTAGCAGGATAAACAATACACACCAGATAAACAAATTTCAAGTTTTTAATATCAAATATTTGAATTGTTGAGAACTATTTTTTTTTGCTATAATATCATAATGTTATTATATTATTCTATTGCCACAATGAAAATTTTTTTTTTTTTATTCATCAAAATCCAAGAACAAGCCCAAGATTATTTTAGGCTTAGGCAATCATCATCATATATACACATCTAATAAATAAAAGACAAAAACAAAGAATTTAACTTTAAAAAAAATGCCATCATTGCGTGTTTATGATTCATTTTGGAACACTTGAGACAATTTAAGTGATGTGTGTGTGTAATGATCAAATTTTGTTGTTGCTATTGTCGTTGTCTATCTATCTGTCTGTCTGTTTCGTTGTTGTCATTATTTTTTTTTTTCGTTGAACAACAATTTACGAGAAAAAGAATAGAAAAATACTGATCTTCTGCTGTGGCTGTTGTTTTTTCTATTACACATAAAAATAAATATACATGTCATCGTTATGTATTTTATAACTACAATTCAATATAGTCAATGACAATGATCTTTTCAATGAATTTTGTAATTTTGTTTTTTTTTCTCTAAATTTTTGCTTGTTTTTACATTCTCTTCCCACATGAGATTATGTCATCATCATTCTGATGATGATGATGATGATGATGATGATGTTTTAATCATTTTGCTCTTGTATGATGATCCAGATTATTGTTTCACAAATGGAACAATTTTTGGAACATTACTTTTGAAACACACACACACACACAAATACATTAAACATGGAAAGAATTTTATAGATGGTAAAAAAAACGTGATCTTTAAAAATGCACTTGTTGTCATCGTCATTGAAATTTTTTTTCGTCATTCGTTTGTTTCTTCATTCATTCAACGTATGTTTGATTCTTTTTTGGCCAAGTTGGAAAAAAAACTTAAATTTTTTAAAAAACCAAATGAAGTAACCATCATCACTTTTTTCCACATAAATGATGATGATGGGCATGAATGAAAACGAAGATGCAGGCAATAATCAAGATCGATGTTTTCATGTCATGTTTTGTATCAGAGAAAAGAAATATTTAAAAAAAAACAATGGAAAAAAGAAAGAAAGGTAAAACTTTGTAAAACTACAATTTTAAAGGTCAATCTTTTTGTGTGTGTGTGTGTGTGTTTCAATTGTTTGAATCATCTTCTTAGTGTGTTTTTTTTTGTTGTTTAAATACAGGAAGAATATAACAAGAGAAAAAAAAGAAAACGTTTACTTTTGTTGTTACATTCTTGTTTATGAGCACGAACATTTATATCTGGATATGTTTTCATTCGTGTGTGTGTATATTGTACATCAATGTAAAAATGGCAGAATAATTTTCATGATCAGTAGATCTTATTTAATTCATTGTTCGAAGGTTATGCTCAGTTGGCTATTTGATTTTGTTTAAAAAAAGAAAGGATTATCTTTTTCTAATTCATTATTTAGTTATTTGTGTCTCTCATTGCTAAAACCTGAAATAAGATTTTTTTTTATTTATTCTAGAAATATCAAAATAACACTAGTTATTAAAACATACCGGAAATTGTTGTGAAGATTGTCGCTATCAAGTTTTTTTTTTTTTAAAATGAATTACCTTGTTTGTGTGCTATTATATATCATACAGGCAATACCGGTTGACAAAATGACCAAACAAATAAAACAAAAACAAAACAAAATAAAAAAATAATGTCGTAATACTATAGTGCTATCTATCTAAATTTATTCCATTCACCACAAAACACACACACACACAATATATTAATATCAACAATGGTGAAATAGAGTTATCAAATCGTAAACATTCAAAAAAAAAAATTTCACCTTCATCATATATATTATTAGCTTATCTTGACTTGAAATCTTTCATTTTGTCTTTACGAATTTGATGATGATGATGAATGATGAAACATTGATGATTAACCAAGACAAAAAAAACCGATAAACAAAACAAAACAAAAACGAACGTGCATCGATATAATCGGTGTACTAAATTCAAAAAAAAAAAAAAGAAAAATTGATTGAATCTCATTCATCAACCAAATAACCGCATATTGATCATGATCATTTATTTAATGGATAAAAAATAACGAAGATTTTTTTCTCCCACCAACCAGGATATAAAGATTAAAAATTTGTGATTATAATAATAGATGATGAGATGATGATGCCAAATCACGAGACTTCGTTTACATATATGTAGATAAAGTGCATAAATATATTCGAATATATATTGTATCATGGGTTCATAATTGCTCAATAACGATAAAAAAAAATCTTAATCATTTAACGA